AAATCCTCAGACGGACAGACGGTCATTTTAATACAAATTTTCTGAAAGTGAATCAAATTATTTAATAATTTTTAATTTATTACTTTTTCAACATTTCAAACTCAATTTCAAACTACAATTTTTCAAATATGTCCTTCAAATTCTTCAATTTAAAAGCTGTTAGTAAGACGTTTCCCTTCAAATATGCGCACATAGTACACACACAATTTTTTAAAGCGAAAATGTTAAAAGTTGACATATAATATTATATCATTCTATTCAGAATGTAATTTTCTATCAAATAATGTAAAACCTCGAGTAAAACAATACCGAGGGTACCATTTAAAAATCGAAAATTGTAGTCATTTCCGGTAAACAGGAAGTGACCAAAACTAAATGAATACGTCAATCAATCCTGATTTATGTGGTATACTAACATACCAAATCTCGTTTTTTTATCAGAAAAAATAAAAGTTATAATAGGGGTGAGCCACTTTGAAAAACACCCGGTAAGTGTCATAAAACACCCGGTATAGTGAGTGTCATAATACACATAACCTCTGTACGTTTAAAGTAAAGATTTCAGTTAACGTCTCCTTTTTGCTGCCAGGGCTAATCTGGACGGGGCCTACTTTGTTTACGCAGAATCCGAACCGCATTCCTCGGCCATATCATGGTCAATGGCCTACCGACTTGGCAAGTGTCTAAATCAACTCTTACTCACGAGATATCCGATCTCATCCGGCCTCGAACCGGCGCCGGCGTGAATGAGCAGTGTGTGTCAATAGATTTTACACTTTTGCCTTTATTGTACAACAGCACGATACAGAGTTTCGAACCGGTCACCCGTCCATCCACTAGTATCGCCTTACGTCGCTTAACTTCGGTGTTCTAATGGGAACCGGTGTTTTGACGTAGCTGGGCAGTTGCCTATTGTACGTTTAAATAATTAAATAAAATTTCAATAGAACCATATTAGTTAAAATAATATGAGGTGGCTTTTTTGAAAAACGTTCCATAATAGATACTAATAAATACTCGGTACATGCAAATACTATTGATTTAAATAATAACAAAGTTATAACAATTAGTTACCAGACACACGTTAGATGAAACCTTAAGATATTCTGAGATATATTGTACAGATTATCTTAAAGCGATGTCGGGGTATTTGAGACCATTGTACAACTTTAGACCGTAAACTGATTAGGGTGCCGTTTAGGGCACCTTTTGTGTCGTCTCGAACAGCTCCGAGCCAAACCTAAAGACTAGCAACATTGCCAACTTGTGCAAATTTTAAGCAGACTTGCAATGTTTATAGGTGGTTACATTTCATATATGGGATGAGAATTTATACAAATTTGGATGAACTAATTATTAGAAATTCAGGATTTAGTAGTGACAAGCAATTACGTCTAATAGTAGTTTTGGTCTTGCAGGGTCCAGTCTTACTCTTAGTCTTGCTGCGACGCTTTTGCAAGTCTTGCACTATAGGGTATATTTTACAAGAGGCAATTACAAAATTCTGATTTACTTTTTTTAATTATGATCTATGAAAAACGGCATGTTATAATGCCTCTATGTACAGTTTTCTATTTGATCGTAGTATTATTATGAGACAAATATTAGCTCTTGAACAGTACCTGAAAACATTTTGATCAAAAAAGTAATAGTCTGTTTATAGTCCGCCCAACGAAAGAATTATGATTTCAACCGAGATTTCAACAGACAACAACCAAGAAATGGAGTTAAAATGACAGTAACTTTTGCTGCATAGAATACACATATATATTTGATACCAATTAAAATTTTAGTTACGTAATCGACGGCGCGATTTTTAAATCCATTGTTGCCAACAATGAACATATTCAGCGCCGGGCTGACTAACTGGAATTTAAATTTCCCACTGGGAATTCAGGTGGTAGCTCTGCTGTAAAAAATGTCAAGTTGCCACATTTATTTATTTATTCCTGACATTGTCATTCGTCTTGACATTTTAGTTTTGTATTACGAGTTTTTGGTTTAAATAAATAGTGTTGTGATACTTTAAGCTTAAAAATATTTACTAGCAGACCTTGCAGTCGAACATTGTTCTTTTTAGAACCTCTTTTAGTGCGAAGTGTACAAGATAGCTTAATAGCCGTAAAAAAATAATCGCACCCTTATTAGAATATTTTGAACGGGAAAGCTGTAGTAATGGCCCTTTATACCCCTTAAGTGCTGTTAAGAAGGTGAATTTTGTTGATATAAATAACTGTTATGTATAATTAATGTATTTTTGTTTCCAAAAATATTCTGATTAAAAGAAAATATGTAAAAGTGGGCAACGCTGTGCCGGTCAAGCTTAATCACATGACTAAAAGTTTATTTGAAATAAAATGCAAATAAACTACAGGTACTTAAATAATAAAATCGGTTGATTTACTCCGAATTAAGAATATTGAAGATGAATCTGGCAACATCGCGTTGCCGAGATCTGCGATTGAAATTCATCGCATCTTTTGATGGCAAACAAGACATCGCAGGGTGAAATTCATAGTCGCATGGTGTCTATTGACCTCTGTTACCTTTTTCTAACGTATTATATTTCGACGATATATTGTATAGAAGGGCATTTATAGTCGCAGATTCTTTTTTGGGTAGAATACGATAGGGAATAGACTGTTCTGTTTCAATATGAATAAATTATATTTGGGATACAATACAAGTTGTATCGGATTTAAAGTCAGCAAATAAAATTTTGCATGTTTTAATCTTATAAACATAGGTCATCAAAGCACATCAGACGAGACATCAAATATACCGGGTGCGTCTCAAAAGTGGCTCACCCCTATAACTTTTATTTTTTCAGGTAAAAGAACAAAATTTGGTATGTTAGTATATGACATAAATTAGGATTGATTGACGTATTCAATTGTTTTTGGTCATTTCCTGTTTCACTGGAAATGACTACAACTTTTGATTTTTAAATAGCACCCTCCGTATTTTTTTTAACTTTTTTCGATAGAAAATGACATTATGTATAGAATGACACATCATATGTCAACTTTTGACATTCTCGCTTAATAAAAAATCGTATTTCAAAATTCAAGCTAGAGTGCCATGGCTATATTAAAAACACTAATCCTTCATCAAGGAGCCTTGGAAAATAGATTTGATCGTTTAATGCTTTTAGTGCTTGTCCTGGCCAGTTAGACAATGCTCAAATCGTATTTTTAATCATATCTCAATTGTTTCAAATGGAACGAGGGTGGCTCATTAGCATATTTGGAAAAAGCATTTTTTTACGAATAATTCGATACCACACCCTTGGTATTTCGAGTCAAATTTTCGTAACGAACCACAAGTTATAATTTCAAATAAACCATATGCGAAAATGTCAAAAGTTGACATATGATATGTCATTCTATTCAGAGTATCATTTTCTATCGAATAAAGTAAAAAAATACTGAGGATGCCATTTAAAAATAAAAAGTTGTAGTCATTTCCGGTGCCGAGGAAGTGACCAAAAACAATAATTGAATACGTCAATCAATCCTAATTTATGTTGTATACTAACATACCAAATCTCCTTTTTTTATCTAAAAAAAAATAAAAAAGTTCTAGGGGTGAGCGACTTTTCAGACGCACCCGGTATAGTAATACATACTATTATTTTAATTCTGTTCATAATTTTGGAAGTTGCTACTGACCTAACAGATAAAAATAAGTAAGCAATAATTTACATAAAAGTTCAATAACATAATGCAGGAGCAAACAAAATTAAACACAATGAAAGTCGGTTAAAAAACGATTATTTATTCTTTACGATGGAGTATATAGGTCACCCGATTTATATTCAATAGGATGTAAATTCTTTCCAGATAGCATAGAAGCACGGAACACAAATTCAACCAAACCAAACCAGCGTTGAATTTCTGCTTTTATAATTTTCTAGCAACACTTAATTATCTGTATATTTCCACTATAGGTGCTGAAATAAAATAATTTGGGAAATATCGTATAATCGAAAAAAAAACGGCGTCCAGTTGGCTTGGAAATGAACATCGATATCGGTGACATTGCCCCCATAAATCAGGACCTTACTTTCAAAAATTCCTTTAACTAGGTACCTAATATTTAAGAGTACCTATTTCTTCACAAATGTGTAAAAAGGCCTGTAAGCAGAGCTTTACCGATTTCACAAAAAAAAATCTAGTCCGAAATGACACTTTTCTAGGTCATAAATCTTTTCTATCCAGTAAACCAACCGTCCCAAGGCAAAATTTATTGCCTCTAGTGTTCAATAATAAAGGCCATCCTATGCAAAGTAATAATTAGGTGGTATTCTGAAGAAATTTCTCTCAAGGACGGAAACCTATCATTTTAATAGGGTACAATAAACTTTGAAAATTTTATGGAGTTAAACCAAACAAAATTGCCCAGCAAAACATTTAATAGATAAATTTGGTTTTTAAAGATTTAGGAAATATTTTTAATGTAATCTTCCTCATTCTGATGAAATTATATAAAACTTAATATAAAATAATAAAGTCTGACTTATTTTATTAATTAATTTATGGACGGCATATTAAAAATTCTAAATAATTTGTAAGGGGTAAGCTGAAAAATCTATATAAATTAGACAATTTTTTATTTACAGGATTTTATGTTCACTTCCTATAACATAAATAATAATGTACTTAATTGTTTATTTTCTAATTATATGACCTTTAACCTTTAATATAAAATAGTTCAATTTGTTTTTCCTTAATCTTAAACCGTGAATTTATATATTATGAAATAAATGTTTTTTTAGGTATAAGGTTTTTGTAATAAAATTCTGCTGTTAATAAAATTTTTGTAATAAAATTTATTTGTTAGGTGACGTTTCGTGTAGAATGGTGGGTTTTTTCAAGCAATTTATTCTTGAATTTGTGCCCTTGTTAGCACTATTTAGATGTACAGAATTCTATTTTAAAAACTTCATACCCAAGAAACATTTATTTTTAAATGTTTGTAATATTTTGCATGCTGCTTACCTGATATATACCACAGATCCATTATTAAGAAGTCTTTTCCAGCCATATGGTACCGTTACAACCATAGTATTACTCGAGGCATGTTGTGGTACAGGCGGAGGTCCCACAACAACAACACCACCAGGCCGAACACTCACACTAGGGTCATACACAACCATATTGGGTGAACGATTTTGCACTACAATCATCCCCTCATCCACAGAGCTAAGACTACTACAGCTAGACTCAGCAGTTTCCGAACGCACTGAATCACATCTCACACTTTGTGTGGGCACGTCAGAACCGACAATTGTCACGTACGAATCCGAATATCTTTCCTGGTTATCACAATCATGTTGCTTAACATTTTGAAGGGGTGCAGGTCCAGCCTGTTGCCTTTCACACGACAGTATATCAGTGTTTTTAACAATACCTCCATTCTGATAAGTGATATTATTTAAAGTGATTCCATTCTGTGGTAAAACATTTGTAATATAACTGCCTGGGGCACTGTTTATTATATGACCACTTGAAGTAAAGATTTGTTGCTTCTCGTTAAAACTTTTGGCATGATCTATGGTGGCCACGGCATTGCCTGCACTGGTATATCGTGATGAATGCACATTACCAGACTGAGGTACATTTTGCTGTTCAACTGCATAAGTTTGGCCAAAATTATCATTTGATACATAAACTACCACATTCTGAACACCAGCTCCTGAGGAAAGATCAGGCTTTGTTGCCATTGTAACTGCATATCAACAGCCCCCTCTTGGAGCCCCCTTCTATATCACAAACGTCCTAAAATTAAAAAAAATATATGTATATTAGGATTATAAATACAAAAACATACTTTTAAAAGTAAACCATTGTTATATTTACAATAAAAAGAATCAGTAAAAATATAGAGTACCTGCATGTCGTATGATTATTCCTCAAATAACTCCCGCTAGTAAAAATTACCATTACAATATGTTATTTTACTTATTTCGTCTAAACTTCTGTTTTGTTAGCTGACGATGGGTTAACACTTAACCCAACACCTGCGCGTACAAAATTTTAGTTTACGCTTCTTTAAAATATGCTCCATACCGTCACCTCTGCACTAAATTCATTAGAAAACACGAATACGGCGCTTTTAACAAAGAAAAGTTTCAGAAATAAACGACCACTTTCCGTAGATTACACTATGTCAACGTAAAACTGGGCACTGAAAAATTGAACCATCTACATCTACACTCCCAACAATTCTCGCGATAAAGCGCCATATTAAATTCGATAAAAATAAATAGACATTTCAGACAGGCGTTGCGCCATCTAGTCTACAACCAGTTAAACACCATAAATAGTTTTATGATTTGTGTTCAAGGGGGTGACACTTTATTATTATTTATTTAACTTTTGCTGTCATAAAACAGCAATAAAAATATACTGATTTATGGTAATATAAAAGTAAAAGCACCTGACAGCACTAACAGCATAATATAAAAAATAGGTATCCTAATTAATAAGGTAAGCAAAAATTAATCTTATGATGTTAAAATAAAGACATAAACACTTGTAAATTTTATTTATATTCTACTTCACTTAAATCAACTTTTGTATTTAACTTTTGCTGTCGTAAAACAGCAATTAATGTTTATCCTCTTATTTGTAAATAAAAATATACTGATTTATGACAATCTAACAGAACTAAAAGGATATTATAGAATTAAAAAAATTACGTTAAAATACCCGAAAAAATAAAAAAGACAAATAAAACAGAAGGTAAACATTTTCTTATATTCTATCAGACCAACTTTTGCTGTCAAAAAAGCAATAAAAATTATGCTTTTATCGGTGACTAAAATTCTTTGATAAAAAATAAAAACATACTGACTTATTGCAATCCAAGAGCATTAATCTAACAACAGGATATTATAAAGCAAATAGGTATAAAATAATTTAAAAAATTACAAATAATTTAAAAAATTACGTTGTTTTCCATAAAAAAAAAATAAAGCTCAAACGTAGATAATTTTTTATGTTTTATTAGACTCTAAATCTACAATAACAGGGGCATCATCTTCATCGTCTGATCCTAAGTGGCTAAAATCCCAACTGTATTGTTCAGTGAGATTTTTTCTTAACCTATCAGCTTTACATTTCAATGTGCCATCCACATCACATTCTTTTATAAAGCTGAATAAATTTCTAAGTTTAACATACACAAAATTCCTGTTTGACACTATATCAGCTAAAAATTCTTCTGGAATCTCCATCACATGTAATTCAATTATCGATAAAAACTTGTTATAAAGTTGTCTATATTTTTTTATAGCATCATCGCATGAACAAAAAAGACCTAAAATTTTTTTCCATTGTTCAAAAGCTTCCAGACTATGTCCAACCAAAAAGCACACATAGCAAAATTCTAGTTCACCTAAAATATCTTGAGGTCTAAAAATAAGATCAATATTAAAACATATTAGATAAAATATAATGAACTTAATTACCGATCATATGTTGAAAGTAACTGTTCAAATAAATATGAACAATCTAATGAGTGTTTTGTAATTTCAGCTGGACTAGAACCGACAGGATAATAATTAGGAGGAAATATAGAAAATTGAAGATTTGTTCCATATTTAGGTTTTAAATTTGGTAATAAGTCATCTTCATACTCGTTATAAAGCTTTTGTGCATGTTTTGGTGTTGAAGGTTTACTTGCACTTTGTTGTATATCTTTACGATTATTGTCTGTACAATATTCCAATTCCAAAGCTGAATGCACTTCACCATTTAAAGGAATAAGTTTTTTTAAAACATTCTCTAAAAAAATTACTTAATTGTAATATTATTCAACATTATGCGTATTACCTACCAGATATACTTGATGTTAATTTTTTCCATTTTTCCCAAATATCATAGGGATAAGGACCTAAAAAACTATCTAATGCCCTTATGTTCTCTTTTAGGCCCACAATGTCTTCATCTGAAACTTCTTCAGTACTTAAACATTCCTTTTCTTTGTCCCATTTCTTTACAACTATTTCTGATGGGCGAAAGTAATGAAATAAACCTGTCCTAGGAGCAACATCTCCATGACTAGTGGAACTATAAAAAATATAATGAACACCTGGAGGGATCATTTTAATTCCTCTAAATTTCTCTCCAGTGTTCCAAGATTTCAAATCTATTCCAAATTCAGTTCCTTCAGGAACATTTAATAATATGAAAAAACCACCTTTCTCAAATAATTTTTTTGCCGTATTTTGATCCATTGTGGTACTCATGATGTTTTCTAGTATTTGATACTAAATAAAACCAACCATATTAAACAAAAATACCTTAATTTTTAGAAATTAAACTGTATATTTACACATGGAAAAAACAGATCAAAGAAAACATTATTGTTTTTCAAATGCAGCCAACACAATATTTAACACTACCACATCATATAATTTAAAACATCATATATAATTTTTTTAAAAATATTGTTTTCATGTTTGTTACACTGTTAAGACATGTTTGATTTAAACGCTCCTCAATAGATGGCAGTTAAAACCAACGATACTTTCATATATATTCTTAAAAATCAGTAAGAAATTTGCAAATATCTCGTTTCCTTTTTTGTTAAATAATTTGGCACAAATTTTCAATTCTGTATTGAGAAATTATTTTACAACAGCAATTAACTCATCAATTAACATCTCTTGTCGAAGAAAATTCCAGAAATTTTCTATCCTTGTTGTTAATATCTTTTCATAATCATACCTATGAATCATATATAAATCTTTCTCTTTCTAGCTCTATGTCAAAGTCTTTCACGTCACGTTTCACGAGGGGAAAGGAAATCGTGGGAACTTGCGAATATTCTAGAATATCACGGAACCATATTTCTGTTCAATTCTGTTTCATGTTTTTGCCTTTAAACTTGTAGAAGCGCTTTGAAACTAATCTATTGTATATCTGCAAATCAGCCAATTTCGTTCTGTTAGGAGTTTAATTTATAATTTTTGTATTCATTGGGTGCTTTCTTTTTGATAGATATCGATCATTTGATAGGTGAGTAATAATTTTATATATCTTCTTTCTTGTGTAGTAATGCAGTACTGCATTTTGTGTTGAACATTTCAGAGAGGTACTATAACTTTAACTTTTTGATAGATTGTAGATAAAAAATCATACATCAGTATTTGAAGTTTTTATCTTGAAATAACCATATCTCGGTTAATTCCTCTAAACATTCTTATATTATTTCCAGCCTAGAAAACCATGGTGAAGGAAACGAAATTTTATGATATCCTAGGCGTTAAGCCAGGATGTTCTCAAGACGACTTGAAAAAGGCATATCGAAAACTGGCATTAAAATATCATCCGGATAAAAATCCTAGTGAAGGTGAAAGGTTTAAGCAGATATCGCAGGCTTATGAAGTATTATCAGATCCTGAAAAGAAAGCTATCTATGATCAGGGTGGTGAACAGGCACTTAAAGAAGGTGGAGTTAGTGGTGGATTCTCAAGTCCAATGGACTTGTTTGACATGTTCTTTGGAGGAGGTTTTGGAGGTGGCAGGGGAAGGAGAAGAGAGAGAAAGAGTAAGTTTTAGAAAATACAAAGAATAATTAACTCTAAAGAATTAGCAGCTCTTTAATTCAGATATATGATTTAAGGGTATTTATTTCTGTTTAGGGAGGCCTGAGATTTAATAATGCAAACAAGTAGGTATTTAAAAACAATAGAAAGATTTTCTTATATTATACAAGCTATCATAAATGATATATTTTATCAAGCAATATGTAAATAGTATTTCTGAAAAGACACACTAGGACAAAGTATTAACATGACAATTCATTATTTATTTACAGGGTACTCACTCAAACATTTACCTGTTTTTCATTTTATATTGTTAAAAAATGCTTATCCCAAATGCAGGTTTTTACTTACTCAGTAAATTTAATAAAATTCTGTTCTATTTTCTATTCTATTTTATTATTTAATTATAATTAAAATAATATTAATCCTAATTCTATTCTAAAATTAATTTTATAAAGTTTTTTTTTAATATTAATAGAAACTCCAATTTTTTATAGCTGAAGTTTGTTGTTCTGATCTAGGCATATCAGAAAGTTTCCTCTTTTAACTTAGTAACTTCCCTACTTTAGGAATACACTTAAAGTTGGGTTCTGTGGCGTATGTAGCAAAATGAAACACTAATTTACTACACAGAAACAGTTGGAACCGTGCTGACCATGTTAGCATCTCTTTAGGCAAAGTAAGTTCTAATCTGAGGTTCTAATCATATGCTAAAATTGTTAGCCAAACATGTCGCAAGAGTTCTAGATAAAGTGTTTTGGTGAATTAGTGTCTTATTTTGCAACTTCTTTAGGACCTTGAAAGAAAGTGTCCATTATTCTCAAACAGACTTACATGTATATTAAAAACTAATTGACACATCTTTAACCATTCATGAATTTAATTAACATGTAACGCACAAACAACACACTTTTGTGTCCATGTCCTCTACGTAGTCTGGCCAATGACTGTGGCAAAATTTCAACAGATGACATTCAAAAAATTACAGAAAATACAATTTGCTTGCAAATTAAAATAATAAACACAACTGTCTCTGTCAGGGATCCTCTAATTGGACAGTGTATAACTTCCTTTCAATAGAAACTTGAATTTCAGTCACGTTACAAAAATATATTGACACTGGAAGTTCTTTAGGGGAAATTACACAGAATAGCAAGGCTAATGAATATATAAAATATGGATCTGAAAGTTTCCTGAACTATACCAAAAAGCACGCCACTCAATAAAGTTAATTTTTGGAAAATTTATAAGTGTCTATAATCTATAATACAAATAATTTTTGTAAATTATAACTTTTCATGTCAATTTTGACGGTTAAAAATATTTAGTAGTATCAAGATGTTCTACATATTTTTCTTAACAATTTTCTTTTGCAGCATACTGAAATATACTGAATAATTCTTTGTTGTAACTTCAACTATTTAAATCAACAATATATTTTGTATTGTTTTTAGGTAAGGATGTAGTACATCAGTTAACAGTGTCACTAGAAGACTTATATAAAGGCACTGTGCGAAAATTAGCTCTGCAGAAAAATGTGATCTGTGACAAATGTGAAGGACGAGGAGGTAAGAAAGGTGCTGTGGAACAGTGTCCAACATGTCGAGGTAGTGGAATGCAAGTTCAAGTGCAACAGTTAAGGCCTGGTAAGTTTGTAATACAAAAATCGACAAATGTTTTATCAATCTACAGGGTGGTCAGAACAGGATTCTGGTAACTTCAGCAGTATATTCTGCAGATAAAAATAACTAAAAAGGTTCGTGTAAATGTATGTCCTAAAATGCTTAGTTTCATAGATACAGGGTGTAGAAGCCTTTTTTATTTCGATTTTTTCGAAATAATTTCTAATGTAACGTCAATATTTGGATGAAAATCGGCGTCTAGGAGTTTTTTAACATGACAATGAAGGTCATATTGACATTTTGATGTCAATATGACTCCTGCTTGTAGAGGGCTACCTACATATCTTTAACTAGTTTAAAGACCTTTAATTTTTCGTGTGTACCTCTATAAAGCTACTGGGTTGGGGAAAATATACATTTCAAATTCAAATAGTTTATTGGTGCTAAATATCAAATGCATACACAAGTCAATAAGTGTTACACAAAATAAAAAAAAGTAAAATTATTAAAGATATTGCGAAGTTTAAAAAAAAACACTAAAATATACAAACACAATAATCAAAAGACAATTTAAAATCAAACATTAACAAGCTTTGAAATTCAAGTTTTTACATAATGCTGCTAATATCACATTCTAGAAACTCACTAAGAGAATAAAACGCCCGATCAACAAAGAATGACTTGAGAACAGACTTAAATTTTATGATGGGCAAATATCTAATAGAATGTGGAAGTTTATTAAAAAAATGTATTCCTAGGTACCCAGGGCCGTCCTGACATCTTTTTAAACGCCAACTTTTTAAATTTAAATCATATTTGTTAAGTGTAGCATAAGTATGGACCGACTCATGTGTTACATATTGATGTATGTTCTCTCTCACATATAGAAGAGTTTCTAAAATATAAAGACAGGGCAGTGTTAAAATATTATTAGAAACAAATTCTTGTCACCAGTCTGCATGATATGGTGTATCTGAGATTATTCGAACTGCCTTTCTTTGTAGTCCAAAGACTCTATTGGCTCCACTGCTATGACCCCAAACAATCAGGGCGTACTTCATATGTGCATGGAAAAGAGCAAAGTATGCTTGTCTCAAAATATAACCAGAAACGCAGTGTCTCAAATTCCTTAGAACAAAGATGTTAGTGGATAATTTATTGCACAACTCATCAACTTGTGCTCTCCAGAGCAAACCCCTGTCCAAGTATACACCTAGAAATTTTGCTGGTTCATTTGCAATACTTCTGTCCACAGGCCTTAAAGTAAAAACCATAGTATGTGTTTTATTTTTGTTAAGCAATAGCCTATTTGCCAAAAACCAACCCTCCGCTTTTTCACAGGCTCTGCTGGATGCATTCTGCACCATCTCCAAATCCATATGCACCGAGCTAATGGTGCTATCATCTGCAAACAGCGTGTAATGGGTTTTTAAATCCACTTCTGGTAAATCATTAATATATATTAAAAATAAAAGAGGTCCCAAAACAGAGCCCTGAGGGACACCAACCGTTAGACGCTGCCTCTCAGATACTGCATTTCCCATCTTCACACATTGAAACCTGTTAGAGAGGTAGCTCTGGACGAGAAGTACGCTGTCTTTATGGAAGTTATAAATAGTGATGGGCAAAACTGTTATTTTTAGATAACAGTTGAAACTGTTATAGTTATTTATAAAAAACAGCTTAAAATAACAGCTTAAAAATAACAGGTTTCTTTATTTTACTGCTAAATATCTGAAAGAGTATGAGGCGGTCACCGCCAGGCGTATTAACGCAGTTGCAAGTTGCAACAATGACGTGCTCGGTGGTAGTATTTCCAGGGTGTTAAAACATTTCTAAATATCGATTGTTATCTAAAATACCTCTCTAAAAACGGTGGTTGTTTACAAATAAGCGCTGTTTACAAATTGCGATATAAAAAAAGCCAAAATTGCGCCACTCGTCTATACCTATACATTCCGATCTACCTATGCCCTGCCTCGATCCGCCTGAATTGCGTAGTACAGGGTGCATCTCACTCGACGGACGAGAAGCTCTTAGTTATGATTTTACCATTTGCGGTCAAAAAATAGCAATATAAGAAAATGTGTAGTATATTCTTCATAAGTAAACCAACTACACACTGGAGTTCGAATTAATTTTACACTTAGCGTGTACCCGCGACATCGTTCGCGTCGAATTAATAATTTCTAATGGTGATGATAAAGCAAAACAAGAATTTCCATTGACATACAAACTGGATAAAATTTTCTCATATTTGCCAAAAATAAGCTTTCTAACGTCGAGCACTTTAAGCAGAATCGTGGTTAATCAATTACTCAACTTTTTGGAACACCCTGTATGATTTTTTAAAAAATTTTAAAATATGTAAAAAAAACAAAATAAATTATGCGTGTCCAGGCGTTTTCCCGAAAGACTAACCGTTTTTTAAATAACAAATATTGTAATATTTGAGGTGCGTTTTCACCCTGTTGGAATTTGAGATTCGATTGAGTAGCCCTACTTATCGAACCTAAACCCCACAATCAATCCGTTTGCTAAAAATCAGCTTTAAACTTCAAGCAGTTTAAGCAGAATAGTGATTACTCAATGGTCATATTTTATGAAACACCCTGTATATATTTTTAAAAAATCTTAAAATATGTAAAACAACATAATAAAATATACGTGTTTTAAGAGTTTTTCCGAAAAACTCACCGGTTTTTAAATAAAAAAATATTCTAATATTTGAGAGTAGTTTCACCCCCTTAGAATTCGAGTTTCGAAGAATCCCTTCTTATCGAACCTATACACACTAAAGTCAATCCGTTTTCCAAAAATCAGCTTTTTACGTCAAGGGCTTTAAGCAGGATCGTGATAAATCAATGACCAGATTTTTCTGGTCATTGATTAATCACAATCTGTATACTGTATACATTTTTAAAAAATCTTAAAATATTATTCTGAAAATTTTTCAGAATAAATAAATACCTAAATATTGAAACTTAATAAGTAAGTACTGAAACAGACAGTGCCATAATATCTCGACCTCCGTCTGTTATGCTCGTAACAGGTTGAAACAGAATGTATCTAAAACAACTGATGAGTTATTCCCCAACCTGTTTCAAACCTCCATCGACAATCGACCGATGCAGCAGCGTTCCTTTTCCACTCCGATTATCTCGACCGTCGCCTTGTTATGCTCGTAACAGGTTGAAAAACAACATATCTAAAATGACTGCTTCTCCAACCCGTTGCGAGCCTCCATCGACAATCGACCGATGCAGCAGCGTTTCTTTCCCACTCCTGTTATCTCGATCGCCAGGCGTTATGCCCGCAACTGTTTCAAAAACCTGCTTCTTTTATATCCTATTATTTTTAAGCTGTTGCAAACCAATACGACCATCGACGGTTTCGACCGAAGCAGCTACGTTCGCCGTAGCGCTTTCCCCACTCCGTTGTCCGTTGTCTCGCCGCCTGTATCGATGGTTGACGAAATAACATGTTTTCCATCCATACTAGTTGTTTTTGGAATTGCTTCGAGCAGCATAGAATTTCGTGGTGGTGCAGAGCGGCGACTTCGTTTTTCGTTTCACGAGCGGCCGATCTCTACGTGTCGTTATTTTATATCTGTTATTTTTTAGAAGTAGTAACGGTTGCGTTATGTTATTTATAAATAATTGTTATAAAATAACAGATAGTTAAATAACAACCCATCACTAGTTATAAACCTGTAGTTTCTGAACCAGTAGGTCATGCGACACACAGTCAAAAGCTTTACTCAGATCACAGAATGTTGATGCGACATAGTTGTGATGTTCAAAAGCATCCAGAATTTGAGACACAAGTTCCAATATAGCCGACGTAGTACTGCGGTTCTTTCTAAATCCGAACTGAGACTCGGTGAAAAGATTGTTGGCTTCAAAAAACTCAAGCATACGAGAAACCATGCATTTTTCGAATATTTTTGAAAAAATTGGTAGCAAAGATATTGGTCTGTAGTTCGTCAAGTCGTCCTCTTTGCCTTTTTTAAAAATCGGTAAGACTATTGCAGTTTTTAGGACACTTGGAAATACTGTTTCCTTCAGACACAAATTGATGAGTCTTGCAAGTGGGCCAACAATAAAATTTTTTACATTCTTTATAATTTCGACAGTGAAGCCATATATGTCTTTATTTTTCTTATTTTTCAGAGAGTCTATAATATCCCGGATCTCATTTATTGTGACTGATCGAAATTGAAATGATTCCTGGAGTTTATAATCAGGGATGTTTTTTAAAGGTTCAACATTTGTATTATTTTTTATTGATTTCTGTGTTAAGTGGACCGAATTTACTAAATAATTATTAAAACTCTCAGGATCAATGTTAACCAGGTTCTTGGGTTTCCTATTAGTACCTCTATATTCATTTATAATGTTCCACATACACTTTACAGGGTTTGAAGCTTGACTTATTAATTTATCATTTGCTCTTCTTTTAGTTTCAGAAATCTGCAACTTTTTTTCAGAAATCTGCAACGTAGAAATTTTTATAACCATTTCTGTATTCCTTGAGCCAATCAGAGGGATTCATTTTGTATAAATCATTCAAAAAGTGGAGATGTTCTCGCATACTTCTTAAATTTGAGTTAAAATTTTTTATTTACGACGTTTTTTACGCAAAAAAGGTCTCTTAGATTAAACTTGTTGAGTAAATAGTTACTAGACTGCAATCATAAATTTGAAATGTTCTTGTGCCAAAAGTTCAACAGAAACTGTCTTATCATAATTTTTTTAAAGAAAAATGTATGATTAATTCAAAAAAAAAATAAATAGTTCCCAAATTTATAATTTCAGTCAAATCATCAAGTTTATTTTTTGTTATGTATTGACTATTACCAAGGCGGTTGAAGCATAGTGCTAGCCACACTACCTTCCTTGTATACCGAACGGCTCTAGCATGGCAAGCTACTGCCAAAGCGTTAAATGCTATATACGGGAGCTATTATTATTATTAACTATTACCATTCTAAATATCTTGAAAACGGTTGCTCCTAGCAATTTTTACCAAGAGACATTTTTAAGTAAAAAATCTGAGAAATGTATATTTTTTCTCTCGGTAGTTTTATACAGGTAAGGACAAAAAGTTATTACTCTTCAAAACAGTTAAACACATAGGTCACGCACCCCACAAATATCAGTCATATTGACATCAAAATCAAATTTCTCATGTCAGAAATCTCCCAGACGACAATTTTCATCCAAATGTTGAAGTTACTTTAAAAATTATTTGGAAAAAATCGAAATAAAAATTAAACTTCTACACCCTGTATCTCCGAAACTAAGCATTTTAGGACATACATTTACAGGAACTTTTTTAATTATTTTTATCTGCAGAATAGGCTGCTGAAGTGTCCGGAATACAGTTCGGACCACCCTATATATAGAGTGATTTACTGTTACAATAAAGTTCTTGTTCCTGAGAGGAAAGCTTTGATCTTCAACGTTTATTAACAACTTAATTATTATACAATTTTCTTTTAGGTATTCTTCAGCAAATTCAGACTGTATGCCCAGAATGCAGAGGCCAGGGCGAAAGAATTAATCCAAAGGATAGATGTAAACAATGTCAAGGCAAGAAAGTTATACGCGATAGGAAAATTTTAGAAGTTCATATTGATAAGGGAATGACCGATGGTCAAAAAATTGTATTTAATGGTGAAGGCAAGTTCGTAACAAACTGAAAAATTCAAAATTACTATAACTTTTTTATTATGTACTTTAGGTGATCAAGAACCAGAATTGGAACCTGGCGATATCATCATTGTCTTAGACGAAAAAGAACATCCAGTTTTTAAGAGAAACGGTAATGACTTAATTCTAAGATTCGAAATCCAATTGGTCGAGGCTCTCTGCGGTTTCCAGAAAGTTATTAGGACTTTGGATGGTAGAGATTTAGTGATTACGCAACTTCCGGGCGAAATAATTAAACATGGCGACGTAAAATGCATTCAGAATGAAGGTAAATATGAATTAAAGTTGAGGATGTCTTTAAATAATTGATACATGTTTTACTAATTAAGAGAAAATTCGAATCGTTTTACTAATTAAGAAAAATAATTCGAGAAAAAAACGACGTCCAGGTGGCTTGGAAATGACGATCGATGACATTCCCCATATAATTTTACAGATAGAATGACAGCGATCTTCGTTTCATAGCCATCGCTGACGCCATTTTTTTTTCGATCATATGGTAGAAGTAAGTACATGACAAAATATCGTAAAAAAATAAACAGTAAATAGGTTAGAATTTGATTTTATCTTTTGTGTCTTAACTATTTTACATCTTTTTAAAATCTGTTTATTTCTGAAACTTGTTATATAGACTTAAAAACCAATTCTGAACAACTTTTCTCTATGATATTTGATATTTTGTCATCTATCTCCAATTTTTGATTATTTAAAAATGATTTTTGTTACTTGCGGCTATGGCAGTTGTCACATGGCATGTCAAAATATCATGTGGTAATTTTTTAAATAACTAATAAAATGGTGGATGCCAACTTTGTACTCATAGAAAACGCTGTGGACACAGAATACAAGCCATAAGAAAGTTATTTATTAAAAAAAATACCTAACGCGTGTTTAATAAGCCACCCTCCCCCATACACTTAGGTTATTTTACTTGGATTTAACCATACAGTTAAAACCGCTCTGGTCGAAAAGACGGGTAAACAAAAAAACCAATACTGTATACTGTCCCATTTTTGTCAGTTCGTTTTATCCGCGTCGTAGTTAGTAACGACGGATTCGAGAAACGGTTTACAAGCAGTTGCGGCGCTAAAAAAATATCCAGAGAAGGAATAGATGAAAATGGTCCAGTGCGTCGAAAAAATATATAAAGAACTGCTCGCGTCTTAAATATCGGGTAGGATCGAACGGGTTGAACCATATGGTTAAAACATCTGGCAGACAGATATTGAACTAACGGGCAAGACTGGCCTGAACACTCACATACACTGAAGTTTTTGTTCTTCAGCTGGTTTACTTTGCAATTATATTAGGTCTCCTTTGTGTGACAATAATCTGGACGAGCGTTTATTTCCGAGATATTACTACAGAGAAGAAAAATCGGTTACCATGACGAAAACTGCCCATGCTAAATATGTCTATATTTTCTAAATTTTTATTAACAGCACACTTACCAGTTAATAATAATATGTTTTATGAGCGGAATTCATGTATTTTTTGATAGTTACTTACTTTTAAAAAATATAGAGAATAAAAGTGTAAAAGTTGTTCAAAATTGAAGTCGCCATATTTATCTGTATTTATGTCCTGAATGATATTTAATGCGGTGTTGCCAGAGTGTGGTGAAATTCCAAACAAGGTTATATACAAAAGCAGATAATACGCAATCAACAAAAAACACTTATAGCGTGATTTGATTGCGTTGGTTTCAATGTTTTTGGTTGGGTGGTTATTTATTGGGGGTTAGTTAGATTGGTTATTTTGGGGGTTGCTTTGGTTGGTTAGGTTGGATATTTGGGGGTGGGGGGTTGATTTGGTTGGTTTTTCCTAATTTATTATATTGTTTGTTTTTTTGATATTGACTCATTTTCTTTATTTGTTTGTGATAAATGTATATAATAAATATAGAGTTTTGGTTAAATAGGGAAATGAAACTACATAACAATGTTCAAATTAATTAAAAACTAATACTACGGAAATTGCGTGTTATATAACGGCCGCACTGCCTTACTTTGTCATAATTTATCCGTGTCACCTGTCAAAATAAGCCTGTTCTGTGGTTCATCTGTGGTCAAAATTCATCTGCAACTGCAACGTCAAATAGTACCAACATGTTTATTTAATATTTTAAAAAATACGCGATAATCCGCAAATTTTATATTGAAACCGAAAACTACTTATTGAAACTGGTCTTTTTTGTCCCCTCCCCCCCCTAAAATCTATAAATTGTGTTAAATATTAGGCTTTTGGGTTATAAATGGCGCCCTAAAAAGCGTATTCTACATAGGTGGTGCTGAAATTAACCCCAAATGATTTGAACTCTTTAATTATATTAACAAATATATTAGAACTTCTTTAGATTTATTACACCTTTTTTTTCTGATAATCACGGTATTTATAAAACAGTATCAATATTTTTTAGGCATGCCTATCTAACACTCTAACTATTTCAAAAATATTTGATATTAACTAAAAATTTGAACAGGTATGCCAAGATATAAGAATCCATTTGAAAAAGGCCGTTTGATCGTGCAATTCTGGGTCATCTTCCCCAAAACCATTGCGCCTGAATTAATCCCTCAATTAGAGAATTGCCTGCCTCCCCGCGAAGAAATAATGGTTCCCGATAACGCAGAAGAGTGCATCTTAGAAGATTTCGATCCGGAACAGGAAGCAAGGAGAAGACATCACAAGAACGCGTACGATGAAGACGAAGAAATGCAAGGCCATGGCCAGAGGCTCCAATGTGCAACCAATTAGGAATACATTTAATTCGGGCAGTTTAAACTATTTAGATAGAAAGGCACTGTATTTAATATTAAAGGAAGCTATTCAGTGTGTAGAGTAATAAAATCATTTTGTTTCGAAGTAGTGGCAACATAATCATGCTTGTCAACTATACTTTTGCATCAAACTGACTAAAGCTTGATTTTCATGCATCCGTTGTCCGACGATACGTTGATACGATATTAATTTTATTGGTTGAATTTAAAGACTTCATTGGTTAGAAACGGTTAACCAATCGAAGTCTTTAAATTCAACCAATAAAATTAATATCGTATCATCGTATCGTCGGACAACGGATGCATGAAAATCAAGCTTAAACCTTAATGGTATTAGTTGCTGCCCTTATTTATAATAAAATAAATTTAGTCAAATAAATTATGCAATTACTTGGGTAACTGACATAAAAGTGATCTTTTGCGTTTGCGCCTCTTATCATTTCTAATATATTAATTACGGAATTATCGATTGGGTGGAAATTTTCTGTTAAAAATAATTGAGAATCTTGGATTGAAAAAAATTGCCTAGTCATGGTTTTATTGATTTATATGTATATTTGCTGATACCAGTTTTACATGAAAAGTTTAGGGTTTTTTAATTATATTATTATAAAAGGCGCAATTGCTCACGATATACATATTCATTTTATGATTATTGTAATATGGATTAATTTTACATAATTTCATAATAAAGTTTATGATCCACAATTTCTGAGATTCATTTCTACTGACCAATTGATTTCAGGTATAAAACCAGTCATGAAAAGACATTATTTTAAAAAACAGGAATATCATCCCTGGTGATATTTTTTCAGGCTTAAAATATACAGTTTGTCACATGATGGAACGCGATTTGGACAAATGATATCCAAATTGACAGGAAAACGATTTACTGTAGAATTTAAATGACATACGACAGCTGTCCCTGTCAGAATTCTAGACAAATTATATATTTAGTAAGAGAATTTAAACCAGTTTTCGGAGTTAGCTGTAGATACATATACAGGGTGTCCCAATATTCCATAGACATAGAACTACGTATTTTTGGAATCAAAATAAATGCATTGGACACAATTTACCTCTACAAAAGTGCTTCGTTTGTCCCTTTTTGTCCTAGAGGGCATCAAACTTTAAAAAAATAAACATATTTTTTCAAATATTTAAGAACCGTTATTCCGATTTGAATGAGATTTTGGATGTCTATGTTTTGCTAAGTGCTTTAACATTTGGTGTTCAAAAAAAATCAAGGAAAAACACGGGAAAACTACCCCACCCCGACATAAATTTTAGTATAAATATTTTCCAACTTCATTGACAAATTTTCTTCAGTTCCAATATTTCGTTAACATAGAACAACTACGTATTTTTTGGATTGAAATAAGTTAATTGTACATGTTTTGTCCGTTGGAGGGCATCAATCAAAACGTTAATTAATTTAAAAATTATTATTTTTTTTAAGCTTTTTATGAAGCTTATGCTCAAATATAATTTGTGATTCTAACATAAAATTCCATATTTTCGCTAAGTAGATTATTATAGCATAATACATTTTATGCGCCTCCATAACTTAATGTGACAAAAAACATTTTTTGGAAATCAGCTTTGGAAAAATATTTTTTTTCCTCGAAAAAGTATGCTCGGTGGCAATTTTTTACAGGAAACAAAAAATGTAGTAAATACTAGGGGGACTATTTTACGAAAAGAAAATCGGCCGTCGGTGGAGTTGTAGGACAATATTGGGACACCCTGTATATTAATAACAGGACTATTCTCAATTATTAAGATTAATAGATACATTTTTATATTATCAAAAAAGTATTTACTATAAGATCGATAATTAATTAGTGGATGTAAAATCCTGAGCAAAATTCTCTGAAGAAAGTCTGAAGTCTATCCAGTGTCCAATGAGCCTACAGTGATTTCAACAGATGACATTCAAAAAATGACAGAAAACTGCCGTGTTAATTTTTACAGTGAATAAAAGTTCATTGAGAAAAGAAATTAACAGTAAACCAATTAATTTTCATTTTGACTGTTGTACATATTTGTCTTTTTTATTTACAGGCAAATTGTGTCTTCTGTCAAAATCTTCCCTGACTCAATGGACAGACTAGACATTGAAGATTGTTAAAAATTAATAGAAAAAATTAAAAGATTTTTGGATACAAATCATTTTAATTTTCAAAAAATATTTTAATGTATCTGAAAACTTTTACTTTCCACTAAGATAATGTTTCTAATTAATAATTGAAAAGGTTAATAATACTACTACTAATTTAGGGTTTTCAGTAACTATATTAAGTAACAAAAATTCATTACATACACTCTTAAATATAATATTTACAAAATTAAAATTAACACATCCATTACTGTGTTTTCTTCTTCTTAAGAGATGGCTTTTCAAATGTCTGCTTTACCCCGCCTGCCTGTGTTGAATGAAATTTGATGTTCTGCTGATTTTCATTCGACCATGGTGAATCAAACTGTGTAGTATCTTGATCAACCAAGTGTGTGTATTTGGTACGTCCAGATCTTCCAAAGTTTTTAACCTGCATAACTTTCGGAAGTATAGTTTTGTCAAAGTGATCCTCCAGAGTGGCTTGAGCAAAATCTCTCTTAAACACTTCATCCTCTTTGTCTAAATAGAAAGCACCACGATGATAATACTTCTGCAAGAACTTGTATTTTCCTTTTGCCGCCTTGTTTGTTACTAATTTCGGGTTTAGTCTTAAAGCCAACCTCCTTTCTTCTTCTGTCATATTTCTTAGTTTCTCTATCTCCATCTTTTCTTTTTCTACGGCTTCCCTTTCTTCTCTGTCTCGCTTTACCCTTTTTAGTTCTCTTAATTTCCAGGCTTCGTATTCCACCTCGTCATTTTCATCATCTGTACAGACATCATTTAAATCAGGCTCGTTAGTATCTTTGTCTTTATCTTCTTTTTTATTACGGATTAACTCTTCTACCATTCTTAGGGTCTGACGACGTTTTTCTTCAGCCTTTCTTATTTCATCTTCCTCCAATCTATAATATAAAAAAAATATTAGGTAGAGAAACGCAAATGTCAAAATAACAACTGCACTATTGGACTTTGTCATATTTTTTTAATACATAATAATATAATAACACTAGTTTATTACAAGACACCATACCACATTACTTTCCATTAATAACATATCAACTCAATATTCAATATGGGAGGTTTAATCACATCTAGACTTCAAAGCATAGAGCCTTGCTGTATTGTGGTAAACTAGTATTATTTTATATTTGAAAATTAAATACACATCGATTTTTTCATTTACCTTTTTTGTCTTACCGCTTCTTTCTCCTTTTCAATAATAGTAACTCTGTCTCTTTTTCTCACAAATACTGGCTTAAGTCTAGGTCCAGTTTCTTCCTCGGAATCTGTATATTCTTCCGACTCTTCCTCCTCTGATGAGGTAGAATCCTCTTCCTTCTTCAAGAATTCCTCTTCGTGTTTAGTTTTTACCATTTTACTTTTAAGGTGCTCTCTTCTTCTTTCGATTTCTTCATCGCTAAGTTCCTGTTTATAAAATACAAAATAAATTTAATTTAGAACATTTGAATTTGACAAATATATTACCTCTTCCGAAGCGTCATCATCTGGTCCCGCTTCTAAAGTGTGTTTGTGCTCTGGTAAACTAACGTTTAGCTCTTCATCATCAGAAGATTCCAAAACTTCTGCTTCAAAAACGTGTCTGCGACGTTCAGGACGTACTTCTGTATCAATTTCGATATTCCGTAACCTTTTTAAACGTGGATCTGTAATGAAGATAATATAACACATATCCTAGTGAAACATAATTATATATGACTTACCTTTTAACTCATCATCACTTCTTATTAATTCTGGCGATGCTTCTTTATTAATGTGATGTCTGCGCTCCAAGAAATCGTCTTCATCACTATCACTATCTGAAGGAACTTCCTGAGCATAGTCTGGTCTTTTTCCAGATACATATCTGTGAACCTTTACTTTTTGCATAGAAATTTCACCTTTTTCATTTCTGACTGGGACGGCACCGGCCGTACTTTGTATTCCATATATCAAAGGTGGATTGAGAGCCATAGTGTCGTACTACTTAAAACTAAAATATTAATAAAAGACATTTTAAAATAGAAGTTTATACAATTTAAATATTTTTGCTATACCTTGACAAATAAAGGATCAGGAAGTTTAATAACTTTGGTATTTATATATTATTCTTCTCTCCTTTTATTGTTTTCTAGTACCTACACTATACAAATTTAATCCAAATAAACACTTTTTCACTCTCCAAATTACAGTCTTCACGAACCACTGGTCAAAACAAAACTGTCAACTGTCAACAGTTGCCAACGTCAACATCAACTGAAAAATAACATCCGTCAATGTCAATCATCCCCTCCCCGTGCCCCTGCAGGCGTCACCATCATATCTGACGTCATGTTGTTGCTGCACCGATGTATGTGTTGCTGTAACCACAGAAGAAATAATACATAATTCATATATAATTTTGAAAAAAAAAGCAACTTCTAAAACATGTTTCCTTTCAGTTTTAAGAATTTGTATCAGGTTTGGGTAAAAAGATAGTTACCTTTTCTCGTATTGTAAGATAGGGTAATGGTGTGGATCCGGTGGCTGACCTTGAAACGAGTTTTTGCTGCATATAGTCAGAGACACTACGCATGCGCACATCTTCGATGTTGCCAGATTGCAAGTTATTTTGGAATTATATTCAGTAGAAAACAAATATGTGCTTTTCAGTGTTTTTTTGTCAATATATACAGTTGGCTGGGAAATGACGATTGAGGACATTTCCCATATAAAATGACAGCCATCTTCATTTCATAGTCATCGCTGACGCTATTTTTTTTCAATCATAGTACGCGGTATATTATTTATATTATTATTTTAATATTTCGCACAACACGTGAACGCTTATTATGTATTTTCATTGTCAATAAAATTAAATATAAATAAAACTCTAGATTCCTATAATTAATCTAATTGCTCTAGATTATTATGCTACGTTTAAAAAGTGCTTTATTAAAAATTCGGGAGCTCCATGTCATGTTCATAATAGTTTTTTTAACATTCCATCAAAACAAACTACGGAGGCCTTAAAAGGCCTTTAAGCCTCCGTAATTAAAATTGTAGAATCAGCTTCAGCAACATTAACAGTTACCTTTTGTTTAATTCTGCTTATACATATATTGCATTAATTTTTCTGCTACCTTAAGGTTTCTCAATTCTTACAACTAATTTATGTGATATTCTTAGCATATATGATTTATAAACTATATTTTTGCTAATGGAAGGATGGAATAGGATATACAAAATTAAGATATTTTAACATTTATTTTCCATACAAAGCATAATAGAGTATTAAGATTAAGACATAACAAATATTATAAGAAAGATCTTAATATAATCACAAACTAATAAGTCTTAATTTGGTCTTGTATAAACACAGGTACAAAACTAATAAGATCAAAACTCAACCTTCACCATATTGTCAAGATTTGGCATTATAGGAAACAAGAAATCACAGTAAATTAAGAAAAGAATATCAAAGTACACGATATTAAATACTGTAATGTATTCTACGACACAAACCATCTCCCTTCTAAAGAGAAAAAGATAAAACATGAAGCTTATTTTAGTCTTATCAACACACTCTTCGATAAAATATATGTCTAAAATTGCTATTAATCCACTAACTTGATATTTTTAAGAAATTATGATACAAACATTAAGCGGCCTACTCACGTGGCAATTTACAAATTGAGGCGTAATTGTACCGTGTGGAGTGCAATCGTGAATAACTTCCCGATATCGGCTAGTTGGAAGTCCCGTCGATCCAATCGCCCTGCTCCCCTCCCTAATACCCTGCAAATTGGAATGTGTGTGATGCAGTTGTTCCAGAACTTTTTTTTCTTTTCTTTTATCTGACTTTAATTTTAAATTTTTTTTAAACTTTAACTTAAAATCTTTAATTTTTAATTTAATCACTAATGACAATGCTATACCGATTTTTTGCGCTTTGAGGGTGCCATAATGCTATAATGGTGTCAAACACGCACGCAGAAAATACTAAACCTACTGATAAATTGGGACATGTGTAGACAAAACCCGATATTGTTCCATGCAGATTGGACCCTGCAAATTGCCACGTGTGTAGGCCGGTTTATAACCACATTTATAACGAAAGTATATTATATTAGTAACATTATAGGTAAAATGTTATCTCTATCTCCCATTGACGTGTATTGTTCTATACATGGTCCGGCAATAGTGCGTCGGGCATCTGTAGCTCATAGAATAAAAAACTTGAGAATTTTGTTTAAGTGCAGACTTAAAGTATGTACCAGGATGTATTTCAGGAAAATATTTTAACTTCTATAGTTGGTTCAAAAAGTGTGAGTGGACCTGGAATGGAACACCCTGTATATTATTGCATTTTGGCTTCTTTTCAGATCACTTTACATAACCCTAAGATATGAATAAATATATTCGATAGTTTCAGAGATATTCAAAAATAAATCAAAAATATATATTTTTCAGCCTTTCTTAAAAAAAATATTAAAAATACAGGAACTGTTCTGAAATCAAAACTATATTAGGTATTTACTTTAGATGGTCTGTACTTACTTTGCTATAAATATGAAAATCGTAAATCATACAGGATGTTCAAAATTCTACGCCAAACTTTCTAAAATATAAAATAATTTTTCATCGTTTTTTTAAATGGAACTGTATATTATTTTTTCAGTAGACGGACAATTAAAAAATGAACATTTTTTGTGTTTAGAGTATTTCAAAATTTTTAACGGTTTTGCAGATATTTGCGGTTTTATATTTCATATGGCATTTTCCACAGTAAATTTTTATCAAAGCCACCCAATGATTTTTCTCTCGTATTTTACTATTGAAAGCGCCATATGAAATAATACTGCGTGTATCCGGAAAACTGTTAAAAATTTTGAAATACTTTAAATTCAAAAAATGTTCATTTTTTAATGCTCCATCTAATAAAAAAATAATATACAGGATGTTCCCTTTAAGAAAACAAAGAAAAATTATTTTATATTTTAGAAAGTTTGGCGTAGAATATTGAACATCCTGTATGATTTACGATTACCATATTTATAGCAAAGTAAGAATAGACCATCTAAAGTAAATACCTAACATAGTTTTGATTTCAGAACAGTTCTTGTATTTTTAATAATTTTTTTGAAAAGGACTGAAAAATATATATTTTTTATTTATTTATTAATATCTCTGAAACTATCGAAATATATTTATTCATATCTTAGGGTTATGTAAAGTGATCTGAAAGGAAGCCAAAAATGCAATAATATACAGGGTGTTCAATTTAAAAAAAAATCATCCAGGTCCACTCACACTTTTTTGAGCCACCCTATAGAAGTTAAAATATTTTCCTGAAATACATCCTGGTACATACTTTAGGTCTGCACTTTAACAAAATTCTCAAGTTTTTTATTCTAGGAGCTGCAGATGCCCGACGCACTATTGCCGGACCCTGTATAAGACTCGTCATGGTAGTACTTCAATACATCAATACATATAATCAAAACTATTGTTGTCTGTAAATAACTAGAAATTTAATAACTTGAAAGAAATAAAATAATTCTAATAAGTTTAAAACCATTAAGAAAAAGTCCGTAAATGATAATTTTTAATTCTAATGTAAATATAAATAAATGTTATTATTATTACAATTTTATATATTCATAATACTTTCATTTCACAATCTTCATTATCCTTCTTACCTTAATTTTGGATATCAAGATAAATCTGAAATTATAAAATTAATTATAGAGTTTGTATTATTATTGATTAACACTCAAAAAAAAAATTTCAACTGCAAATAATTCGAAAATAAACTGCAATTTGGCAACATCGACGATGTGCGCTTGCGTAGTATCGATGATCAAATGCAGCAAATATTGGCTTCAAGGTCAGCCACCGGATCCACACCTTTACCTAAGATAGATTATAAATATAAAATTTAGCCAATAATTTAGCAGAAAAAGGTAGGAAAATTATGACTTGAATATACTGCCCGGATAATTTTAGGCAACAAAGGCCGAAATTCAAATTGAAGAAGAAGATTTGCATGGCAACCTATCTTTTTAATAAAAACAAAAGATTGGATGTCAAATCACCTCATAATTTTTTATTTTAATTCTTGTTCATAATTTATTACTAGTTTTTCAAACACATCTCAAGATAATTATTAAACATTTGTTGTTGTTTGCCAAGTGTATTACAATAGTTTTTATTATATATAATGGATGACAATGGTCTTCAATGTATTTGGGAAATTAGTAACTTTCATCCTAATATTTTAGATTTGGCTATAAAAAATACGCAGGATTTAAAAACGCTGAATATTTTACTGGATGCAAAATTGAAATTTTTTGATGGTTCATCTTCTGATAACAAGATAAGCATTGATATTAGTCATATTTATAAAGGTACTTCGATAAATTCAGATTTATTAAAAGAAACTTTAAGTAAAGCTCTTATAGTTTCTAACGATCCAACTGCATTGCTGTTAGAATTGTTAAGTTATATTCAACACAATGATAATACAGACTGTAAAATAAATGTTGCCTATATATTAGATGTTGTTATCAGATATTGTTACACACAATCAAGCATTGAATTTTTATTTGAGCATCTAAAATATGAATATATTATAACGTTTTTATTAGGTGTAACAGAATGCAAATCAGTCAGGAAGCAAATATATGAAACTATTACATTTTTTTACTCTATTTTACCAGTAAATGCAAAAGTAAATTCTTTAAATGTTGTTTTTCATTTTTGTCAAACTAAAGGGAATTTAGATACATTATGTGCTCTATTATATAAGGTGGACGTTGATGTTATTAAGGAAAGTGTGTGTTGTTTTAATACAGATGATTTTTGGCATTTTCTGGGAAATTGCTTAATGCAGTCCAGTCCAGCATTAAATAAACAAGGAATATATATTATGAAGTACTATATTAATAATTTTTATAATTCAGTACATAATACTTATATTTCTGTACCAGAATTATCTGAAAATTCATGGGATACATTTTTCTTGTTAATAGACATTGGTAAAGAGAAACAGTTACATCTTGTCGAGCCAGCATTAGAATTACTTAAAGATATAGAAATTTATCATTTTATCTGGCAAAAATGCATTTATGAAATTTATTTAAACCACTGCCAACCTTCAATTGTATACAATGTACTCATGCATGTTTTGCAACAGAACTATGAAGATGAAAACCTAAAATCTGTATTAAAGTTGATTTTACCAGCCATTAATGTAAATGATTACAATGAAGAAACATGTAAAGTGTATCTTTCATTCCAAACATTTTCTTCAAAAAAATGCAAAAAAGATTTTGATATAATTTTAAATGAAATTTTACTAATTCCATGGAATTCAATGAGTCTGTGGAAAGTTATTCAAAACATTTTTGTAACTGAAAATAAGAAATGTATTAATATTGACTATTTCAAAGATATTCTTAGCTGTATTGTTAAACTTTCACACACTTATGTTAAGACTGAATGTATAAAATATGTCATAAATTACTTTTGGGATGGTAGAAGTTTTTATAAAATGTATAAGATAGCCAAATCTCTTAAAAATTATAACATCAATTACCACAGTTATTTTCAAAGTCACGAAATCTCAGAAGAAATTGTTGACTTTATAATAAATGAATTACTAATTTTAAGTGGCAATGATGGTTCTGTTGATAAAATAGAAATATGTATTATGTTGTTACAAAGACTGAACTTTGATATAATTTCAACAACAATTATGAAACATTTACATAAATTAAATCCTCATATCAAGTTGTTTGTTTGGAATATGTATTTAAAGTCGCCAACATATTCAGAAAGTGGAGACCTTATTTTACAAACAGAGGAGTTTTTGATTGAATATTTCTTAGAGCATTTAAGTTCCAACACAACATCTTATTTTTTGACTTTATTAATTACAGTTACAGAAAAAACTGAAAATTTTCATATGAAAATTGTGAATTTATTAATACAAAGTTCTTTAAAACCAAATATATTTAAAAAAGAACAAATATTCGTTAGTTTAGCTTTTTTAAATAAATTTCCAATTTTATTGAGAGAACATGATAATTCTATTAATAATGAACAACAAACAATTGGGGAACAAATTTTTGAAATATGGAGTCGCAAAATTTTTACGGAAAGAGATACATATATCTGCAAAGAGTATATACATATTTTATTTAAATTATATAATAATAAATTAAATTTAAGGAATACAACTGAAATTACAGAGCTATTTAAAAGTATGTTTGACTGTCACAATAATGAACTACTTGTATTCTTATATGAAAAAATATTGACAATAATACAATTAACTGAAGTACCCGATGTTCTGTTTGATTTTTTGAAATTCTGTTATTCAAAACTGAAGACTTTGAAAAAAGATGTCTACTTTAAAAAAATATTAATTCACTATATTAATGCTGCGTATTGTGATAATCTTGTCAGCAATGTCGGTGGTATTTTTCTTACAAATAATAAATTGTTGGAATTCTCCGCTACATATCCCGTAATAAAATTTCATTTAATATCATCAATTAGGAAACTGTTACATGAGAAAAATTGCTCAAATTTCGTGTATTTGATGCCAACTATACTTGAAATATATCTGCAAGGAATTATAACTACTAAAGATGAAAGGTAATAGATGGCTTTTTACACTTTAAATATGCTTTCTTAATCTGTAATTTTTTTCAGAACTGAGTATTTTATTTGCCAAGAATTTCTTGAAGAGACTGACTATAGCAAGGTTGTAGATACCTATGAAAATTCTAAGTAAGTTTTTTAATCAAGTTTCAAAATATAGTCTGTCCAGCGAGAGATTACATATGTAGTCTATAAGTAAAGTAAATGTGATTTGTGATTCGGAAATAAATTGTTTTTTCCTGTCAGTTTCTGTATGTTTGTATAGGCTTGGTGCATTTCAGTTGATTTCAGCAAATTCCGACCGCAGCGCTTCAATGGCAAAACTCTGAAATTATCAGTAGGCGCCGTCATGTTGATCGCATTAAAATAATATTGAAATCGTGGTTTTGTCATAATATTTAAGTATTTTAGATTTTTGCTAGTGCAGTTATTGAGACTATAAAACACCAATTAAAACACTCAGGTACGAGGTTTGTGTAATGTAACGCTGTTTTTTGGGTAGTAAAAAAATAAATGAAAAAGAACCCGAACTAGGCGTCGTGTTGTGACAGTTTAAAATGTTAATAAAATCACCGAAAAAATGTTAATGCTTAAAGAAGAGCGTAATTAAGGCGTTGTTTAGTGCAATAACATTCAATAACTCAACTTTCCCGGATATTAAACTCTCCCAAAACAACATTTTATAGCTTCATAGTTTCTCACACCGATTTGATCAATAGCAAAAATGGATTCAAGCAGTTCAACGAAACAAGTGAGTAAAGAAAGTGCTCATTACATAATCAAAAAATTAAATAGGTATATAATATGAGAGGATAAAAATATAATTTGCAATATTAATGGTTTACTTTTTTTAATCAACTAGTGATTAAATGTTTTATGAACATCTTCTAAAATTATAATTATCTACCTTTAAAAAATTTCGTTATAGCCGAAATAGCCCCAACTATGACCCCACTAGCAAAATCGGTGCGTAAAACTATGCTCGCTGTCGTAGTTGAACTCATCTAAAAAGTTTTTTAGCTGGAATAATAAATTATACTACAAGTTAGACCTTCTGAAGATATCAAAATATTTACTTTTTTATTTTTATTTTTAGAATTTTCACAAATTATACTTCCTAACACTTAGAATAATTATATAATAAATTTTTCGTATACTCGCTATTTAAACCCGTGTATTTGTATGTACCAGTTGTTTACGATATTCTCCGATGGTGGCAGCACTGGCGGAGAATGCACCAGGCCTATATGTCACCTTTCGAAATCGTCGCATCCTTTGCTGGACAGACTTTAGTTTATATTTGTGTAACAAATTCTAAACAGTAGTTATTTTCAGTCCAAATGTCTTAAATATATCATCTAGAATAATAGCTTTGGAAGCTATACTTGAAATAGCGAAATACGATGTCTCTACAGTCATCGATTCATTAAGAGGAGAATATCTGAAATTTTTCAAGAAAAGATATTTTCCAAATTCGGAGGTAACTACTACATAAACCATTCATTATTTTATTTTGATTAATAAATATTTTTTTAGATTCATATAAGAAAATTACGAATTACCCAGGCTTTGTTGACAATAACTCCTTTTGTCAAGTCGTATTCCAAGGAAGCAATTCAAATTGGCGTTTTTTTGTTGGACTGCTTTATTGAAGAGTCTAATCAAATTTGTGTTAAACAGCTTTTCAACTGGATCTTAATCGTTTTATTGCAGGGGGCGGCATATGCAGGTAATACAATTTTATTGTCATGCCTTTATAGGTATTATTTTAAATTTTATATACAGTGTCTTCCTGAATAAAATTGTATTTAGTAATCATTTTATTATTATACTAAACTATACATTTTTTGTATAAATATCGAATTATAATGTAATCATATTTACATAGATTATTCGCACTCTTTTTAAATTTTAATTTTACGTAATTGATATTATATGTTTTTTTTTCAGCAGTCAATATTGACATAATTATTTTCTGATACTTTTATAGGACCAATACCTATAAAAATTTTCGAAAAAATTAGAATCAAAGCTTATTTTTTATGTATCCGAATTTCGGACGTTTTAAAAAAAAATGAGAGCAAAAATTTTTGAAATTTAAAAATGTTTTCACTACTCTACTCAAAATTATTATCGCATATTTAAAAAAAAGTAATTATTACATATTTCTAAACGAACCATGCATTTTTCTGTCTGCCTCTCGCAAGTTTTTTTTAGGATATACCGGGTGCGTCTCAAAAGTGGCTCACCTCTATAACTTTTTTATTTTTTCAGTTAAAAAAAACGAGATTTGGTATGTTAGTATATGACATAAATTAGGATTGATTGACGTATTCAATTGTTTTCGATCACTGTTTCACCGGAAATGACTACAACTTTTGAATTTTAAATGCCATCTTCGGCATTTTTTTACCTATTCGAAAGAAAATAACACTCTGAATAGAATGACATAGCATATGTCAACTTTTGACATTTTCGCATATGGTGTATTTGAAATTAAAGTTGCGGTTTGTAACGAAAATTTGACTTGAAATACCAAGTGTGTGGTATCAAATTATTGGTAAAAAAATGCTTTTCCCAAATATGCTAGTGAGCCACCCTCATTCCATTTGAAAAATTGAGATATGATTAAAAATACGATTTGAGCACTTTCTGGCTGGCCAGGACAAGACACTAAAAACATCAGACGATCAAAACTATTTTTCCAAGGCTCCTTGATTAAGAATTAGTGTTTTTAACATAGCCATGACACTCTAGATTGCATTTTAAAATACGATTTTTTATTAAGCGAAAATGTCAAAAGTTGACATATGATATGTCATTCTATTCAAAATGTCATTTTCTATCGAATAAAGTAAAAAAATACCGAGGGTGCCATTTAAAAATCAAAAGTTGTAGTAATTTTCGGTGAAACAGGAAGTGACCAAAAACAATTGAATACGTCAATCAATCCCAATTTATGTCATATACTAACATACCAAATCTTGCTTTTTTATCTGAAGAAATAAAAAAGTTATAGGGGTGAGCTACTTTTGAGACGCACCCGGTATAGGCTGACATACAATTTTTAGTCGGCCGACTATTAGTTGCAAAAGTGAAAACAATACATTCTCATATAATATATCCTTATGGAGCCGCGCCCACATGAAATCAATAGTGAGCCGATCGGCTCCATAAGAATGTATTGTTTTCATTTATGCAACTAAATAGTCGGCCGACTAAAGTTGCATGTCAGCGTGTATGGTTTAGTGTTTCGAATTTTGCTTTACAGTATCCAAACTATTTAAAAACGTAATTATGAGATTGAAGTCTTGTTTTTTAAATATTTTTTTTATATTTAATAATATTAATTTCTCTTAAGTTTTCATGCGAATGTATAGTTTAAAAATATTGTTTTTGCTTTAAAGGCCATTCAGTAGTAAAATCTAAGTATTATTGTAGGTATTGAATATATAAAAAGAGTGATGACCATTTCTCCAAATGTTTCACCATCAGTATTGATAGGACTTGCACCCACCTTCTACCATTTGGCCCTATCAGATACTGAAGATTTCATCAGGTCTTTCACGGCTGTTTTATCATTAGCTTTGCCGTGGAGCATGGGAGCACAATTTAAACTAAGGCTATACGGACAGGTGAATATATAAATAAAAATACATACAGGGTGTCCAAGGCTGAGCGTGTATTAGAAGTTTCTAGATAATTAGAATATCTGGATCGGAGATTTTTTGCACATCATTGTTTCACAATTAGATCTATCAATTAAAAATATTTTCAATATGGCGGCACTTCCGGAAATACCGGACTTGATAACAACTTTCTTATTTTCAATGTGTACCCCAATTTTTTGTTATATATTTAAGTTCCATACAAAATGTTATGAATTTTTATATTAAACACTTTATACCTCATTAACCGTTTTTGAGAAAAAAAAATTACAATTTCTGGAGAAAAATAACTGCTTGTCAAAAAAGACTGTATAGCCTAAACGTCAAATTTAGTGATTACCACAACCTCTGTGACATAAAGGGAAGACATGTGGCTATTTATTTCAAAAATTAAATTGTTCGAATGTCAGATAATATTGGCCGTAGCTGTCATTCAATTGAGCGATTCAAAAATTATCATAAATGGTTTTTTTCAAATGGAAACCCACTTTTTATTCCACCAGGGAAAAGGTTTTTTAATTCGTTACTTTTTGATTATGTTCCTACACCTAAAGTAAATCGTTTTTAAGTTATTTAAGATTTAGTTTTAAAGCGTATATTTTTCTGCTTTTTAATCAGTAGGTAGCCTATGACTTTAAACGTCAAGCGATGTAAAACTATTTCTCGCCAAGTCATAATGCTATTAGATATCGCTAAAATATGATATATATACTTTTATAAACACACTTTATTATAAAGTTTTAGCAGCAGTATTTATAATACAGGAAATTGAAATAATTAATTTTTTGACAGAAGGAAATACACTGTCTGATGGTCTGACACTTATGTCAAATGAAACTAGATAAAATCAAGAAAAAAATACGCTTTAAAACTAAATCTTAAATAACTTAAAAACGATTTATTTTAGTTATAGGAACATACTTATATAATCAAAACGTAACGAATTGAAAATCAAACGAATTGGAAAAATCTAATGAAATAAAAAAGTGGGTTTCCACGATAATTCCATAACAGCTACGGCCAATAGTATATGACATTCAAACAATTAATTATAATTTTTGAAATAGATAGCCACATGTCTTCTTTTTATGTCACAGTGGCTGTAGGAATCACTAAATTTGACGTTTAGGCTATACAATTTTTTTTGACAGGCAGTTTTTTTCCTCCAAAAATATTAATATTTTTTTCTCAAAAACGGTTAATGTTAGGTATAGAATGTTTGAGATTAAAATTCATAAAATCTTACAGAGAATTTAAGTATGAAATAAAAAATGGGGGTCCCCATTTAAAATAAAAAGTTGCTGTCAACTTCCGTTATTTTTTTTGAGGTTCAAGTTAACGTCTCCTTTCTGCTGCAATGGCTAAACTGGACGGGACCTACTTGTTTACGCGGAATCCGAACCGCGGTCCTCGGCCATATCATGGTCAATGGCCTACCGATTTAGGAAGTGTCTAAATTAACTCTTACTCACGAGATATCCGATCTCATCCGGCCTTGAACCGGCGTGAATGAGCAGTGTGTATCAATAGATTTTACACTTTTCCCTTTTGGACAACAGCACGATGCAAAGTTTCGAACCGGTCCTCCGTCCATCCACTAGCATCGCCTTACGTCGCTTAACTTCGGTGTTCTAATGGGAACCGGTGTTTCGACGTAGCTGGGCCGTTGCCCTCTTCCGTTATTTCCGATTTATAAGTGCCGCCATATTGAAAATATTTTTAAATGATAGATCTCATTGTGAAACAATGATGTGCAAAAAATCTCCGATCTAGATCTTGTACTTCTCTAGAAGCTTCTAATGCACGCTCATCCTGGGACACCCTGTATATCATAACTATAAGCAAACGAATCAGGGAAGATTTTGACTGACCGATACCTAAAAAAAATAAAGAAAATACAATTTACCTGTGAATTATTTTAATTTGTCAGTCAATTAAAGTAAAATCTTCTTGACAGTTGTGCCTACCATTTGACAAAGACAACTGTCACTGTCATGTATCCTCCCGTTGAACAGACTATTATACAGTCTGATAATTTGAAAAGTATAGCCATCGGGTATCTCATAGACAAAAAATACTATTAGGAAGATCTACAAAATATATCTGGGGATTCACGGGGAACAATGGTTTACTTGATGTATATTTGCGACCTTTGTGGCAATTTTTTTGAGTCTTGAAAAATTTAAATTACCAATTTTCAAAAACGGTACTTTTAAAACTGTTACATATCTCAAAGTCTAATTCTATACACTTTAAAATTTTGCTATAAGACTGTAAAGCGACAATAAAGACGCAGAAAATGACCGTCAGTTCCTCGTTTTTGGACTGAAAGGAAGTGAAACTTCTTTACACGCACTGGGAGTAAAAATTCAAAGCCGTGACACACGAGTTAGCGAGACGGCTCGGCTGTGACACACGAGCTAGTGGTAACGGCTTAGAAATATAGTGACGCGACGTGTATTTGTGAGCAGTCCACGTGTTTATCGAAAATATTGATATTTTAATACAAAATTTGGGAAAGTGAATCAAATTATTTTACGCGTATAAAACTATTTGTTACACACAAAAACTATTTTTTATGCGTAAACATTTTTTTTAATTTATTGCTTTTTGAACAAATACACTTTTTCAAACATGTCCTTCAAATTGCAGCAGTCTCTTTTAGACGGGTACTGCTCCCACTTTAACTAAATAAAAATGAGCCTACTTGTTTATGCTTCAGCTCCTTACGGATTCCTTCTTCTAACTTCTTCCTCAAGCCCCACGTTGGGCACCAAATTAATGCAGCTGTTTCTTTTAGACCGGTACTGCTCCCAGGGCCTGGGTTTTAAGTTTGGAAGAGAAGACAAGCTGTAAAAAACTATTTGTTACACGTAAAAACTATTTTTTACGCGTAAACATTTTTTTTATTTATTACTTTTTGAACAAACTACACATTTTCAAACATGTCCTTCAAATTGCAGCAGTCTCTTTTAGACGGGTACTGCTCCCATTTTAAATAAATAAAAGTGAGCCTACTTGTTTATGCTTCCACTCCTTACGGATTCTTTCTTCTAACTTCTTTCTCAAGCCCCACGTTGCGCGCCAAATTAATGCAGTCTTTTAGACGGGTACTGCTCCCAGAGTCTGGATTTTCGGGTTGAGGAAGAGAAGACCAGTTGTGTGCACAAGTGGTCGATTTATTAATTGAATCAAATAACAAAATTGCACTTATACTAAAACTAGTCAAAGTATCCTTAATAATACCGTGGTCGACAATTGATTGCCGCCTCAACTTCCTCTGTTCGCTTCCCTTTGTCGGGATCTTTGGTCGATATACACTGCCCGCACGGCATTTCCCGTCGTTACCCTTCGCTCACCAAACAGAACCAATACAAAATCCTTCAATTTAATAGCTGTTAGCAGGCTGTTAGTAAGAAGTTTCACTTCAAATATATGCACATTTTTATAATAAATCTAAACAATATAATTAATCTTTATCGTAGGATATACTAAGAAGACTGATAGATGAAGCCAAAGAAAATAACTACACAGAGTTCCTGGAAAAATATGACTACTTGGAAAAATCCATTAATACCTGCATAGAGGCAACAGGACAATCGTACGAAAATACCATGAAAACCGACCTAGTATTTTTAAACCACTGTAATCCTATGAGCGATAATTCCTTTAAAAGCATATTGTATGATATCCCCAGACTAAACAGCGTGAATTCGCCTGAATGGGAAAATACTTATCCTTGTATATTAGGCCTAAGTCTATCGGGATGTCTTAAAACGTTGTGTGAGAAAACGCCGTTAGCATCGAAAGACCAAGCATTCTCTGATGCAATAGACAACTATTTAAAAAAACAACCTAAAACTGAGATATCGTCTAAGGAAAAAACCGTTCAAAACGTAAATATTCAGAAAAAGATAACGCCTTGGAAAGACACGTCTGAAGAAAATGACGAGTCCGGTGTAAACTCCAACTTCATACTTATCGCATCTTTGATAGAAAAACCGCAAAATTTGGGCGGTTTGTCTAGAACATGTGAAGCATTCGGCGTTCGAAACCTGGTGTTTCATGATGCCAAAGTAGTCGAAAATAAGGAATTTCAAAGTTTAAGTATGTCATCCGAAGGTTGGGTTCGCGTGACGGAAGTGAAGATTAAAGATTTAAGGGACGGGATATTGTCTTATCAGAAGGATGGGTACTGTGTCATAGGGGCAGAACAGACAACGCGTAGCGTGAAGTTGAACGAGTTTCAGTTTCCTGAAAAGACGATTTTAATCTTAGGGTAAGTATATTTTCGGAATTGTAATAATCAAGAAGATGTGTCCTTGCAAAATGCATTTTTTAACAAAGATTTGCCTAGTTATTGTTAGTGTTGTAAAATGCTTGATCCTTTATTTTTGGAGGACGTTCCCCGGAGAATAAACGAGCAAAAATAATCAAATGTCGAGAATTTATATACAGGGTGGCGTCTCTCATACGCCGCGGAAGCTCCAAGGAGAACGGTAGTTTATGTCGAAATGAAATTTTGGCAGCATATGTAGGTTCACTGAAAGCATTTTATAAAAATTTATAGAATTATACAGGGTATCTCCAAAAAAAGTTACACATCAAAGTTGTGTTTTTTCTAATGGAACACCCTATATATTAATTGATTTTCGGATTCTAAGAAAAAAATAAAGCTGAGTTTTATTGAAGAAGCATATACCTAAAATCTAAGGATTTTGGCATATTTCACATTTTGTGAAAATAAAGAGTAAATTTTAAATTTAGATAACAGCTACCTAAATTTTAGTTGACCTTGTATAGCCTAATATTTAATTACAGTAAACATTGTATGTTAAACCAAATTGAAATTTGACCCGAAAAGTTATACAGGGTGAGACAAAATTAATATGGAACATTGGACACTTTTAAAAGCAAGTTACTCCTTTATTTTAAATAGAACACCCAGTATATTTTCCGGTGTTTAATGGGGAATTTATATATCTTTAAAATATTATTAAGGTTTGGTTTGGTTTGCCCACTGGGTATATACCGGAAGACCTTGGGTATTTATCCAAATTTAAATACCGTATGATCGAAAAAAAGCGGCGTCCAGTTGGCGGGGAAATGACGATCGATGACATTTCCCAATATAAATTTACATATAAATTGACAGCGATCTTCATTTCATAGCCATCGCTGACGCCGTTTTTTCTCGATCATACGGTATATATCGGGTATTTGCCCATCACTGGCCATGTATATGTCAGCAAACTAAATTATTACTGAACAAAAAATAAAATGGGTATTCATTCCAATCACAATAATAACGAGTTTATATCCCTGTTAACAGTAATGAAAAAACTGGAATACCAGCCAACCTAATACCGTTGTTAGACGTATGTCTGGAAATACCGCAAATGGGCCAAACACGATCTCTAAATGTTCACGTAGCTGGAGCGACTATTATTTGGGAATATGTCAAACAACATACGCTGCAAAAAATGGAAATATCAGAGTAATTCTCTTGAAACTACAATAAATTATTGTATATCCTGTCCAGCGAAAAAATATGTGATTACGACAGATGACATGCAAAAAATGACAAAATCTAACCTACTTTTGAACTAATTGACATATAGCCAACTGTCACTATCAAATATTGTTTCGCTGGATATACTGTTATTACTTTAATTCTGTTCTTCTGGCCATGTTTAAAAAATATATATTTTTTGTAGGTTGGACACTATATAAAATTATAGGTTTATATAAAGTTTTGTACTTATCTATTGATTATTATTTATTTTATTTCATGACATTTTTAAGGAGTATTTTATTATTAATTTATTGTTATATTGAAAATTGAAATTAAGAACATTTACACTCATGTGTGTTTACAGTCATGAACTATTATCTATATAAAAATATATCTATATAAAAATATTAGATAAAAAATATATAAATAATAATAAATAGACTTTATGAACTAAAAAGTGTGTAAGGTATTCTTGAGACAAGCTGTCTTACAAATATTTTATTTTGAAGTCTATTTTTTACAGGGTTATCAGGATTATTATATGCAGGGTTCAGAAGTCAATCATTGCAAGTCAATCTCCAATTATATTGAGATAATAAAGCTTAAAAAACAGGATTTAAAAAAATGAAACTGGTTTTCAAGCCTCATTATCTCAATGTATTTGGCGATAGACTTATAATGATTGATTTCTAAACCCTCCAATGTTGCCAATTTTATATTAAATAACAAGTTAATGATGATATTCTGTATATAAAAATAATTGAATTTGATTTTTTCATCTTTTGTTTTGTTATATGAGAAGTAGGCTATGTTTTTAAGAAATATATTTTTATAATTATTGCATTGTTTTCAATAAATATCTTATAAAAAAAAACACATGCCTTTGATATAAAGTTTGATAATAAATGGCGTTAAGTTGGCTTTGAAATAATGATGACAGCGATCGTCATTCGCAAGCCAACTGACGCCAGTTTTTTTCATATTGTACAAGCCTTTTCACAAATTTATAAAAAAAATTAACTTGACAGTAAAGGATACAATAAATTTTATTGAACTCCTGTAAAGTATAAATTCTTTATTTATACAAATTTACAATACACTCGTTTAAAATAATATATTAAAAAAATTATATATAAATAAAAGAATCATGTAATGTGAACGTTTGAATTTTTAAAGAAAAATAGAATGAATTACAATTTTCAAATATAAAGCTTCCAATAATTTCGTATGGTTGAAAAAAAAACGGCGTCCAGTTGGTTTCGAAATGACGATCTATGACATTGCCCTTATAATTTTATATATTATGACAGCGATCATTTTAAAGCCATCGCTGACGCCGTTGTCTTTCGATCAGATTAGAGTGTAAATAAAATGTTGAAAAAAATGGATATTTTGCCACTGAAACAAAAATTTGACATTTGCCATATAACTTAACATATAAAATGACACCGATCTTCATTTTCAAGCCAACTTTGACGCCGAAATGCTACGTTTTTAAAAGATATATGAACTTATGTACAATATAAACATCTTTTTTTACAGTATAATATAAATCCACAAAAACTAATCTAAAATTATCTATTTACAATATATCCCAATCCACAATATAGAACATGAAATTTAATTCTATGATCTTTGATTTTTGGAAAATAATATTATTGCTTAACGAATATATTATGTATAAATGTAAATTTTAACAGTGTGGATTTTTAGGAAAACAAGGAAAATTACTGCCTGAAATCTGAAGGTAAATATGATTTGCTAATATTGATTTTGGACTTATTATATCTATAATTTGTACAGACGACATCCAAAAAATGACATATTAACGACTTTTGAACTAAGATGCCAGGAAACTGTCACTGTTAAATATTTGTTCGTTAGAAGGGATGTAGTTGGCACACGGAAAGAATATGACATTAGTGACATTTTGTCTGTCGTTTTAATTTAACACCAGATTGTTTATTTTACGTTCCTGTGGATGTTAACATTTTATTTTTCAGAGCAGACTATGCAATTGCTTTATGTACAAGATTGAGCCATACAGAACAGTCTGTTTGAGTATCAGTCCTGTACTTTAAAACAATTATAGATATTACAGCAATTAGTACGTCGAATATTATTAAAAATATAGCAATGGATATTGAATAAACAAATATATTTTTTAACTAATTATGAATATTCTTCAAGCACTTAAAAATATTATTTACCGATGCTTTTAGCTAAAACAAAATATGAAAAAATGTAAATAATATAATAAACTGTAAAAACAATCAGACTCTAGATAACGTTTTAAATATAAACAATGTCACAAGTTACTTGTGAGCGCTTAGGAGCTGGGACCATGGAGTTTTGTTAATAAATTTTCTATATTATTTGGATTCAGTAGGAGCTGGACGTTCGGTTTCTTTCCGGAATTTGAGCCGCAACTGTCAGATCTACGTTTTCTCTTTCTTAAGCTAAAAATCATAAAATGTTATTACTAATCTAAAAAGTTTTATCAGCTAGAATAATAAATTATAATACACGTTAGACGTTCTGAAGATATCAAAACATTTATGTTTTATTTTTTTTAGAATTTTCACAAAACACTCTTACTAAAATAAATCCAAGCTCTTTAGAAGTCTAATGGATTCACACGAAACTCCTTCAAAAATCGGTCCAACATTTTAATTGATGAATAGATTTGTAGTAGGTATATGTGTTATACAAATCATTTTATAACATTTACAATTATTTTTCGATTTTTTAAAAGTATTTAAACGTTACAGCAGCAAGTGTAACATTTTATTTAATGAATAGATATAGGGTATATCTGTTATAGAAATATTTTTTTATAGTTTTCTATGACACATTTTTATAACTTTTACAGTTAATTTTCGATTTGTAGTAAAGTCTTAAAAAAGTTGATTTTTTTATTTAAATCACATGATTAAAACCCTGACTAAGACTACTAGCTGGCAGGACCGTTTTCTCTGTATTTTACTATCGAAAAATAGTTCTTGTTAGCATCATCAGCAGATGATTAAAACTGCACATAGCTTTTGTATTACAACAGCAAAATAAAACACTAATTCACCGCAACAGACCAAAACACTTTAGTAGAGATGATTAAAACTCAAATAGTCAATTTTAATCATCAAACTGATGATGCTAAAATGGTTAGCGAAACGCGCGTCCAGTGTAACAGTAATACTGTTTTGCCGTATTGTGGTGATTAACGGTATTCCTCGATGGTGGCAGCACCGGCGGAGAATGCACCAAGCGTATAGTTTCTACTACATAATAAATTTCTATATTAGTCTACTTACTTCCTCCCATCAACATCATCCGATCTGTCCTCGGTATTTTCAGAATCGCTCATATTATCCGACATTTTCAATGCTTCTTCGTCGGACACCAAGCTTGATTTAATATCCAATAAACTTTGAAACGCAGTTACGCTCGTTGTTACGTATCTATCTGTACCGCCCTCGCAGGGAACAGCGACTATCCGTTGCTTGAGCAAATTTTTCAAATCGTAGTCTTCAAATTTCTTTGCAGAAGGTGTCGTTTCATTATGTATAATAATGGGGTCTTCTGAATAATAATAACAGGTGTCGAAATCCATATCGCTGTCATCACTTTCCATTCTTTCAGGTAACGATTCTTGTTTGTTTTTCGTAGATGGTGCGATATCTAAGGAAAAATTAAGATAAAGTAAAAACAAAAAATGTCCTTTATTTACGTAAAACGCGTACAACATAAAGTCCGAACCATAGATAAATGGAACAAGTTTAGATTGGAAAGTGTCCATAAGGACAATGTAAACACTATTTTGCGCTGTTCTTGCAACGGTCGCGACCCAAAGCTTTTGAGAATTTCGGAGCGGTTCGGCCTTTTCCGGAATTATATCGCCAAATATATTATATTGTTTATTATATATTATTTATTCAAATTTATTATTTATTTTCATTTAATTAAATAAATAAAATACAGTGTGTTGCATACAAGAAACTTTATTTTATATAAGGACATGTATGAAACATACATATCCACGATCCACGATGGTTTTTGCAGTTCACAGATCACAGCACAGCTTTTTAAGTTTTTAATGCCACTTTTTCACAATTATCACGGGTTTGAGTAAATAAAACTTAAATCAAACTCACAAGACAGCAATAATTACTTTGAAAATGGACGCTTGAAACACTTTTCGGAATTTTTTCAATGAGAGCGGTTTAGATTTTGAAAGATTTTATAATTTTTGAAGATTCTGACTTTGACAAGAGATATGGACAAGAGAAAATTATTTCTGTTTTTGTTTGCGGTTGTTCTTAGCAACCGCTATAGCAGCGCCAGATCGCGTACAACAGTCGCGACCCAAAACAATTTCGCGACCCAAAATTTTGACGGGCATTCCAACATAAATTTATTTCTTTAATCTATGGTCCGTACAATGAGAGAATAGACGACAGTGACAGTTCTTGTCTGACATTTCTCACATTTTAATTCACAGATAAATAGTATTTTGTGATATTTTTTTATGTCGGCCTGTCGAAATATTTCCTGACTCGTATGACAAACTTTAGTAAGTGATTATACCGGGTGCGTCTCACAAGTGGCTCACCGCAATAACTTTTTTATTTTTTTTTTCAGATATAAAAAAACAAGATTTGGTATGTTAGTATATGACATAAATTAGGATTGATTGACGCATGTCTACGTTTGATTTTTAAATGGCACCCTCGGTATATTTTTACTTTATTCCATAGAAAATAATACTGAATAGAATAACTATTTTAAATTTCAATCTAGAGTGCCATCCATGATTGTGTTAAAAACACTAATTTTTAATCAAGGAGCCTTGGAAAAATAGAATTGATCGTTTAGTGTTTTTTGTTATCCTGGCCGGTTAAAAGATGCCTAAATCGTGTTTTTATCATATCTCAATTTTTTCAAATGGAACAAGGGTGAGTCATTAGCATATTTGGAAAAAGCATTTGTTTACGAATAATTTGGTACCACAAACTTGGTATTTCGAATCAAATTGTCCTTATGAACCACATGTTAGAATTTCAAATAAACCATATGCGAAAATGTCAAAAGTTTTTCTCATTTCATAAATATCTTGTCTCGATTTCGAATCGTATTTCTATAAGCGAATTCTTCGAATTTTCTGTAAGTAAATGCGTCTTTAACGGTATTATCTTGTAATGGCTAAGAAACAACTGAGACAAAGCAAAGCAACGCTCGTTTAATATGAACATTACAACGTTGACAACGCGTGAGGCGGCACTACCAAACGTTCGACGCGGAAAGCTCACCAATATGAAGACGGCCTAAGCATCTGAAGAAATACGTTACCTGCAGAATCTTTTTTATCCTTTTCTTCCTCTTTAGATACACTTTGACTCTTCATTTCAGAATCTCTCATATTCTCCGAAGCTATACTTATTTCATCTGTGGGCTCGACCTCAACAGAATCCTTATTTTCGTCAGGTTTCTTCTCATCACTACCCCTGGTCTTCCTATGAAGATTGGTACCGCTTCTCTTAAAGAATTCGTCTTGGGAATCGTCAGATTCACCATTTTTTCCGCTTTTATTTTGACGCGCGTTATGATCTTCTGCATCTGCATCGCCACTCTTTTCTAAATGTGCAGCTTTTTCTGCACGAGAGCGCTTTATTATTTTTTTCGGATGTTCAGTTTTTCTTCTACTTTTGGGCGTCTTTACTTCGTTTCTCGTTTTGCAACTCCGTTTCGGGGGTTTTCTCAGAGAGTACTTCTCTTGTTCGATCATCCGTTTCTTTGTTTCTTCCAGTTGCTTTTTCATACTATACTCCCCTGATTTAATATCTTAAAATATATTTCAAAATTACTATTATTAAAATCGCGAATTGGTTGATGATACATACTTGTAAATGATTTTATTTCAGCACAATTTAGTGTATTTCTGATTACTTCAGTTCTTTGATCAATTTCATTCTCAGGTGTTTTCATTACATTTATATCCCGATTCTGATGTTTATTTTCTGAATCTTTTCCATCTTTTATTGAATTATGAGATTCGTTCAAACCTTTTTGAGTACTTTGAAGTGAACTTGAGATTTTATTAGTTAGATCTGGTGAAACCTGAAAAAATATTGATTTTTTACATATTAGTTCAATTAACACGGGGTTCTTCTTCAGAAATCTTTAAATGATCAGAAAACAGGAAATGTATCTAATAATGGTCAATTTAAACAGCCACTTTTGGTATAGATCGATTATGGTATTTTCTGGGAAACCCACTGAATAAAAAAAATTATGTAGCATATTATTTATGAAAAAAAACAACACCTTTAGTATAATATATATTTGTACAGTGCTGTATATCTATTATTTTGTTTTAAATGAAAATATGAAGTAGGAAAACTGATACAGAGCTTTTTTGCAGAACACTATTCACCTCTGGTCACTTTATTTCTGTGGTCTATACTTTAACGCATACGACAGAGATACGACCAGTTCAGAGACACAGAGACAGACAGACAAAATAAAAAGAGGCATACAGTGTTGCGGATTCCTACGAGAAATAAAATAATAAACGAAGATAATACATCTAAGCTATTAAATGATGTTTTTTTTCTGTTAGGCAGTTGCTTAAGAATCTATTACGGCTGTACTAAAATGAGTAACTAATAATTGTGAAAAATAAAATTCCAACCCTAGATGCAACATGGTTCGTAAACACCTACTTGTGCGGTGTGAAATTTTGATGCAAAATGCGGCAATACCGTAGAAGAAATGTTTAAAAATTATATTTTATTTTCTCCTTTAACTCTACAATCGACAAACAAAACGGCGTCATAGTGGCTTTGAAATAACAATCATTAATAATTTCGGTAGAGCCGACCCTCATATGTTATTTATTTGTTGAGCATGACAGAAGTTATCAGTGTTTTAAGGATATAGAGACATACACTTCCCTTTTGAAACATTTTTTATTTAGTGGCACTTTTTTTCCTGAATTTTTCCAATATTTTAAAACAGCTATCAAAAATCATACAGCTATCTATACTACCCCCCAAATGTTTTACGAAATATTTCTGGAAATATTTCGTGAAACATTTCGCAAAACATTTCTGGAAATACTTTCAAAAGCAAACTCAAGTATAAGCCCGTGTTATAAAAATTAGATCCGACGTTCCCTGAAATTGATCGAGACGCGCCGTGATTGGTTGTTTGTTTTTATTGTTAATCTGGGTTAACAATAAAACAATAAATAAATTGGCTATTCCTCTAAGGTTAGTTCCTCTAGTTATTGTCTAACATTATTAACTACAATATAATAAAAAATATATATTTCCAAAACTTAAAATCGTAAAACCGCTGGGCAATACGCAATGACTAACCGCTCTGGCGGTTCGCCTATTATAGGTTATAATCCACTGTGTTAAACTATTTAAAAAATCAACATATACAATTTTATATACTAATTCATTATAATAAAATTAATAATAAACATATTGTAATTATATTCCTGCAGATTGAATGAAAAGTTTTGTACTTAAATATCTACTCTACATGTTATAAACGCGTGTTCAAATATTAATTTTGTGGAATATATATCAACATAAAACGAGATGTAATTAACGAAATATCATCGTAACAACAGCTATTTTAGAAACATCTAGGTTTACTTATTACACTGAGATTTATGCAAAAAAATTCTTTGCCTGGGGTACAGATACCGCCACGTTTTGGAAATAGCTCACAACAAAATTGAACGAGGCAACAGGAAACGCAAAAAAAAATTGTAATTGTTGCAAATACGGTTTTCGGCTATTTTTCAACTATATAAGAAAATTTTTATATACTTACATTCTATTGTCCTTAGAGATTGCAAATATGCTGGGGGAGAAGAAAAATTGTGTTTCTTTAAGTATTTTTTCAACCAAACAAACTTACGGGACCGGTGAGTGAATAGGGGTGCTGGGCGGAGTAAAATCAATATTCTGATTAAAGATACTCATAACACAACCATCTTACAATCCTTTAATGAAGCTTTTAATGTAAAATTTCTTCAAAAAACTATGAAGAACTGTTTTATTCAGAAATCATTGGCAGGTTACATCATGGTTACATTGAAGTATATGCTGACAGTAGTAATAATAATAATAAATGGCCCTTATTAATAATTAATCAATTACAATAATGTATTAATTAATTACATAGGCGAAGTCTAGCTCACAGAGCCATTCATACTTAACCTAATCAATACATTTATAATATGCATAAGAAAAAAAACATAAATTCGAAAATAATGTCCAGATGAAAATAAAAATAAAATGAGCAATAAATGTGGCTCGATTGTATGGACCAATACGTTTTAACAAACACAAAAAATTTAAAAAGTAAACAATCAAACAAAAAAATATCACAATAACCGATAGTAGTGAAGGTTGAATTTTGACAAACATTGTGAATTGATGCATAGTTGCAAATCAGCTAGTAAATTGTCCGGAATTTCATGCATCCTTTTTTTTTCAAAGGGAAAAATGACGTCATAGGTTTTAAAATGTTTTTATATATTTTTTAAATCGCCACCAGCGGTATAGAGAATTGCTTAATTATAGCTCTAGCAATGAAAACACACTGAGCGGTTTGGTTTTGGTTGGTTTGGTTTAGATTCGGTTGGTCTCGTTTGGTTTGATTTTTTGTTTTTTTTTTCGTATGTTAGAAAATTTTTTCTCTTATTTTACCAAAATTGCATTTTTCCTCAACTCAAGCCCTTTATGTTTGATTTTTGCTACAGATATAAAAATTCTAAAGAAAATTCAGTGGGGTCAATTCAACGTTGCTTTCCCTTCTGTCGGTGTCGTTTTTTCTATATTTGTATGTCATGTTTTACCAGTTTGTACGCTTTTACCCCGCCCAGCACTCCTATTCGCTCCCCGGTCCCGTAAATTTGTTTGGTTGAAAAAATACTTAAAGAAACACAATTTCTCTTTTCCCCCAGCATATTTACAATTTCTAAAGTCAATAGAATGTGAGTATATAAAAATTTTCTTATATAGTCCAAAAATAGCCGAAAACCGTATATGCAACTGTTACCAAAAAATTCCCCCACGCCCTGAGACAAATCCAAGAAATGAAATTTCATTTAAATAGGTTCAGCCGTGCTTCAGTTATAAAGTAGTGTAACCCGAATAACCCGCCTTTGTTTTATTTAATTAGATGCATCAATAAGGAAGAGTGCCACTTACTTCTGTTGCGCAAATGTAATTTTTGACATAAAAAATATATCAAACAAGGTTAAACTTCGGTGTAGAATATTATAGACAAAATGTGTTTATAATTTCATGTAGAATCCAAAAAGTGTAAAATATCTAGCGACCACATCAGCTTAAAATGTAAATACCAGCAAATAAAAAATATTTTAAAAATAATGTACACCTCGAAATATTCTTAACCTAAAACATTCAGACTTGTATTTAAAGTAGAAGGTAAAAAACTTTTCTTTTAATAAACCTTTTGTATGAAAAACCCTGTATTGTTTGTTGACTTACCTCCATAGTATCTTCGTCTAAAACTTGACTTGCCACGCTCAGATTTTGCGAGTTTTCTAATTTCGTATTTTCTTCCGGAAGTAGTTGGGTCTTCAGCACATCCATGCGCTTCCCCGACGCACGTTTTCTAACAGATAATACAGGGCTGACCACTTTCTTCGAGCGGTTCGTTTCTTTTGCTTGAACTACAGTATGGTTCTGCTCATCCTCCTCACTGCTACTTTCACTATCATCACTTTTACATTCCTTGTCGCTGTTAACATCCCATGTTACTTCTTCTCTGTCTAACAGTTCTAAATTCTTTTTACCCACCTGGCTCCTATTGAAATTTCTCAAAGTTTCCCTCGTACCGTATACTTTAACAGCCGTATCTTCATCGAAATCATCTATTTCATTGTCGGTACTTCTTACGCTGGATTTCTTCTCCTCCAGTGTGACGATAGCTTCAGTAGCTTTATCAGTTTCATTCGCCTTAGGTATATAGTAATCGTCAGTGTGAGAGACAATGGAAAAACCAGGCGTTATGGGAAAATTAGGCGTATCGATGGTGAACATATTCTCACTTGTAGCAAAATCCTTCAAATTCGCTTTCAACATCGGAGTAAATGGGGTATCTGTGTTCGGGGCCGGCGTTAAACCTGGTGTTATAGGCACAGCAACATCCTTTAATGGTGTTTCTAGAAGACTATTAATGTTTTTTCTCCTTTTAGCTGATACAGGATGTTGCGCAGGTTGTTTTAAGTTATCAGGTGTGATGTCCGCTTCTGTGGATGTGGACAAAATTGTCCTCTTATTGGCGTTAAGTTTTGACGGAGAAAGAACTTTGGGATCGGATTTTGAATCTGTTTTTTCATTTTCCACCTCTTCAACAGGGTTTTTTCGATCTAAACTCTTTTCGGCTTGTTCATCTTTAATTGAAGATCTTCGCCTACCCTTTCGTTTGCTATTGGGAGTCTTCAATGCGTCCTCAAGCTTTTTCCCGTCAGCTATATCCGACTCTTTAAGCTCATTTGAACTTTTTCTCGTTCGTCTTTTCACTGGAGTTAAATCAGTCGATTCAGGGGCAACTGCAGCCATTTTTCTTAAATTACTATCCCAAATAGGCGACGGATTAGGTTTAAAACTTTTTGGAGTTTTTGTGGTTTTTCTCTCAGTTGCTTTTTTGGGCGTTTTTAAATTCTTTTTAGTCGTTTCTTTAGTTTTTTTCTTCGGGTCTGTCTTCTCGACCTCGACTTTTTTGTTCTCTTTAAAAAGATCTTTCGTTGCTTGTTGTTTATTTATGGTAGAGGGCGAATTAACAGCCACGTCTTTTGAAATTTCCGAAGGTGTAGTTCTCAAAGGTGAAGGAAATGTCAAGTTTCGAACATGCGATCCACTTTTTGGAGTAGGTTTTTTCAACGGATTCACTAACGGAGATGGGGTGCAAATGTTTATATCTTTACATTTCTCAGCTTGTGAAAGATTGTTATTTCTAACCTCCGTCAAAGGTTTATCTGGAAGACTTTCGTTTAAATTCGGTAAACCTGTCAATTTTTTACCGGAGTCGTTTGACGCGACATTTACCGAGTCTTCTTTATTAAGTTTCTGAATGTCTATAAGGTCGCGAGTGCAAATTTCCACTTTGACAGTGGGTCTAGGCTGTATGTTTTTAGTAGGTGCTATAGATCTAGTGTTCTTCTGACTAAACTTTAAAACGGGACTCTGGTCGGTCGCGCTATATAGCGTTAAATATTCTTTAATGTTACAGGCCTCGTTCGATTTCAATGGAGTATTTGTGGTTAAACCGAACGGATCTGAAAATAGTATCGGAAATTAGGTAGGTGTTAATTTAATAAAATACCTTTGTTTGAAGAAATAAGAAGATGCGCAACCTTATGGGCGATTTCGTGGCACAAAAGGTGTCCGATATGTAGCTGGCATTAGTCCGAGATTTAGTTTAGCTTTGCACCGCTGCGCGCTGATAGTCATGTACAGCGCAGCGGATAAAGAATACTGTATCGCAGTTCTGCTTTCAGTCGACAGAGTGGGTGGTTGCCGGTGTTTACTGCATATAAAATAGAATGGTCTCAAATAAAGAAAAGGCCAGCAGGTCATCAATGACGCGACTTGCGATTGGAGGTTTCGCTGACCCATGAGCTTGAAATTTTTATATGGTTACATAATTTTAACTTACGCACTTATAATAATTATGATACTATAACGTATTAGGTTTAATAAGTATCTACCTATTAGGGATATAATTTGGGCCCCTTTTAGTCATCAAATAAATAAAAAAAATTATGAATATTTTTTTTTAATTTGCTGTATTGATTGTACAATTAAATAATAATCTATAATTAATATTCAAAAGATTGATAAAGCCCCTGGCAAAAAAATTCCCCCATTCCATTTTATCTTTAGATAGGGCTACTCTATTTTTACTTTAGCCGGTCGCACCGTCTTCTACGAAACTCATTGTTGTCCAGTGTTGCCGGAACTACGGATTCCGGTACATTTACGGATTTCAGGTATATTCTTCAGACGTACAGATACTATTTCAATAATAACGATTTCTATTAGTATTGTACAATTAAAACATATTACAACATAATATAAAACTACACAATCAAAAATCACATTTAAATAAATATTTATTAACCAAAATTTAAGAGTTTCCATCGCATGACAGGCCCATAGTCCATAGCGGGCGATTATAATTATAATAATAAAGTTATATGATTAAACCTAATTTTAATTAAGATATTACATTACTTTTTGTTTCATCTATTCTTTTACATGAAATACAAAATACTGAAGGATAAAAATATTTTGTTATATTTAGAATATTTATTTCTGTTGTTTATTCCATGTTTAATACGAATACATTTTCAATACATACGCGGATTTTTCATCCAAAGATATTTCCGTCAAACGTATTACATATTTTAATCTGGCAACACTGTCGCTCTCAGTTCCACACCGTCTTCGATATGCCTTTGCCGGCTGAATTAAAAAGAAAATGAGTGTTTTATGCGTTAGCCGCAGAACGAGTGGTAACTCCACCGTACAGCACTTCAGATATAAGGAAAAATCAAATCAGCACTGTCAGGAATTCGACCGTTAGCTTGCGTATCTTCCCAATTCTTTCAATCAAAGATAATACTAAATAAACATACATTTATATACGGAAAGTACTGTTAAGAGAATAGTTTTTAATACAGTATATCTAAATCAAAAAATAAATAAATGCGACTTTACCTCTAATTAGCATATAACTAAAAATGCTTACCCCCAAAAGTAATTTCATTTTGTTCATTTAATATGATTGTCGGCATAGCCATAATATCTTGTTCTTTATAGGCTTTAACGGCAGATTTTGAAGATGAGGCAGGTTTTTGAGCGAGTTGTATCAATGATGTATTCTGCGGAATCACCACAGGTTGATTGACGACATAGAATTGCTGTTGTGGCAAGTTTTGCAACTCTGCCTGTGGTTGTGTAACCATATACCAATTGTTTGGACTATTATTTACCACACAATGAGTGGTGACATTAGATACTGGCATTGGGTAAAGATTAGTATTGTTAGAAGTAACTGTAGTGCTGGTAATTCCGCCGCCTCCGTTACTTGTTGAAACATTAACTTCTCTATGCTCATTGGAGTTCCAACTCTTATTTTGTGATGTATCACAAACTGTACTACTGAAAGAAATGTTTCCGTTTGAAATTAAAAATCGTTTTAAATTTATTACACACAAATCAAACTCCACAACAGAGTCGCCTGGAAATGTTTGATATCTCTGAGATAGAGTATTGAGACTAGTATTTGAGAGAACTTGAAGTGAAATATTTTTTTATGTTGACATTTTTTTCTCAGTCTTCCTTAGATTTTGAATGTCTATCCAACGAGAAAATATATGATAGCGACTAGCGACAGTTGCTCCCTATCGTTTCAATACAATTTTTTTTCTGTCAATACCGTCCTTCGTCCTTCTCTCGCTCGACAAACTTTAGTTCAATGACTGGTGTAAAGGTAAATAATAGAAATGTAATAAATACACGATTTTCGAATTTAACTAAAATGCCAAAGTCGTTACTTAGAAAATCTTGTTATTAATCAGTAATATTTCAAATAAAAATAGTAGAAAATACATTTATACAGGGTGAGTTTCCTACGATGTTCTCTATCGGTATCTCGGAAAGTCGCCTGGAAATGTTTGATATCTCTGAGATAGAGTATTGAGACTAGTATTTGAGAGAACTTGAAGTGAAATATTTTTTTATGTTGACATTTTTTTCTCAGTCTTCCTTAGATTTTGAATGTCTATTCAACGAGAAAATATATGATAGCGACTAGCGACAGTTGCTCCCTATCGTTTCAATACAATTTTTTTTCTGTCAATACCGTCCTTCGTCCTTCTCTCGCTCGACAAACATTAGTTCAATGACTGGTGTAAAGGTAAATAATAGAAATGTAATAAATACACGATTTTCGAATTTAACTAAAATGCCAAAGTCGTTACTTAGAAAATCTTGTTATTAATCAGTAATATTTCAAATAAAAATAGTAGAAAATACATTTATACAGGGTGAGTTTCCTACGATGTTCTCTATCGGTATCTCGGAAACTACTGAAGATAGAGAGTCGGTTAAATGGGGAAAGAATTGCAGATTTGTGGGGTCATTCATATGCGCCTTTCAGATTTTTGAAAAAGTTCATGGATTTCTAGATATTAAAAAAACACGTTTTGGCTATTTTAAAAGTTTTCCCTAACTCCATTATAATCTATTTTAGACAAAAAGTTTTCAGATAAAAGTTTCTTCTAAAGCCTGTCATTTTTGACATGTTTTTTTTTTAATGGAAACCATAGTTGGCCATGACTTCATAAAAAGCGCCATTTTTAAGCTTTTCAGCGATATAAGCTATAATATGCTTTTTTTTTCAATTCTAATTCTAATTTCACTCAGTTGGCATGGTGTTCTTATTTTGTTATGATTTATAATTTATAAAAAGACAAAATATATTATTAAACGGCTTTTTACAATTTACATTACACAAACTAAAACTTAAGAAATAATATCACTACATACATTTTAAGTTATTTTAGAAAATGTTCAAAAATCCGCCATTGTTTTGAGTACATAAATGCATCTTTTTAAAACGGAATTTCTAGCTATTCTCACAGAACGACCGGTTAACTTAATTAAACTTCTCCTGTACCGTCTCTTCGAGTGCCTCTCTTAATTCATAAGTTTTTTTGTAAACCCTTATGACTTTGTTACACTTATGTTTAAACACAACAGGTTTGTGTTATTTTTTGATTTGTTTAAACATTTGAAAGAACATAGTCCAAATTGCCATAAAATAATAAAATTCTCATGTCATCATAATAATAAAAAAATAACATAAAATCTAAAAATTATAAATCAAGCTCGGTTTTAATTTTATGAATATGTTTATTATACGTATTTGGTCATCGAAACTGTGCGGTTTGGATTTTAACGTGTAAGACAGTAATTGTAGACAGCTTAATGGAAAATCAAATGTATTATAAAGAGATAAAAATTGGGTTCACACATTTCTTCTATGCATTTTTGCGGATTTTGCATCAAAATTTCAAACCTGTGCCAGCAGGCATTTACGAAAAATGTTGCATCTAGTGTTGGAACTTTATTCTTTATTTTTCACTAGTATTTACTCATTTCACTACAGCTGTATTAGTTTATATTTAGTTTAGATATATTATCATTTCAGTAATATAAATGAAAGATTTTAAAATAGCTTATATTTTTCTACACACATTTTCCTACAAACGTAAAAATCAGGCAACACTGTATGCCGCTTTTGATTTTGTCTCTCTGTCTGTCAGCCGGTCATTTATATTATTCTCTGTCACACTCATTAAAATCCAGACCACATGAAACGGATTTCCAACAGGGTATTATTAATATGAAAATATTTAGTAGTGTTTTCTCAACATTAATTAATAATATTTTTAAATAATAATTTAGACAGACATTTATTTCAATAGCTGAAAAGTACCTAATATTTTTCTGTAATATAAGATAAGTAAATTTGTTTTTTGGAAGGCTTCAAAACATTGCAAAAAAAATCCATCTTTAAAAGTATTAATAAAAATAATTACTCGTAAGTATTACTGAAAAACATTTTTTAGAATGTGTAGTAGAATGTTAGGAGGGGGGTTAATCATCGCGACCTTAGAGATCTATTGTGTGTTCCCCTTTCTTGAGTTAGAACGAGTTATAATTCATCATACAGTCTCTTAGAATGCAAATAAATATATAAAAATAAATTATGTTAGTTGAAAAAAAAATCATTGTTTGCAGAATGCAAATGGTAACAATAAACTTGTTCAAAACCATTCTAACAACAGAATAAGCTTGCTCAAAACAATTCTCTTTAATTCAGTTATTAAAAATAATCATATTCATTGACAATTTTAAATATATTCAACGTTTATGCAACCTTTAGTTTGTTAATAATTTTTCTTACCGTGCAGTAGTACTGATCACAAAAAAACTAAGAAATCTGACAAAAACTATTACTTTGCAACTATTGAAATAAAATCAGATTATTTATACATAATTATTTATTTTTGACCCTGTTTGGAGACTACACCACTACACAACCGCAGACAGAGTGTACAGAGAATACCATACAGAGTGTAACATTTTATATAGCAAAGAAAAACGCCTAATTTTGACTCGCCCTGTATATACCAAGTAATTTAGTTTATTTGAATATGATTAGTTTTGAACAAGACTCTCACATAAAATACTTCCAGTCAAAGATATGAAAAATTTCCAATTTTATAATTTTAAGAGATGTGCAGAAAACTTAATCTAAAAATGGTCATATTTCAAAACCACTCAGTTTCAATTATCACATTGCTATTTTTAGAAATGGAATTTTATGGCAAATCTACAAGGCAGAAAAAGGACAGCTTTCCATGACATGTTTCCAAAACAGCTTATGTGTAGTATGTTTGAATCATAGTGTATATCAATGAAAATGTTACTAAATTTTTTTTTAAGTTTTATAAAAATACAGGAGTAAAAATCTAAAATAGGAAACCTGATATAGACAAACAAAATAAAGATATTAAACAAATCTTATAGCTATTTTATATCAGTAAAAATATGCACTTGTAAATTTCACTTTAATATAAATTTACTCAGAGTTTAGTTTTCTTACCTTGTTTTATTTACATCTTGACTTTTATCAATATTATTTACTAAAGATGTTCCTAAAAAATACAATGTAATATTCTCATAAAAATATTTTAAAACATATTTACCAAAAAAAGCATCAAGAATAGAATCATTTGCACTAGTATTGCTTATAGTATTCTTGGACTCATCAATTGAGAAATTAATATTGTTATCTTGTTGTTTAGTTGTTACCACTTCAGGTGGCTTTGGATATTCTATATTTTTGGTAGAGCTCAAATTAGTAGGACTTTGTAATTTCTCCTGATGATTTTGATTTTCATTCTAAAAAATGTTAAAATATTACATTTAGTTACTTTTCCTTCACAACGAGCTTATTAAATGATATTTGAATGAATATGTTCTCAAAAAAAATCTAAGAGATCTTACTCTAAATTCACTGTTCTTGTCAGATGTAACTTTAGTTTGGCAAGTTTTATCTACTGGAGTTTTGGATCTTCTTTGAAGTGTATGAAAATTATACTTATCAACAGATGTCTGTATATTACCAGGTAATGTATGTTCAGGAGTAGTTTCTGTGTCAGTGATATGATTTTGAGTTGCTCTATGTTCTTGAAAACAACTCTCTGCTATAGAAGATTCGGGTGATCTATAAAATTTTGACAAATAATTATAGTTCATTATAAATAAGAACATATTTTAAACTTTTGTAGTTATATTTCTTATATAATATACCTAGGACAAGGCGTTGAAGATGGTGATAGGCACCGTTGATTTTCTAATAAATAAACCAACTGATCCACTAAATAGAGTGGAGAAGAATATTCTGGACTTTTATCTTTATAATAATTAGTATCCTCAAGCCTTTCCTGAACTGAAATAGAAACCAATAATATAATATGTACAGTTCACCACATAAAGAATACACTCCTTTAATGTCTTTCTAAATTTGTATTTACTCAAATATTGCAACAACTATTGAATTATTACCTTAATGATAATTAACACGTAACTAGTTACATTTGTTTTCTACTTACTAATTTCCTGAACGCGTGAATATATTTTTAATATATCCAACAAAGTTTGCCCTCCAACTCTTGTTGCAACATGTTTTTTGGAACTTTGAAAATTATATTTAAGAAATACTTTATAAGCATGCTTGCAGTTTTCTTTCAAATATCCTGAAACAATTTCAAATATTGAAATCATAACGCTGAGTTATTCCCGCGCAGGTGTTCTCTCAGTATTAATATACTACCTAAGATTAAACGCTCAATATGTTTCTCGTATTCCATTTTATCAGCAACTCTACACACATATAAATAAACGTATTGGTAGTATCTCTGCAGATACTAACAACTTATATTACTCAGATTCAGTAGCATTTTCAAAATTTTAAACATAAACAAAAATTCCAAACATTACAACTTGGTTGGATTTATTTCATCTTCTTTGTATACTTCCACAGATTCATAAATGTAAAAAAGCCAATCCAATCTCTGATGTTTTATATATGACTTTTTCATACTCTACATGTCTGCTCGACATATTCATATATTCTATTTTTGGTGAAAATAATGACGTTGAGAAAAAATAAGAATCGTTTTGACAGATTTTACTGCAAGATTTGCAAGAATTGCTAGTTTGAGTTATATTTTTAACATGGCAAACAATTAAGACAAAATAATTAAAAAAGTCTATGAGAACATTTTAGAATTGAATTTTTGGTTAATGATAAGTGAACGTAATTAATTGATATTGATTCAGAATGGTAAGTACTTCACTCATTCTTACTATGAGTTTATTTGTTTTTATAAAAGGGGCGTAAAATGATAAACTTTGTTTAGTTTTTGTTTTTATATCTATAATTATTTACCCAGAAAATATTACATGTATTTTATTTTCTATTTATAGGCAGATGAAGCTAAAACAGTACCATTAACAGACAATACATTAGTTGTGGATATTTCTGATGCTCTCAGCGAGAAAGATAAAGTAAAATTCACAGTCCATACTAGGACCACAATGAAAGTATTTCAGAAGTCTGAGTTTTTAGTTGTCAGACAACATGAAGAATTCATTTGGTTGCATGACAGATATGAGGAAGAGCCAAAATATGCTGGATACATAGTAAGAATTTATATTTTTTCTAAATTGCTACAGCAGTGCAAATAACGCATTTTATTTTATTTAAAACACCAATTGTGGTACAGTTGATATTACTTATTAAAATCAGCATTTATGAGGACAATTTTTTTCTTAAAAATCCACTGTCCATAATGTCAAATGGTCCCCAATTTTGTCTAGCAAGATAGTTTTTTTTCTTCTAAGAAAAATGTGTTTATCTAATCACAGACTTAATAAGTACATGATTTAATGTTAATCTGCTAAAAATGCAAAAATATATAAAATTGTCCAGTAGTTTACTTAAAACATATTTTTAAGTAATTCTTAGGACTGTGTACATTAAAATCAAATCATATTTGTAATAACGTTATTCATTTCTATATCCAGGGTAACCTAGCATTCTGAAAAAGCTCCATGTTACTTTTCTATTTTAGATTTTAACTCAATACATTCTTTTTTGTAAAATATGTTGACAATAATAGCACACATTTAAAAAAAATTAAGTAAGATTCATATATTATGTCGGTAGTTATAGTTTAGAATGCTGTGTAGTTTATCTTTTAGCGGAATTGCTATATAATTTCTACTTCAGAAAAACTATAATAATATTGATCATAATACATTCCCAGGAAAAAAACACAAAGAAATCACATTTTATAAACATTTTAAAACTAACTTTTCTGTACATTTGAAGTCCTTTCGAAATTAACAAACAGAAACAGCAAGTTATTTATTAATAATTACATTATGATAGTGTCTTTTTCAAAAATAATTAGCCTAAATAGCTTAGTATAATATGTGTTATGCACAATACTTGAATTCGGGTAATGCCCGAAAAAAATTCACAGAACTGGTTTTGAGCAAAAGATATTTCCCAAACCCGAATTTGTACATTTAAACGGGTATTACGCATTACAAAATAGTCAAAACTATTATTGTGCATTTTGAATTGCACAAAACTAGTTTGGTGATTACTAATTACTGATTCTGAGTACTTCCATACTCAGAATCAGTATTTTTTGAAGTAGAGAGTTTTTAAAATGTATTGTTACGGATTCCGTGGGTCCACTATTTAAACTCACGATAAAATACTTAACGAATTTATTTGTCTCACTCTGTACACACAACTTATACTATTTACAACACAATTTATGCAACTACTATTAAGGTATGGTTCCTTCCACGCGGCCGTCGCATGCGGCAACCGTTGAATCGAGTGGTTTCTTAGCTTCGTATCGCGTCGCGATTCAAGCTCGCGACTTGACTTTCAGTATAAAGACAACTATCTTTGGTGAAAGTCGTGATGGATCATCTCACAATGTACTTATTACTAGAAGAAGAGGAGGATGAAGAAATATTATTACAATTAGCTAATCTAAAAAATGGAATTGCCCCTGTAAATCCAATATTTAAACAAAGACGGGATGAAAGATGTTATACTACATTGATAAATCGGCATCTGCAACAGGATGATGTAAAATTTAGAGAATATTTCAGGTTCAATAAATCACAATTTAATTTTCTTATCGACTTAATAAAAGAAGATATAAAAACCGAGCCATACAACAGAGTTCAGTATCCCATAACCCCAGAGGAACAATTAGCCATTACATTAAGGTAAGTCATTAAGTCAGTAAGTTTAAATAAAATGCCTAACATGTCAATGAAATATTTATTATTATTAAACTCAAAGAAAAAACTAAATAAGAACAAAATAAACACAAGTTTCAAAAAAGTAATGAGTAAATATACTCAACAAAGTAATAAAATATAGTTATTTGGTTAAAAGTTATCTAGATCTAATAAGTAATCTTCTGATGACGGCGAATTGTAAGTCGTACTTAAATTGCCTGAACTCGTTGCACAAGGGGTTGCTGGGCCTGGTGTAAGTTCAAAAGCATTTTGTTGCTGACTTGATCCAGGATGAGAATCTGAGTATGGTTGAGATTTATGACGAGGTGCTGAGTATGGTTGAGGTTCATCATGACGAGGTCCTGAGTGTGGCTGAGTTTCATGACGAGGTGCTGGGGATGGCTGAGGTTCATGACGAGGTCGTGAGTATGGCTGAGGCTCATGACTAGGTCCGGAGTATGGCTGACGTTCAAGACGAGATCCTGAATATGGCTGAGGTTCACAACGAGGTGCTGGGGATGGCTGAGTTTCGTGACGAGGTGCTGGGGATGGCTGACGTTCATGACGATGTCCTGAGTATGGCTGAGGTTCGTAACGAGGTGCTGGGGATGGCTGAGGTTCACCAGCATTTCTCTGTTCTAGTTCGAATACCAGGTGCATTGTTCTCAATTTCGCTTCATTGATTAACTCAGGTCTCAATGCCTTTACTGAAGCTGCAATACTCTGGAAAAACAAATCCAGAGAATCTGGTTTGCTTGGACCAATTTTTTTAAATATTTCATTTCTTTCAGCACTTCTTTCTTTTATTGCAGCGATAATGTCGTCATTTATCTTCTCTTTTCTGTCGCGACTTGATTTGGAAAACTGTTTTTTTATTGCACCCGCTACCGTATTTCGAGCCGGGTTAATGTCTGTCAGGACAGAGGCAGAACTACTTGGACTAGATGATTCTTGAGACACTTCCCCTGACTCAGTATCATTTTGCGTGTCTTCCTCACTCATCATGTCATTCTCTTCGTGTTGATCAGTTCCGAGAGATGTACTTCTACCAAGAAAAAAAATAACAATTGTATATTATATTTAGAGTACTTTTTGAACAAGAACTCACGGGCGTTTGTGCTCGGTTTGGTCCAGGAAGGACAACATGTCTGCTAAAGCCCATTTCGTCTGTTTGGGCAATGCAGCAGAACTTGTGCTTTTCTTTTTTTTTCTTCTATTGTAGGTATCCTTAATATTTTTCCAACGTTTTTTGCAGTCGTCCACTAAAATTGTAAAATAATATAATAATAATAATAAAATAATATTATAATTAAAATTTTGTTATTGATATTTTTTTCATAATAAATATATTTTTTAGGTTTTTGGCAACTGGTGAGGCATTACGTTCCTTAGCTTTCACGTTTCGAGTCTCCCATAGTAGCAGAATCATAAAAAAGACATTATCATCATTAAGAAGACACCTTATTTCATTATACATTCCGCCATCATTATATGAAAAAAAACAAAAAGCTAAGGAATTTTGTCAAAAATGGAATTTTCCTAATTGCCTAGGAGCTGTCGACGGTAAGCACATACGAATTCGATGTCCTTCACACAGTGGATCTTTATTTCATAATTATAAAGACTTTTTTTCCATTGTCTTGCTTGCTGTTGTCGACGCCAATTATAAATTTATTTTTATTGATGTTGGTTCATATGGAAAAGAAGGAGACAGTGGCATCTTCGATAAATCAAAAATTGGCCAACAAGTTAGGGATGGTTCCATTTTTCCACCTCCAAACAAGCTACCAAATACTGATCAGGTTCTTCCATGTGTCTTGGTGGGCGATGAAGCCTTCAGATTAAGTACACATATGATGAAACCGTTCCCTCGACGAGTAGCCAGCGCTGACGATCGCAAAGCAATTTTTAATTACCGGCTTTCTAGGGCCCGACGTGTCTCGGAAAATGCCTTTGGATTGCTAAGTCAAATTTTTCGAGTTTTTTATACAATGATTAATTTGAATCCATCAACAGTTGACGATTTAATTATAGTGGCATGTTGTTCACATAACCTTCTTCGCGATGCATTCCTTGAAGGTTCCAATAAACCGTTTTATGAAATTGACCAGGAGCTGCCACCACCCAGAAATTTCGTTCCATTTGCTAGGGGTGGTGGTTTTGCAGATGGAGATGGATTTTACATAAGAGATCTGTTTATGGAATATTTCAACAGTGGTCAGGGTAGCATACCATGGCAAATTGGATCGATCAGAAGAACAGATAGAAACTAATGTTGTTTTACTTTATAATACAATACACATATTTTTGAATTCTAGACTTAACATCATTTACCTAATATCTTACCTGATCTGCTTAATGCTTCAGCTATTTCCTTCCAGGCATTTTCTTTGACAACCTGATCTTTATACAAGCTGTGGGCCAAATTGAATAATGCGGGATGTTTTGCCACTAATTCAACTAATAGTTCATCTTCGGTAACAGTAAAAAGCACTTTCGACATGTGTTTAGATAGTTTTCTAATTCAAGAAATGCCAATTGAATATTTACTAAATAAAAAATCAAACCAAAAATGTCACACAAAACAACCCAAACGCTCTCGCGGCTGCGGCTATACTGCTTCTCGAGCAGTACAGTCGCAGCCGTCGTAGTCGCTCGCGGCTGACGCGCACGACGGCCGCTCGGAAGGAATCGGGTACGTTTAAAAGCATGTTAGGAGTGTGATGCGGCTGACGCAGTGCGACAGCCGCTTGCGAGGGCCGCGTGGAAGGAACCGTACCTTTACTCTAACGGTATTTCACTATTTAAAGCGCGGTATATTCAAACTTCAGACTATCTTCAGACTGGTCCAACTGTCAAAGCGCGGGCCTTATATACCCCTTGGCGATGGTTTCTGGAATTTTCTAAAGAATTCTGTAATTTTCTTTTACATTCGCCAGGTTCCTCAATGCACGTTGCGGTTATGTAACAGTAATACAGTTATGCAACCAGTAATACACCTTGATCTTGACAGTATGAACAAATTTATATTTTGATTTTTTTATTTTAAAATTATCAATATAAAAATTGATATAAAGTTGTATAAAAACTAAATGAATTTATGTAAAAAATAAATAATAGTAAAATAAAATACTAGAGGCTGCATTTGACACAGTGGCGAAAAATATGTACTAGTAAAAGTCACCTTATATGTCACAGCGATCAAGGTTATTAAAAGATAAGGTTGTCTTGATCCGCCATTTGCGTCCTCCTTTCACGCAGTTGAGCAGCTCTGAACTGTTCAAGAACGCGATACGCTCACTCCATTCAATTGAGTCATAAAGTTCCAGAACTGCTCCGCGCCATATGGCGGCACGAGGCTATCGCGCACAGCTCCTTTCAGAACCGTTCTCGTGTAGCCCCAGGGCGTAAAGCCCGGAACTCGAAGTTCGCGAATGGAGAATGGAGGACAGCAATTATCGAAAACGTTATCAACTACGTCACAGGGATGCGGCCGATCATAGATAAAGGGATAAAAACTGCCTATAGTCCAACAATGCATTTCCGAATCGATATTAATTGTGTATGACGTTCATAGATTTCAGTTGTTTGATGTTTGTTTTCTTGTTCTTTGTCCGTTGCATTATACTTTTTATTCCTTTATGATTTTATACGTTTTGTAGCATATCTGTGACGACGTAGTTGCCGCTTCGCTCCTATTGGTCCAAAAGTTACAAGGCAACCTGTAGTAATCTTGCACAGCGATGACTATGAAATGAAGGTCGCTGTCATTTTATATGTAAAATTCTATGTCAACTGGACGCCGGTTTTTTTTCGATCATACGGTAGAATCCTTGTATAAGAATATATAAACAAGGATACAATGGCAATATAGCATATTTTAGTATAATTCGTTTTGAAAAGGGCGTTGTTGTAAAATATAGACAAATAAAATAAAGAATTCGCTATTTTATAATTTTGGGAAATTTTTAAATGTCATGAAAATTTGGTCAAATTTCCAAAACACCCAATTTAGATTTTGACATGGAATTTTTGTAACTGAAATTTTATGTCAAGTCATCTAAGCGAAAAATTATACAGCATTTCATTTAAAAAACTAAAACTTTAGTGTAAAATATACCACCCTGTGTTTATTGCAATTTTTTTGAAAATTGTTGAGTGATTTCAATTACGAAACTTGATATGCAGCTTTTTTGTAACACTAGGTCAGCTTGTATTAGTGAATGTTTTTCTGAAACTTTTTTTGGGAATATTAGTTCTAAAACTGGCAGTTAAGTTTTAAAAAATATATTATAGATCCCTCCACCACCTCCAAGACCAAACTTTGATGCTTCAAGAGAAAAACTACAACGTTTAGGAGAGGGTGAGGGCACTATGACCAAAGAAGAATTCACAAAAATGAAGCAGGAATTAGAGGCGTTAGTGAATTTCTGATAGTAAATCAATAAGTTATTGTAATGGTTTCGTATTATTAATTTCAGTGAATACTTGGCCACTTTCAAAAAAACTGTGGCCATGCACGAAGTATTTCTTACCCGTTTAGCTAGTCACTCGATATTTCGGGAAGATTCCCATCTTCAAGTTTTCCTCGAATACGATCAGGATCTTTGCGCCCGTCCAAAAGGAAAATTACAACAGTTAGGAGGATTGGTGAAATCTCTTGGAAATACTACTGATCAGTATTACTTAAATGCCACGGTTAGGGATGTTAACGATTTTTTTGAACAACAAATGAACTCGTTAACTGAATATCATAGTCAACTAAAAGAGGCGACTACTAGAGCAGATAGAATGACAGAAAAACATAAAGGTTATTTTTTCTTTTACATTTTATTATTTATAGTTACATGTTTATTTCTATAGTTCTGTTTAATCTGATCTTTTGCTATATTTTTCAGAATTAGCTGATAGTTATATTAAGATCTCTTCAGGATTGCTGCAACTTGCAAATAGTGATAATGGACACTTAGATAAATTCTTAGCCAGGGTTGCAGATACATATGAAAAAGCTAGGGTGAGAAATGTTACTTGTTTCACACATACCACTTAACCCTAATAGATATTATTTTACGATGTACCTAAACAGCCGTTAAACGGTAGCCTACTAAAATGCCGTTAATAGATATTGTGACGTCGTTCATGTCGGCGGAAAGTAATGCCTAGCCTTAAGCTTTCTGCAAGAGCACCTGTGTGTCAGTGGCTGAGGCTATCGCTTCGTAAGCGAATGGTCCGTGTTCAAATCTCACGCCGACCAAGACTTTTTTATATTTTTTTTGCTTATAGCGTGATCTTATTGCATTGGTTTCACTCTTTTTAGTTGGATTGGTTTAGTTATTTGGCGGGTTGGTTAGCGTGGTTATTTGGAGGGTGTTAATTCATTGGTTAGTTGGTTATTTGGCGGGGTTGGTTGATTTTTACTAATTTATATTTGTTTTTTATATTTTTTATCAGTGTCGAGGTTAGTTGCGTTGGTTAAGTTGGTTATTTGGTGGGGTGGATAGCGTTGGTTAGTCCTTATAAAATTTCTATATTTCATAAAGCCGTCAAGTGCGTCACATCAACGACGTCATACCTATTAACGGTATTTTAGTAAGCTATTATTTATACCACATCAATATTCATTTTTTTGTCGCTATAGGCTTGGTGTATTCTCCGGTGCTGCCACCATCGGAGAATATCGTAAACAACCGGCATCGACAAATACACGGGTTTAAATAGCGAGTATACGAAACATTTATTATATAATTATTCTAAAAGTGTTAGGAAGTATAATTTGTGAAAATTCTAAAAATAAAAATAATAAAGTAAATATGTTGAAGGTCTAACTTTTACTATACTTTATTATTCAAGCTAATATAAAACTTTTTAGATGAGTTCAATTACAGTAGTCCGATTTTACTAACGGGGACAACTGGTGCTGGGGCCATTTCGGTTATAACGAGTTTTTTAAAGATTTTGTACCTTTATAATTTTACAAGATGTTCATAAAACATTTAAATACTACTTGATTAAAACAAGTATACCGATTTTGCTAGTGGGGTCATAATTGGGGCTCTTTCGGCTATAACGAAATTTTTAAAGGTACATAATTATAATTTTAGAAGATGTTCATAAAACATTTAATCACTAGTTGATTAAAAACAGTATATCATTAATATGGCAGATTATAATTTATCCTCATAATATACCGGGCAACGGCTCCAGCTACGTCGAAACACCGGTTCCCATTAGAACACCGAAGTTAAGCGACGTAAGGCGATACTAGTGGATGGACGGGTGACCGGTTCGAAACTCTGTATCGTGCTGTTGTCCAATAAAGGGAAAAGTGTAAAATCTATTGACACACACTGCTCATTCACGCCGGTTCGAGGCCGGATGAGATCGGATATCTTGTGAGTAAGAGTTGACCAAGTCGGTAGGCCATTGACCATGATGTGGCCGAGGACCGCGGTTCGGATTCCGCGTAAACAAAATAGGCCCCGTCCAGATTAGCCCTGGCAGCAAAAAGGAGACGTTAACTGAAATCTTTACTTTTTACTTTCATAATATACCGGGTGCATCTCAAAAGTGGCTCACCCCTATAACTGTTTTATTTTTTCAGTTAAAAAAACGAGATTTGGTATGTTAGCATATGACATAAATTAAGATAGATTGGCGTATTCAATTGTTTTCGGTCATTTCCTGTTTCACCGGAAATGACTACAACTTTTGATTTTTAAATGACACATTCGGTATTTTTTTACTTTATTCGATAGAAAATAAAACTCTGAATAGAATGACATATCATATGTCAACTTTTGACATTTTTGCATATGATGTATTTGAAATTATAACTTGCGGTTCATAACGAAAATTTGACTCGAAATACCAAGTGTGTGGTATCAAATTATTCGTAAAAAATGCTTTTTCCAAATATGCTAATGAGCCACCCTCGTTCTATTTGAAAAAATTGAGATATAATTAAAATACGATTTAAGCATTTTCCAACTGGCCAGGACAAGACACTAAAAACATCATAGACAATCAAAACTATTTTTCCAAGGCTCCTTGATTAAGAATTAGTGTTTTTAACGTAGCCATAGCACTCTAGATTGAATTTTAAAATACAATTTTTTATTAAGAGAATGTCAAAAGTTGACATATGATATGTCATTCTATTCAGAATGTCATGTTCTATCGAATAAAGTAAACAAATACCGAGGGTGCCATTTAAAAATCCAAAGTTGTAGTCATTTCCGGTGAAACAGGAAGTGACTAAAAACAATTGAATACATCAATAAATCCTAATGTATGACATATACTAACACACTAAATCTCGTTTTTTTATCTGAAAACATAAAAAAGTTATAGGGGTGAGCCACTTTTGAGACGCACCCGGTATAAAAATTTAATTTTTTGATTATGTAATGGACACTTTGCTTACTCGCTTGTTTCGTCGAGCTGCTTGAATCCATTATTGCTTTTGATCTAATCGGTGTGAGTTGTGAAGCATAAAATGTTGCTTCAGGAGAGTTGTATATCCGGGAAAGGGGGGGTTGAGTTGGCGAAAATTGAATATTATTGCACCCAACCAACAACCAAGTAATTTTGCTCTACTTTGTGTTTACATTTTTTCGACATTTTATTAATATTTGAAATTGTCACAACACAGAGCGACCCTCCAGGTCAGGTTCTTTTTCACTTAATTTTTACTACCCGAAACAGCGTTACATCATACAAACCTCGCACCTGAGTGTTTTATAGTTTCAATAACTGCACTATTAAAAAATGAAATACTTAAATATTATGACCAAGCCACGATTTTAATAATTCAATACGATCAACATCGGAACTACGTGAAAAACAGAGAAACTTCGATAACTTCTGATTCCTGCCGTACCGAGCGCTGCGGTCGGAATTTTTAAAATCAACTGAAATGCACCAAGCCTATAATAACACAAAATTCTTCTATTAAGATGAATTCAAGATACAGTTTAAATTCAATAGTCCGGAGAGTCGTTAGTCCGGGTACTCCAGTAATCCGGATAGTGCTATAATTGAGCATGTTTGAACATTTTTGTTCCTGAAATCCGAGCGCAAAAAAATTCATACGCGAAATATCAGAATTTTCCAATCTGGAGAAGCAAAAACGATTATATCTCGTTTATGAACTGAGTCTTTATTCCTGCATTTAATTATTGAGCGTGAAAATGTAATGGCTCCAATCAAAGGCTTTAATCAAACGAGCAAATATGACTCTTCCACTCGCCGAAAAAAATAAAATATTAGATTATCATGATATGGGAAAAAAACTCGTCAAATTGCGGAGCAAATTATGATTCCAAAATTTGCAGTATTTGACACAAACAAATTATTTGTTAAAGGGTATTTTGACAACTTCATTTTCTAAAGAAATAAATTTAAGTGGTTCCAGTAATTCGGACACCTCGATAATCCGGGCGTACTCCTGAACAATATCTGCCCGGACTACTGAAGTTATACTGCACAATATTTCACCTTTATTGTCCCATACGCCCATACATAATTATAATAAATTTAAAATATCAATTTTTAAGCTAAGAAACTTGTTGCGCATGGGTTGTAGAAAAGAAATACCTGACAAACCCCCTTATTAACGCATTCCAAACAACTTATATCTTCGAAATTTACCAATATATTGTCTTCTAACCCCATTTTTTACACATTTAAGGAGATACTTTATATATCGCTGTCATGATAGTTCAGACATGACATAGCAAAATTATTTCCTTTGTTATTGGACATGTTGAATAAATTTTCCATAAACTTTTTAAATTACTCAATAAAATGTATTTCCTTTGTTGGGAACTTTTTGACACACACATGACTTAGTAGCTATTAACGACATAATACAATTTGAAACCAAGATTAGGATAGTGTCTACATAAATTTCTATATGTGTAAATGAAATAAATCTTTTAGAAAGTAGAAAGCCGAGTTGCTAGCGATCAAGATTTAAAGTTGGCTGATACTTTACGTTACTATATGAGGGACAGCCAGGCTGCCAAAGCATTATTGGTTAGGAGGCTAAAGTGTTTAGCCACCTACGAGAACGCTAACAGGACCTTAGAAAAAGCTAGGCATAAAAATAAAGACATACATGCGGTAAGTACATTCTTGTCAGTTATACGCAATACTTTATTTTTATATATATTTTTTATTTAATATGATTAATGTTTTTTTTTATTATTGCTTCCTAAAGGCTCCAGAAGTTCAAGAGGTAATAATAAACGTTTATAGTTCCTACCATAAAATGATTTCATAAGAAAGAGTTGTGATATAATAATAAAAAATCTCCTATGACTTCTAAATACTTTGGTATTTCTTTAATAGACACTTTCCAATAATAATTGTTTGAATTAATTTTAATAATTAAGTTTACACACCTGTTCTAGGCTGAAATGGCTCAATCAGTAGCCTGTGAACAATTTGAAGCCATCTCTGCTCAAGCCAAGGAAGAACTTCTAGATTTCAAAACAAGAAGGTTACACGCCTTTAGGAAAAGGTAATATATTTAAATATTTTAAATTAGATATTAACAATTTTAAAAAATGCGTACACTTAAACAATGTTCATATCGTTCAGAAGCAGTAACTTAAATTGAATGGAACAGCACGTTGTTTTTATTCTTGCATTTAAGAATGGATATATGACGTCGTTGATGAGACGCACTTGACGGTTTTATGAAATATAGGAATTTTATAAGGACTAACCAACGCTGTCCACCCCACCAAATAACCAACTTAACCAACGCAACTAACCTTGACACTTGTAAAAAAATATAAAAACAAATATAAATTAATAAAAACCAACCTACCCCACCAAATAACGAACTAACCAATGAATTAACACCCTCCAAATAACCACGCTAACCAACCCGCCAAATAACTAAACCAATCCAATCAAAAAGAGTGAAACCAATACAATAAGATCACACTATAAGCACAGCTATAAGCAAAAAAAAAATATAAAATAGTCTTGGTCCGGCGTGAGAATTGAACCACGGACCTTCCGCTCACGAAGCAATAGCCTCAGTCACGGAACCACAGGTGCTCTTGCAAAATGCCTATCGCTAGGCATTACTTTCTGCCGACATCAACGACGTCATAATATCTATTAACGGCATTTTAGTAGGCTACCGTTTAACGGCTGTTTAAGTACATCGTTTAAGAATCTTAGGAACATTTTATTTCAACATGTATAGTCTATTCAGCAAGAGAAAATATGTTTTCGATAGACGATATCCTAATAGTGATCGAGAAAGCAACCACTTTTGTTGAGCAGACTAGTAAATCTTAAACAATTCAAATTGAATTAAAATGACAGATTTCTGTCACAAATTTTTACACTTTCTAAAATTACATATTCCAATTCTTATCCAATATTTGTTTTATTTTAACGTAAACCTTTTTGTTTTAGTTTAATAGAATTGGCGGAATTGGAGATAAAGCACGCCCGTACTCAACAAGATTTGCTGAAGAAGTCCATACAAGGCTTAAAAGAACTACTCTAAATGTGATACCACCATTTTTATATACGATTTATTTGTTAAATTAGCATATTTTGTTATATTACTTTTTTGAAATTTATTTTTTACATTATAAACATTCCTATGTTGATTAGGTTTAATATAATTATATTATCTATTAAAATAATATGCATATATTTAATTATTCTAGTAATTTTGTATTCTATAATTATTTCTTATTACATTATTTTTGTATAGAAAATATCTATTTTTCAAAAAAAAAGTGTTATAAGATTAAACTCTATTCATTTAATTAAAGGATTAGTTTAAACTTCATCCCATATAAATTATTATTACATACTCTAGGTTTTTTTTGTTTATTGTTAATACACGATAAAATATAAAAGTTGAAAAAAAACAACTGGATGAAGGTTAAATGTTTCTAGATTTGTATCAGAAATATATGTACGGTATATATTGTATGTTGTTTACATTTAATATAATGATTTTCTAGATTTGTGACTTGTTATTATAAACTACATTTCTTATACAGGGTGGCGCACCTCGTTCGCCTCGGTTGATTATACGAAAACGGAAAGATATAGAAACAAAATATTTTATGGGTATATGTGGGGAGACAATGTGCACAATTTAAAATTATTTTGAAATATACAGGGTGTTTCAGTACTAAGATCCATACCAAAGTTATATTTTTTCTTATGGAACATCTGGTATTTTATTTCATTTTTGGATTCTTGGGTCCAAAAAAGGCAATTATTATAATAGGGTTAAATATGTTTAAAATCTTTTGTTTTTAAGATATTTAAATTTGTATGCTACAATAGAATAGACTATTAACACCCTGTACATTACTTTTCAGAATTAATTCTTATGCTGAGTTTAAAGGTAGAGAAATAAACTTTACTAGAAAACGGTATTGGTTCCTTAAATTTATACAGGGCTATCAAAAGTTGCTGATGTATTTTAAGGATATATTTTACATAAAAACTTCGTTATTTCAAATGCAACATCCTATATTTTTTTAAATAAATCGAAGCAGATTCAAATGCTCTTTCAAACTATATTAGGGTTTCCTATACCTATCTAGTTCAGATTTTGAATAAAAAGCGATTTTTAAACAAAATTGCAATCAAGATGGGTGGTGTCGCCATGGCAATTTTCTAGTGACTGTTAGTAACTATTTTTAAAGTCGACATTAGTTTATGGACCTTATTATTTATAATTTATAACAGTTTACTTAAATTTACCTACAATAGTTTAATAAGTAACTATTGTAAGTAAATTAAATAAAAGTAAACTCTCTGGTATAAATTTAAATAAGTCCATAAACTAATTTCAATCTTGAAAATAGCTACTAACTGTCACTAGAAACTTGCCACGACAACACTAGCCATCTTGATTACAATTTTATTGAAAAATCGCTTTTTATTCAAAATCTGAGCCAGATAGGTATAGGAAACCCTAATATAGTTTGAAAGAGCGTTTAAATCTGCTTCGACTTATTTAACAAAATACAGTGTTGCATTTGAATTAACGAAGTTTTTATGTAAAATAAATATTTAAAATGGACCAGGGGAGGAATAAAATTTTTCTGTAAAGTTTATTTCTCTACCTTTAAACTCAGCACAAGAATTAATTCTGAAAAGTAATGTACAGGGTGTTAATAATCTATTCTATTGTGGCATGCAAATTTAAATATCTTTAAATATCTCAAAAAACAAAGATTTTAAACATATTTAACCCTTATAATAAATACCGTTTTTTGGGCCCAAGAATCCAAAAATGAAATAATATACTGGGTGTTCTATAAGAAAAAATATAACTTTGGTATGGATCTTAGTTCTGAAACACCCTGTACATTTCAAAATAATTTTAAATTGTCCACATTACCTCCCCACATAAACCCATAAAATATTTTGTTTCTACATCTTTCCGTTGTCGTATAATCAACCGAGGCGAATGAGGTGCGCCATCCTGTATTAGGTTGAAAATATCTCCGCTTCAAAAAGTTTACAAATGAGATGCAAGGCTTATTTAATAAAAGACTATTTTTTTAAATTATTAGTTACTATATATTTCAGTTACACTTTTTAGAACAATAAGATAAAATATTTATAAAAACTTAACAGATATGTGCATAATAAGTAAACTGCAGCTCTGTTTAATTTAATGCGACTGCGCTATTTCCGAGAAATAATTTAAAATATCTTCGATGGTAAATTCCAGCGTAATCATGGATCCAGGGTAACACTGCTGAATTAATTCCTCCAACATTTTGTATTGTCTGATAAATTCTTCTTGCATTGCTCTCCAAACAACTTGCAGAAGATTACCTTCTTCGGATAGATGTTTTTCCACCTTTTTGTAGAGCGATTCTATACCTCGCTTAACCTAGTATTAAAAATTGCGAGTCATAGTAAAATCTGGCCAATTAGAAGATACATGACAGTTACATTTGTTATGTGTTATTTTAATTTTAAAAAATAACAATTATATTAAAAAATACCAATATTGGTAGTTTACATTTCACGGGGATAGAAATTATTAAGCCACCACATTTATACAGGGTGACCCACCCAGGCTGAGCGTGCATTAGACATTTCTATAGAACTACAATATCTAGATCGGAGATTTATTGCACATTATTTCGTTGAGTTTGCGCATATCACCTGTGACGTCATACGCCATACAAAAAAATATCCATATTGTTCAATTGCCACTAATAAAAAAAGACGTAAAATAGGGAAGAATTAAGACAAAACCTCAAAAGTTATGTCAAAAATTATGTAACTTACACTTTTTATGTGTCGTCAGTTTGACGATTTAAAATTGGCGCGCGGAGCTTGCCAACCAATGGTGCCGTTATCACCTGTAACGTAGTGACCAACCTGCGCAATATCATACTTTTTTTCTTTATATCATGATTGTTTCACAACGAGATATATCGATTAAAATATTTTCAATAAGGCGGAACTTCCGAAAATACAGGAAGTTGACAGCAACTTTCTTATTTTGAATGGGTGCCCCCATTTTTAATACATACGTAAATCCTCTGTAAAATTAAAAAAAATTAAGTTATTTAAGATTTAGATTTAACGCATATATTTTTCTTGATTTTATCCAGTAGCCTATGACTTTAAACGTCAAGTGATGCAAAACTATAGATCTAGCCAGAGGATCTAGCCATGTCATATTATGACACTTTGTTCAAAAATCAGTATGTCATCGATCATCATTTCCGAGCCAACTTTGCGCCGTTTTTTTTTATAATACAGTATATTATTAATAATATCAACTATTTGTATTGTATTGACTAAGAGTGGGTTCCATGGGACCCTCCACTGCGGCCGCGAGGGCCTATTGTGGCTCAGTTTCTACAAGCTCTAATATACAAAGAGCGTCAAAGTTCACCCTCAAGACCCAGCCTTTTAACATAGGCCGTTATGTCTGAGGGCGATATGTCTCCTAGGTCTGATAGGTCTACCATGGGTTTGCCAAACATATCAAACCTGGTCCTGCCCCCAGCGGGGCAGGTACACATAACGTGCTTCATTGTTTCGTCATCTTCCATACAGAGTCGGCATTCGGCATCTTCCACCAGTCCCATCCTCTGTAGGTGAGATCTCAGCCGGCAGTGGCCCGTGTACACTGCAGTGAGCGTACGCGCTCCATTCCTACCGGCCTTAAGGAGTCCTCCTGTTCTATGTTAGGATTCTGCTAGGATTTTCTTGGCATGTTCCATTCCGGGACTATCATTCCAGTCCCGGAACGTCGCACCCATAACCCATTCACAGAGCCTGTCTCTTGCGAGATTTTTAGGAACGCTAAGTGTCGGTTCTGGGCCCACGAATGGCGAGCCTGCACCAATTTTGGCGAGGGAATCAGCACGTTCATTCCCCTCTAGGCCGACATGTCCCGGTATCCATATTAGCGACACTTTGTTCCTATCTCCCAGTATATTGAGTAGTTTCTTACAATGAAGAATCGTCATAGACGTGCTTTTCGTTGCCTCAAGTGCTTTCAGCGCGGCTTGACTATCCGAAAATATGCATATTGTTTTCCCGGTGTATTGCCAGCAGTTGCACACAGGTTTCAATAGCATATAGCTCAGCTTGGAAAATCGTGGTGTGTTTTCCAAGACTGTGGTAGATCTCAGTCTTTGGACTGCTGCAGTAAATTCCTGCGCCAGATCCTTTTTCATAATATCAACTATTAGATATCACTAAAGTGCGAAAATACGAGATATATATTTATAAACACACTTTTTAAACTCTTAAGCAGGCAGTATTTATAATATTCAGGATTCAAATAATTAGTTTTCGGAAAGATGGAAATAAATTGTCTGATTGTTTGACACTTAATATCAAAGGAAGCTAGATAAAATCAAGAAAAATATACGGTTTAAAACTAAATCTTAAATAACTTAAAAACCATTTATTTAAGGTATAGTAAAAAAGTAAGAAATTGAAAAATATTTTTACTAGTGAAATAAAAAAAGTAAGTTTCCATTTGAAAAAAAAATATTTATGATAATTTTTTAATCGCTCAATTCCATGACAGCTGCGGCCATTATTATATAACATTAAGAAAAATTTAATTTTTGAAATAGATAGCTACATATCTTCTCTTTATGTCACAGTGGCTGTGGTAATCACTAAATTTGACTTTTAAGCTATACAATATTTTTTTTCTCAAAAATGGTTAATGTTAGATATAGAATGTTTAATTAATAGACTTTTACAGAGAGTAAGTATGTAATAAAAAATGGGGCCACTCATTTAAAATAAGAAAGTTGTTGTAAACTTCCTGTATTTCCGAAAGTGCCGCCATATTGAAAATATTTTTAATTGATAGATCTCGTTGTAAAACAATGATGTGCAAAAAATCTTCGATCTAGATATTTCAGTTTTCTAGAAACCTCTAATGCACGCTCAGCCTGGGATACCCTGTATAGCCAAATTTTAAGACAGTTTACTTACCGTACTTCCAGGATATTGATTAATAACTTTTCTCAATTCTTGTTTACTAAAAGCCAACTGATAACTGACTTCTGAAGCTTTAACACCGCTAGCAACTCTAGCCTGAACTCCGTCAAAAAATGTCTAGAAAAAAGTTTTACTTGACTTCTTTACATAAGCCATATCTTTCAATAACTTACATTTAATTTCTCTAGAGGTCGCCCGAAGTACAAGGTAACGTAGGCTTGCAAAGCATCGTTGTATTTTTGTTTGGCTTCTTTACGTTGGCTATCTAATACTGATATCTTTAACTGGGACAATAAAGAATACAAATGATGATAGTTTTCTAAAAAATGCAAAAGAAATATAATTATTTACACTTTTCTAATCTACAGTGTCAGAATTTGTCTCTTGACAGGCCGTAATCAACGAGAAATAATTTAAATACAGTGCAAATACTAACAAATACTGTACAATAGTTAAAAGGGTGGCGCATGTGATACGATGCGGAAACTCCAATGAGAATGGTGGTACCTACATATTTACTGAAATGAAATTTTGGAAGCATAATATGTAGGTTAATTGGAAACATTTTCAAAAAAAGTTACGCATCAAAGTTGTGCTTTTTGTAATGGAACATCCTATATATTAATTAATTAGTGAATTTCATTAAAGAAGTATACCTACGGCTAAAAATTAAGGATTTTGATATACTCTCACCGGCACGAAAAATGGGCACCTTAAAATTTTGATGTATTTTAAAGTTTAATATATTTTGTTCTAGTGGGCCGATTTTGATGATTTTGCAATTTGTAGCTAAATTAATTGGCCTTTTAGCTTCTCTACTATATTAAAAATGAAGTTTCCTTCTGTTAATTATACGAGGGAAAACAAAATGTTGATATTTTGGTGAAAGTTTGAAACACCCTGTAGAATATGTTAACAAAGCAAGGAATTTAGCAATCATTTTATCATCTAGGTAAGAATTTTCTCAATAGTTTGTTTTTTAATTCATCTGCATATCTTTATTTTTATTGGAGATATTCGCTTGTAAATAAGACAATAACGACCTATAGCAATTTTAGCATTGATTTTGGGTCCTCATCAACACTCAAAACACTTATAAAATAGTATTTACTGTTTTTGCAATGTCATTGGAAAGTCAAATTAGAGATAGTTTTAAGTACTGAAGTATCGACTATTGTTGCTTTAAGTCATCATTATAGAAATCAACTTTTGGACTTAAAACCATATCTGCTGGAGTAACTGCACAACAGACAATAATAATATGATTTTTCAAAGACAGTGACTTTACATATAATCACTATCTTATAGATGTGTTGACTAGGACCAAAAGCAAAGGCATGGTTTTAATGTAAAAAATACGAAAAAAAATGCCAGTGTCATTTTCAAAAGCGAATATCTCCAAAAGAGATACAGCTATTGAGATGAATCAAAAAACAAACTATCGAGAAAAGATACACCTAGATGATAAAATATTTTTTATATTCCTTACTTTGTTAACGTACTCCACAGGGTGTTTCATACTTTCACTAAAATATCAACATTTTGTTTTCCTTCGTATAATTGACAGATGAAAACTTTCATTTTTCATTTAGAAAGAGATACCGAAAGGTCAAATAATTTAGTTACAAATTGATTAAAAAATCATCAAAATCGGTCCACTAGAACAGAATATATAAAACTTTAAAATTTTAAGGTACCCGTTGTTCGTGCCGGTGAGTGTATTAACATTTTCTGAAAATTAAGAATAAACTTTAAATTTCAATAAAAGCTATCTGAATTGTAATTCATCTTGTATAGCCTAATATTTAGTTCAAATATCCATTGTGTGTTAAACCAAATTAAAATTTGTCCCGAAAAGTTATTCAAGGTGTTACAAAATTAATATTGAGCATTGGCGACTTTTAAGAGCAGATTACTCTTTAATTTTCAATGGAACGCCCAGTACATTATTCCAATATTAAATAAAAATTTATATCTCTTCAAAATACTATTAAAGTTGACTAAGATACTAAAGATCCTAACAAGTGTTTCAATACAGCGCTCAACTCAAGTCAATCTCCGCCTTAACAAAGAAAACTTAAGTCTTTTTTTGATTTAAATCATTTTAATGACTTAACTCATTTGATTTTAAGTTTTAAGTCATTTTTTGAAAGTTGACTTAAGACTTAAAATTTAAGTCTTTTCCAAAATGACTTGTGATTTAAATCTTTATTCCGAAGTAGAAAAAGATTTAAGTCTTTTTATAAAAGACTTACATAAGTCATTAAAAAGATTTAAGTCTTTTTATAAAAGGCTTAAGTTAGATTTTTATATATTTTTATGATAAATTTTTAACAGCAGCATTCCTTTTTAAACTGTTAGGCTGCAGCCATGCAGCAGAATAGAAAAATGCTCAATACCACTAGCAAATAAAACGTTAGTTTTTCGAAACCGGTTTAGATTGTTTGTCGTTTTACGCGTGCGTAGTGAATCTGTTTTCTTTCAGGTAAATCCGACTCCGTTATGTAGCCCGAAAGACTAACGAAAGTACCCGGAACCTTTGTAGTTGTTCTGAAAATTAACCATTTTATTTTATGTGATTTTAGTCTCATCTATACCTACAATAAATTAATATTATGATATTAGTAAGAAAATTGCCTAATCGGTAATACAAGAAAATTAATATTAACATTTAAAAAAGGTACTTAAATTGAATTCTGGTTGTCTTGACTTGAGAGTAATTATATTGATTTAAGTCATTTTACTGGCTTAACTTGCAGATCTTCATGATTAAAGTCAAAAATATAAATTTAAGTCATAAAAACGACTTAAATAACGTTATATTGATTTAAGTCTTTACAAAAATCACTTGGCTTGAAATAAAAAGATTTAAGTCAAAGACTTAAGACTTAAATAATTTTGATTTTAGAAATGACTTCGATTTAGTACTAGATTTAAGCAGAACGGACAGTTTCAAATTTTACAAGACGCCACTGTTACAAGAAAGTTAATTTAATTCAAAAACTACAATAACTTACCCATTTTAATGACTTGCGATGGTGATTTCTGATCAGCCGCATGAACAGCAATATATTCAATGATCGTGTCTACTAATCGAGTGTACCATTTTTCCAAATCGGCCGCTCTATCGCTTTTTAAGAGACATTCGGCGTTGGTGGCAAAAATTTCCAAATTTGACACATATGGCAATATACCCAACTTTGATTTTCTCGGCAATCGGCAATCTTTAACGGAATCTATTTGAGTCAACATAAATTGATCCAATGATCTCTTTACTTCTATCAATTCCGACGCAAAAGTGTTGCTGAGGAATGAACTTTGGGCCGACATGACATGCTGATTCAGTCGAACCAGTACATACATGCAGTAACTAAAAAAAAAATAATACCTATAGTATAAACCATGCCATTTTAATTCATAAGTAAATTGTATTTCTTGATATTATTTGGATGGAATCTGCCGAAATAGTTCTATCTCTAGCTAGTAAGACTTTACTACTATTTTGAGTTATTTTTACAATGTTATATTACATAATGAGCACAGGAAATATATTAAGTATAGTGTATTTTTTTATAAAATTCGACAGTGACTAGTGTTGTAAAATGCGAGAATTTATTAATTAGCGCAAAGAAAATAGATTAGAAGATCAATCAGCTACTTTTTTAAATTTTATTTTGAATTCTCACGTTTTTTATTATTATTGTCGAGAAAAGTGAGAATTTTGAGAATATTTGGAACAAAAAGAAAAAAATGAGAACAAATAAATATAGTAAACAGGCCACGTTATCCTTCTTTCTGTGCATATTTACATTGCAGAGTAATTACCAACACCACTGCACAACACTTACTGCAATATGCAAATTAAAACGGCAAAACAGTTGCTAAGTCTATACAGGATGGTCCGAACTGTATTCCGGAAACTACGGCAGCATATTCTACAGATAATAATAAGTAAAAAAGTTCGTATAAATGTGTGTCCTAATATGCTTAGTTTCGGAGATACAGGGTGTAGAAGTTTCATTTTTATTTCGATTTTTTCCAAATAATTTTTGAAGTAACGTCAATATTTGGATAAAAATTGGTGTCTAGGAGTTTTTTGACATGAGTAGTTTGATTTTGATATCAATATGACTCTTATTTGTAGGGGGCATCACCTACATATGTTTTAACTGTTTTGAAGTGTAATAACTTTTCGTCTGTACCTGTATAAAATTACTGAGTCAAAAAATGTACATTTCCTTGATTTTTTACGTAAAAAATGTCTCTTGGTAAAAATCGAGCAACCGTTTTCAAGATATTTAGAATAGAAATAATCAATACATGTCATTATTGACATAAAATAAACATGTTGAGTAGATAGTTATTTGACTGAAATGATAAATTTGGGAACTTTTTTTTATTTTTTTTTAAATTAATAATAAATTTTTCTTTGTAATAATGAGGAAAAAACAGTTTCTGTTGAATTTTTGGCATAAAAAAATTACAAATTTATCAAATTTATGATTTCAGTCTAATAACTATTTAGTAAATATGCTTAATTTATGTCAATGATGACATAACAAAAAAAAAGATTAACCTTCTCCGCATAGAAGTTGTAACCAATGCAATTAAAACTCTTTCGTGTCACTTTGTAGTTATAAATAGTTACATCTCGTTGGTAAAATAGCAGTTATGGGAAGGAGCCGTTCCTCTGAAAAAAAATGCGCTAAATTTCGGTTTAGCATTGGCAACGTTGCTTTAAATGTCAGAAACACAACCCAACATTTTCAGATTGTTTACAAATTTATTGTAGCGGATTTTCCTCTATTATGCATAGAATTGGATAAAAAAGTAACAGAAAATAGCAAAAACCTCATTGTTTATTGAATACCTAACAAAATATGTGCTAAAAAACCTAAAAATACGAGAAATTAAGAAAAATTCGATGAAATAATTTTTCGTTTTTCTGAAAAACGGTAAGAGACCGCCAGAAAAAAGTTCAGATTCGTAATCTATACGACCTCAAAATAGGGTGTATACTAATTTTGGCGAAAATCGGACGATTTCCAGTTTTCCCAATAATTACCGATTTTACAACTAACTAAACAAGTTAACTAAGTAAAAATTAACTTACAAACTATCTTGCTTCTTGATATGGTCTATAAGTAAATCTAATTCAGTTTTCAAACACGCAAATAGACTACTCATCATATTTCTAACATCTTCATCAATTTGCTTTTCCACTTTCTTTTGAGGTAATACAATCTCAATATCAGTCCCAATACCGTCCAGCGTAGTCTGTGTATTTTTTGATGTTGGACTTAGAACATTTAACTAAAAATGGTTAATAACTTAATATAAAAGTAAAGACAAAAAACAAAAATAAGAAAAATAGCTGTAACTACCTGAAAGAATTTAACGCAGAATAACTGTTCCTGCAAAAACACAGGTTCCAACTGAGTTAATACTTGTTCAAGAACTGTTTCGTATTTTAGTCTGTCTGCTGTACTAGTATCTAAAGTCCAAAATTCTCTATCCAGGCCAATCAGGGTTGTAGGTGATGTCACAGTATAGGCTACAAAATGCCTTTATTTATAACTGGCTTACTATAGATGAAAATAAAATGTTGAGTACCTCCTATTTTGTCCCTGGCCGAATTGAAAAGACCTCTCAAGTCTCTATCATATAATTTTCCCAATGATGTGGTGTAAACATCTTTTAATGAATCATACATCTTTTTATCCATTACCTATAAAATTTTATGTTAAATTTAATTTGAAATACTTTTGGCTATTAGAAAAATACAAAAATTTTTGTATAGATAATAAAATATGTACAGTGCGTGAAATATTTGATACTCCACTAACTTAATTATTTTTTTGTCCTAGAAACAAAATTTTAAAAAACATATTCAAGAGAGTTTTAGAAGCTTTTTTGTTTAATTTGCCATCAATTGCCACGAACCATGCGTGCAATTGACGGCCTCTATTCCAGAGGACAGTCCTCTTTTTGATCTCTGTCCTCTTTTCCCTCACATATTGAAAAAGTCCTCCTTTTTATATACCAAACTCAAAAATTAAAAATATTTGTCTATTGCCACAATTCAATTAAGTGGACAACCCTAGTATAGGGTATCCCATTTTCGTGTTTTTTGTTTTTTTTTGGGTAAAAATACAAAGATGCGGTTTATGAAACTAAAGATGTTTTGCACAGATTTATCCTAGCCCTCTTACATACTGAAATACAGGGCGAATTTGAAAGTGTTGCATTATTCAACTTCCTCGGTTGTTCTATAACTTATTGAAAAGATGAAAAATGAGTCCCATAGGGTTTTTCACGTAGAATTCAGTGCCGTAACTGTTTTTTTTTTCACGGGGAGCCATCATTCTCGAAATATGATTCAAACTTTTTTTTAAATGATGGGACACCGTGTATATTATTTTTATATTTTATTTCTCTTAAGCCCCGTTCTCAGAACATCGACTGTCGCCAGCGACAAGTCAAAAGGACCAATGAGATTTGTAAAAAATTCAAACAGCTGTCAATTTTAAATTTAGTACAGCTCCCATTGGTTGTTTGAAATTTGAAATGTCACAACGTCATTCTGAGAACGGAGCTTTATTATGAGCTTTCTAAAAATATACTATACCCTATACTTATTTTCATAAATAAGATAAAAAAAATGTTTATTTAACTTTTTAACATAAATTAATCTAATTTAAAAGAGTGTTATTATTTTATTTTATTAAATTTACCCAGATAATTTTGCTTTCCTTCGTGTTTTTTATAATAAACTGCACCGAAAATAACTTGTGCAGTTAGCTAACACCCTACCAATCAGAGTTATTGATATTTCTGATGCACTTGTGCACTAATTCTACACACAGAAACTAGTGTAGAGTAGTGAATAACCAAATTTGACGTCGAATAAATTATTTGATTACCTAATTTAAAAAGTTGTTGCCTCTGCTAAAAAGTTAAATAATAATTTTTACCTTATTTATGAAAATAAGTATAGAGTATACAATATATTTAGAAAGTTCATAACAAGATAAATAAAATAAAAAAAAAGAATATACAGGGTACTGGGTATTCCATTTAAAAAAAAACATAAGTTTGGATCATATTTCAAGAATGACAGCACTGAGTTCTACGTGAAAAACTCTATGGGACTCATGTTTCATCTTTTCAATTGGTTATAAGATCGCAACCAAGATACAAAGGGGGTCGAAAAATGCAACATTTTCAAATTCATCCTGTATTTCAGGAACTAAGAGAGCTAGGACACATCTGTGTGTAGCATCTTGTATCTCTACTAATAAACGAGAAACCACATAAAACACACGAAAATGGCACACCCTGTACAATTTCATGAAATCACTCATTGTGAATAAAACCTTATACTTTTGAAGTCTGAAAAAAATTGTCTATTCAGCTCTTTCAGCTAAAGAATCTGATATAGGAAGGATATAGGGCACTATTTAAGAAATGCTATTTAGATATGTCAAAATTTGACAGCTCTGAAAATTTGATTGTTGTGGATTCAGACAAAAATCCTAGAACATTCATTAAGTAAAAAACTTTTTCTAAACATGATAATTCCAGAGATACATATTGACTAAATTATACACGAACACCCAGTACAAATTAGTAAATAATATAAATAATTATAAAATATACTAAATATTTTTAATTTAGAGCATCAAAATAAATGACTCAATTATAAAAAAATAATACATGTGCTACTTAGTGTAAATGATTACAGCTAACTTCAAAAATATATTGCAATCTTTTCTCAATAAGGAAAAAAAAGATAATTTACCTTAACCCAGTGCATCAGCTCTGTATATGGATATAATTCACGATGCACCCCATTATGCTGTGGCAATATTAACCCTTCAACATTTCTGTCAGATTCACCTTTATGATTACCATAATGTATAAATAAATTATTTAATTGTCTACTTAGACTTCTTGAGAATTTCTCTTTATATTTTTCAAATTTCTTTCTCTGTTCTTGGATAGCTGTCATTTGTAAAAGAGCTTTATTGATATCTGAATTCATAGCAATTTTTAAGGCATTGGCTGCTTTTACAGCAAATGCTAAGCTCTCTGTAGATTGAAAATCTGCATCATCCAAAACTTGTTGGTATTCTATAGGTAAATCCAATTTAGTCTAATAAGATTTCAAAATACAAATTAATTTATTTATTTTAAAAGTATAACTCAAATTGTTCCACTTACAACAACATTCTCCAGCTCATCCATAAGCACTTGATTATTCTGATTTATAACAGAAATCATAGAATTCTTATCTTTCATTTTCTTCATAGTATCTCTTACATGAATAAGTATTTCATCATAAATATTAAGTTGATTTTCCAGTTTATCGGCTTCATTTATTGCTGTTTCCAATTGTTCCATAAGAGTTCCTACTTGTTCTTCTGAAGCTAGAACGCATTGTACATTTTCACCATCAAGAAGTGATAAATCTCGAGCCAATATTTCCATGAAACCCTCAGCATTACTTATAGCAAATTCACATCCATCCATTAATCTAGAGCAAATTAATAAGCAAAAAGATAACTACTAGATACTCAAACTTAAAAAACATATACTTTGAACTACCTTTTTAAATCTTCTTGTTCTTTTTCTGTTATAGCTTGAAAATCATCTGAAAAATCATTATCCAAAGCTGCTAGAGGTGAAGTTACATACTGATTCTCTGGTGTCAAAGCATCCTCTGTTATCCATGATTTTGGTATATTTTTAAAAATTGGTAGGTCTTTCAATATATGTTTCGTAACTTGCTTCCAAAGATTGTGTATAAATGCATACCTTTCTTTAGAATTAAGTGCAACCCAATGATAAACTTTATCAAAATACAAATCAAATTCTTTTGTATCATACAATTCTTTATGGCCATCCACTGATTTTAATTCTGCTAGAGACCAACTTCTCTTTTTCTTAAACTGAAGTTTATCCGTTTGTTTTATTTGAACTATTGAAATGTTAAATGGAACATTAGTGGTGCTAACAAGGCACAAAAAAGATGTTTTCTTTTTCTTCAAGTATTTGCTAACATGACAACAAGCAATTAATCTTTCTTCTCCTGGATTAAATATATCTTGTAATTCCCGTATTATCGAAGCAGTCATTTTTTTATAAACTTAAATGAGGTTCATAAGCATTTTAGAATAAATTATCCATATGAATACAAAAGACTTTTTGGGTAATATCTTATTTAATTACAATAGTTTAGTTTATATTTCTTCTTCTGTAGTCTGTAGAAAACTTCTTTACATCATCTATTATTTTTATCACAGAATAAATATTTTTAATACACCAATATCCAATATTCTCTTAGAATATTCTATATTTTTTTTCTGATTTTTAGTAAACAAATTATTCTGTCATCAGCTGAAATTGTCAAATGTCTTTTTAACCCAGAGATATGGAAGTGGGAGAATGAGCTTCGACGAGTGCGCATCCAAATTTTTGTCGACGGCAAGATGGCAGACATCTTCCAGGTCTCGCTGTCACTTCCCCTCTTTAATTGACATCTGTTTGTTTTGTTTTTTTTTTCGTTTGTGTTGCTATCTAGTTAAAATTTATTATTATCTCAATTATTCTAAACACTAATTCAAAAGGCTTGTTGTATATTGTCATAGTCATTCTAAGAAAGCTAATACGCCGAGAAAAATGATTAGTTTTCATGTGTAAGTTTATACAACATAATCGTGTTTACAGATGATCAAATATCGTGAAAATCGTGTAAAAATCGTGATTGTAATTGGGAATGGTCAAAAATAAGTGTATGATGTGGCCATTTAAAGAGGATGTTTTTATTACGTGTGGAGGAAGAAGATACTTGGAATCAATGTTCGTGCTTCTGTAAAACAGTGCACTCTTATAGTGTCCATGAAAGCACAAGTTCAAGTGTACCAGAAACATGTCAAATAAGATTGGTCCTTACTTGACAAGAAGATTATTTGGAGGAAAAGAAATCATAAGATAGGGTATTTTAATCGAACAGCGAAAATTTAACATTTTTATTGTAAAGTTTGTTGTAGGTAGTTGTAGTTTTGTGCTAAATATTTCTAACATTAGCAGCAACAGTGTTCAGAGTCAAGAGGAGGAGAATTCAGTTAATTAGATTTATGCACAGTTACAGGTATGAAGGCTTTTTCAAACATAGTATCGAGTTCTATAGTCAACATTTTTAGTATTCCTACAACTGTAAAAACAAGGAACATTGGACTGAAAAAAATGGCAAGATTTATATAGGAAGAAAGGGTATTATGCCAATAAGAAAATTAAATCTGTAGGCAGAAGTTTCTTATTTAAAAACTGTTATGGGGCATATATTAATTTGTATCAGTGCCCCAAATCACTGAGAAAAATCATATAATATTCATAATTGTTAACGAGATGATATTTAAAAAGTGTTAAAAATGAGACTATTAGTCATGAAGCTTACAATGTTACTTTGTTTCAATATTACACTTTTATTCTTGTAAAATCTATGATGAAGTTCAAAAGCATTTTGCAATGGCCTTAAATTGTGAGCCAGGATTTATAGCAAAGGTATTTGATGCAATGAAACTTAAATCAGTACCTTCCAGTATGTATTTTAGTAAGGGGATTGTCAATCCCATGTTTTTAAATAGATAAAATACAGGCCAAAGTTGACAATATTACAGTTGAGAAGAAACTATTTTATCTTGAAAAATTTTCTTAAAATTCTGAGATCATATAATCTAATTTTCTTAATAATAAATTAGGTATATGTATGTTGTACATGCAGAATTTTGTTATGGACAAATAAGGATCGGCAAGCTTCTTTTGTGCAAAAAATAAATGATTTTTTCTAGTATTAAGACAAACCATAATGTGTTTTATAAACTTACCGGTAACAGGTTTTTTTTATAATATAATATTTAGGAATAATTTGTGTTGTTTATCAGTATATTAATGACTTGAATTTTGACAAAATGTTCTATTACAAGATTGAGTTTTTATTGTCGACAAAAACCAGGATAAATACTAATAATAATACACTTAATAAAATCAATAATGTTTATGTATTATGAAAATATTTGTTAGAGGACATGTTATGTAACAGTTTTTGTAACACAATTTGAAGGGACGAATAAAAAAAAAATAAAACAAAAACATATTTTTTCTAGGTTTATATTAAAAATACAAGGTAGGTAATCATCAAAAATAATTATGAACCAAATGTTTTTTATGAATATACAACTTGAACAAAAAGTTGTTTAGAACAATTTTTACCAAATTTGCAAAAATTTTAAATTGAAACGCGTAATTCAGTACAAGTAAACATGAAATATTGTAAATACTTATTTAATATCATTTCGAGTGTTTAACGACGAAAAGGTCATCTGTCCGTAGCGTCTTTTGTCAGAATATTCGTATATTTAGTGTATTATACATATACCAATATTGTACGCAGTTTTGAAACTGATAATTAAATAAATCATATTAATGTTAACTAACCATAATAAATGATAGAATTTCACTAAATTTAAATTGCCCCCCGTATGGTTGAAAACAGCAAATTGATATTTGATTACTTATAGATTACCACCTATATACAAAATGACACGAAGACCTGGAATATGGCGCCCCACTTGATTAGACCTTCTGCGCATGTTGACGCTCATTCTCTATCCCTTCTATTTCTCTGTTTTAACCTGTCAATGTCTCATTTATATATGATCATTATTTTATTCCAACACCCAACATCAAAGAGTAGATCAAAAGAACACCGGATGAGACACGTGATCTACCACAAACTCACAAACCACAAGGCCTGTGCACAAGGCAAAATATAAAAAAAGTGTAAACAGTGGTTTCAAATTTTATTGCAATTTTTTTCTTCGTTTTATAAGTAAATTTTAATATTATATACTATAATAATTGAGAATGCAATAGTGAGTAAGTAATTTCCAAAATTATCATTACATTTATTGTTAATTTCCAGGATCAATATGCAATTAACCTGTTTGTTGAGAACAATATTATATAAAGGTTCATTGCAAATTGGAAAGAATTTAACAAGGAAAAACATTATGACAACTCCAAGAAGTATGCAAGAAGTTCTAGAAGATTTAAAAGGAAATCCTTATTATGATAAATATTCAGATAAAATAAAACAAGTCCAAAATAGTAAACCTGATGAATTTCAATCTCGGGTTGAGAATTTAGAAAAGAAAAAAGTTAAAAAAATAGAAGCATCAAAGGGTCGCCAATATTCCCAATTGTTAAACCCCAAAGAGAAATTGGAAAATAAAACTCAAATAAAAGAAGAATCATTGGACAAAATCATGAAAATAGATTTAATTAAAGATAAGACTGCTGAAGAAGTTGAATCTATTTGGCTAGAATATCATTTGACAAAAGATTGCATTGCTGCTACAATTCCCTCAAAAGATTATGAAAAATTAGAACAGAGATCATTAAAATTCAAAACATTTTTATTTCCACTACCTAGAAGTCAGGGTTATGAGTTTATTTTGTGCCAGTTTGAGAAAAATACTGTCCACTTTACACCATTGCTTTATTTTCAAGTTCACAAAGAAAACGCTCCTGAATGCTTGACACTAACGCACTATAAAGAATTTAAAGATGATAAAGGAATTGTATTAATGAGAGGAGAATATGACAAAAATGTAATAAATGCTAAAGAAGCTCAATGTCTAGCCAATCAGTTACAATTATACTATATTCAGGATGATGAAGAAAAACAGAAACTGCTGGAAACATTTACTGTAGATCCAGATTCTTTCGATCATATGGAGCTGGTTAAACAAGTTAATAATTTATCTTTATAATTCTTTTTCTTGGCAGTGTAGTCACATGCTGATCTTGTATATATAAAAAATAGTAATATATGTAGACTGTTTTATTTTAATATAAATATTCTATTATCTATTTAATTATAGCTAAATAAAAAGCAGCTAATAAAACTAATATGAGTAATTAATTGTATTAAAGATATTATAAATAGTTTGTCAAGGAAGGAAAAGTACTTTGGTGACTTTTTTATTTATCGCTCGCTGGTGGTGCGAAAAAGTTCGATCGTTCGAAATTCGAGTACTCGATTATTGAAATTAATCGGTTTTTCCCATCACTATAGTAGTGATGGGAACAGGGATTAGACCATAATTATCGATAATGTTAACGATATCGATAATTATGACATTGATGGCATTATTAATAATTAAATTTGTGCAATTTGCTATCACAGGTCACAGGGACGAATAAATGGATAACCAATATATATGAACACGCGAAGACAATTTTACAAATTACATTCACACGCGACTTTAAATTATTAAAAAGAAAAAATAAATATCTTCGACCTTGTTTTATCTTATGTTATTACTCATTATAAGATTGACGTCAATTAAAAGAAAGACTATTTTTGAATAAGGATATTAAGTTTTTAGTTTGGTTTTGATATTTAATATTTCGAGACCTTTTTAAGGCTATTGTAAATTTATTATATTTATTTTTAGCATTTAAAAACAACCGACTTATACATTTTTTAAATGGACATATTTGCAAATGTCACAGGACATTTTTGTCAAAAAGTTTTAAAACTGAGGGCCAGAGCTGAGGGCAAAGACTTAGGTACTTTATAGATGCAAACAGATAAACAATAAACTATTACATTACAATTTTTCAACTGTTAAATTCAAAGCCCATTTATTATAAAACTTCATTTATAGTAGGATCAGAGGTAGAGTATAGCAAAAAAAAAAGAATAACAATCCAATTACTTTTATTTGTTAAAACATATTCTAAATGTTACAAAAATAGTCATAAAGAAATATAATTTTGCTTATCAATTACTTATGATATGTTAAATGTATATGTAAAAATCTATAAAAAGTTTTTATCAAACAAACTAAGGACTAACTCTCTTGTACTGTCATATCCCAAAATATCCAGATTCAATTCTTTCAGTTTGTTCATTGATTTCTTGTGCAGTTTTGTACGCTCGTTTTTGAAATGAAGAGACGTTATTGTTTTTTCCAAAACATAACTCAACCACAAGATATTGGAATAGGGATCGAAATGATGCCATTCATTTCTAAAAAGAAAGAACAGATAATTAAATATAAAACAAGACATAGTGTTTTAAGACATACCCATTTTTCTTCTGCATTAGTCTGTATATTTCAAATTGATAGTCTCCCCTACCAGTAAATATAGCACAATCCTTCCCTAAATCATTGCAAATGTCTAAACCGTTCTTGGATATTCTTGAAAATGTAAAATCGATGATGGAAACTTTAATGCCACAAGATGGTACTGCTATTTCTTGTCCATTTAGAACAAAAAATATTTCCTTGTCCAGTGGAACATGAGATATTAAAATATTACCCCAATGCAAATCACGATGTTCAAAGCATAATTCCACTTCAGCAACTGCCATTGCACAGGCAATCTAAAAGTTTCATATTATTTATATATTATAAAGAGAAACTCTCTTATAAATATTTTCTAATAAAAATCTATTTATCCATCAATTTCATTTAAACACCTTCCAAAAATATATTTCAATCAACATATACTATATACCCATAATTTGAAAATATCAAGAAATCTTAAATAAAAATGATATGGAGCTATTTTCTAACACTGCTTCTCCTAGTATACTTTTGAAATTGTAGTTCTGTTAAATATTACCTGTTTAAACATTGATAGAACTTGGGAGGCATCATCAAATATAAATGATTCTAGATCACTGCCGCCATATCCTGTTTCCAAAACAATGTATAATTGTTCATCAGTGAATAAATCTGGAAAGTCATTTTCAGAACCTCTATTTTCATCATAAAGCTTCCATAACTCTAACAGTTCTTCAGGATACCTTCCATAAATATAGCGTAGATTCTGAACTTCGATAAATGCATCTGTATAATTCTTCTTGTTTGCTCTTAAGTTGCTCAATTCCCTAAATTTAAATAAAAATACAGTAATTTCATAATGTTTATGTATAATTGACTTACAGAGCAATTATAGTTTCTGATAAAATTTCCTCAAACTTCTTTTGAGCTTCACCATTAACTATTTGGTCTCCTTCTATTGGAATAATTTTTAGCACAGTGGTACCCCCATTTGCATTCTTGTAAAGAAAAACTTCGCCATAAATTCCTTCCCCAATCTTCTGACAATGTTGAAATATTCTAAAAAATATACAGTAAAAATGTGTAAAACAATCAGTAATAATTGTTTTTGCATATAACACACAGATTTATCAATAATATTCAAAATTTATTTACTATTATGATACATATTTTGCCTCTCATAAAAATGTTATTTATTTATAGAAACTTTTGTCCTTTATTACTCAATAAATTTATCAGATACATATTTAAAAAATATATATTAAAATCAAACTAATTTTATTAGGAATAATGAGTCACATATGAATAAAATTATGACATACTACAATGCACAATATTACAAATACAAACCTTATAACTCTAATTTAGTATATTTTATCAGATTATATTTCATAAAAATAGGTACTTACCCTTTTGGATAACAATCCTGAAATGAAGATGGTTTTTCCTGTTGCCATTTTCGCAAAATCAATTGTATTTTTTGGTCTAATGATAATTCATTGAAAACGTTCTGTAGATCGTTGGTTAACGATAAATTTCCACAACAATGTTGAAATTGTCTTGGAAAAAGTTTATTGAAAACTGAGTTATCCACATAACCAGATAAAATTTCATGTGAAGGCATACAACTCTTAAAACTTGTTTCGCTTTTCGTGTACAGCGGCATGCAATTAAGCAATTTATTAATATTCCAATTAGCTTGTATTATAGGAGAGTATCAAATACAACTGAATGCGAATTATTGAAATACACGTTACACACAAAATCAGACAAAAATATCACAATATAGTGTTTTAATCGCGAGCACGAGTAATAACGAAACAATTAAAAATGAACAAAAGAACTTTTGTGAAGCTTACAACTGCGTATTATAAAAACAATTTTAGAACAAATAGGTCAGCTTCACGTCACCAAACACGTAAACTGAAAAATGAGTCATTTTCTGGCATCGTTTTTATGACACTTGGAATTTAGTTTAAAAAAAAGATGGAAACTTTTCTATGGCCATAATTCATATATAATCACATATAACTCATATATCAATTTTTGTAGAGTAAACTTAAGATATATATGAGATGTCGGCCTTGTGGTCGAAATGATTGCGCCGCATTCTAGTAGACGCAAGGTCGCCGGTTCGATTCCGGCCTCGGACATGGGTGTTAAATGTGTGTGTGAGTCTGTATTTGTCCAATTTTAAACGCTAATTAAATAACAAGAAATAAGCTGGCTGAATGTCGTAATCATGTCGTAATAGACAAGTGGCCAAAAAGAGAAAAAATATATATATATATATATATATATATATATATATATATATATATATATATATATATATGAGATATGGTCAAATCCACAAAGCCCTAGCAGCAAAAGCCATAAAGTTTTAAGAATTATGTTCTGATTATTCTGTCATCTGTCAATCAAAAAATAAAAAATGATGATAGGTTAGTTTTCTAGAGTTTTGTAAACTGCTGCCGATTTTATTTGGGAGACCAATATTTATTAAATAAAACCAGACTTGAGATATATTTTTTTGTAAAGTGATATAAACTGTAGCACAATGCCGCGAATTATGATAAAAGGCGGAGTGTGGCGGAACACAGAAGTAAGTTCAACATTCACTAACAAAATCTAATAGGAGTTGTAAATAATCATCTTGTATATTTTGTTTTTGTTAGTTCAAATTTATTTTGTTTTTAGTAAATAATAGCTTATTAAATAATGTTTATAGTGGTTTTTAATATCAGCGAATCAATGCCTTCCTAAGGTATTTATTACTAAATGTTTTTTGAAATGTTAGGATGAAATCCTTAAGGCTGCTGTTATGAAATATGGCAAAAATCAGTGGTCCCGTATTGCGTCGTTGTTACATAGAAAATCAGCGAAACAATGTAAGGCACGTTGGTTTGAATGGTTAGATCCAAGTATAAAGAAAACAGAATGGTCAAGAGAAGAAGATGAAAAGCTATTGCATTTAGCAAAGCTAATGCCTACGCAGTGGCGAACAATAGCCCCAATTATTGGCCGTACTGCTGCTCAGTGTTTAGAAAGGTGCATATTTAATTTTCTTGGTTTAAAAATGGAAATTCATATTAGTATTTGGGTTAGGTTTTATTTAAATTACTTTCTGTAGATATGAATATTTGTTGGATCAAGCACAAAAGAAAGAAGATGGTGAAGATACTGCTGATGACCCAAGGAAACTTAAGCCTGGCGAAATTGATCCCAATCCGGAAACTAAACCTGCCAGACCTGATCCAAAAGATATGGATGAAGATGAACTTGAAATGTTATCAGAAGCTCGTGCTCGATTGGCAAATACTCAAGGTAATTTTTTATACAATATTGTATGCATTTTCTTATATTTGATTTTTGTAACTTGTAATAGGAAAGAAAGCAAAACGTAAAGCTAGAGAAAAACAACTTGAAGAGGCGAGACGTCTGGCAGCTTTGCAGAAAAGAAGAGAACTTCGAGCAGCAGGAATTGAAGTCAATCCTCGTCGGCGAAAAAAGCGTGGTGTTGATTATAATGCGGAAATACCTTTTGAAAAACGACCTGCTATTGGATTTTATGATACATCAAATGAGGTATTCAAATTATGTCTAGTCAGTTTTCATATTTTAGATTTAGAAAGAATTTATCGTCTGTCCAGTAAGAGAATATACATTTTTTAATAAAAAACGTCTAAAAAAAGACAAAAAAAACCACTTTTGAATTAAACTGGCAGACAAATATTACACAGGGTGACCTAGCATTTTCTAAAAGTTCTATATCATGTTTCTAGTTTGAGATTTTTGCACCAGTTTTTTTATATAATATGCTTAAAATTGTAGTGTATATTTTAAACATATTTTTGCCAATATACATGGTGATTCATATATTTTCTTTAAACTAATGTATATTTTTAAATAGGCTGATATATATTCTTACTGAGTGGATTTGCTAGTGGATTTTGAATTTTATTGTTATATTTTATATACATACCTACTAAGAGGTTTTGGAAAGATAATAATAATAACAATACTTATACAGTATGTATCCGGATTGTCTTTACAAGAGGAAACAGTTTTTTATTATTGAAGTTTTGAAAAAAATGTAATTTTTGCTTGTTCTAAAATGGTTAATCTCGTTTATACTTTTCCAAATTTCCATACTGTTTTAGAGAAAATTAAAAAAAATGTAATAATTACCTATTATTGATGATAAAAAAAACTATTTTTTAAATATACAAGGATACCATACCATTGGAACTTGATTCTTGATCTAATTCTAATGAATTCTTGATTTCATTTTTTTTTTGTTTTTTATATCAATATTTTTGTTTTTCATTTTATATTTAAAACAACGCGTTTTGTATATTTTATAATTTTGTTAGAATGTTGACAAATATCTATTATTGCACATAAATGCATATATTATAGCAGATGTGCAAATAATAAAGTTATTTTATTTATAGGCTCTTGATCCTATGGCACCAGACTTTTCTAAAATGACCCAGCAGGCCTTGGATGGCGAAATAAGAAGTGAACAAGAAGAAAAAGAGAGGAAGAAAGATAAACAGAAATTGAAACAAAGGAAAGAGAATGACATACCACAGGCAATGTTACAGAACCAAGAACCTGCTAAGAAAAGGTAACACATCTAATAAACTTCTGCGATAAACAGTTTTAATAATTGGGCATTATTGTAGATCAAAACTGGTTTTGCCCGAACCACAGATTTCCGACCAAGAACTTCATCAAGTTGTTAAACTGGGAAAAGCGAGCGAAGTGGCGCGCGAAGTAGCTTCCGAGAGTGGAATTGACAGTACCGACACGTTGCTGAATGATTATACTTTAACCCCTCAAGCAGCTGCAACGCCTAGAACTCCTGCTCCTGTCACTGATAGGTAACTATAAGTTCATGCCACTATTCACTTATAAGTTAATGCTAAAATATGTGTTCTGTTTAAGTTTAGTGTAGTTTATTTGGCTCATTAACAATGATTTATAAATACATTTCTGCAGGTTGTTGACAGAAGCTGACTGCAAAAATAAAGGCAGTAACTCTGTATAGTACACTGAAATAATGTAGGACATTGTTTCCATCATTTTAATTTAGAGATATAGATTGTTTTTCTGTCTTTTATGGATGTTGTTTTGTTGTAATCTTGCTGGCTATTATCAGTGTTACTTATGATACAGGAAGATCGAAAAATAGGCGTCAAATTGGCATTGAAATGGCGATCAATGACATTATAGACAGCATATAATAATAATAATAATGTTTATTTATATACCTATTAAATTACAATGCTACAATAAATAAACATAAATTTGCCTCGGAAAAAAATAATCATTTTTTGTGCGAGGCATAGATTTACAACTATAAATTTATAATACACTTAAACTATAAATACACTGTAAAATAAAAAAAACCTCCTGAATACCAAATACAACAATATACATGCTACTGTAAATGTCCGAAATGCGGTAAAACCTAGGATAAGCGCGCTAAACCTAGGATGTACCAAAAGCATTAACTAATTAGGTCAGCCTGGTTATTTGGAGGGTGTTAATGCATTGGTTAGCCTGGTTATTTGGAGGGTGTTAATGCATTGGTTAGCCTGGTTATTTGGGGGGTGTTAATGCATTGGTTAGGTGGTTATTTGGTGGAGTTGGTTGGTTTTTACTACCACTTGTTTTTGGTAAATCCTAGGTTTTACTGCATTTCAGACATTTACAAGTAACACTGGTCTTCATTTCCAAGTCAATCTTTTTGTTTTTTTTATGATTGTTCATATTTGTGATGTAGAATGAGCGTATAAGCGTATAACTCATTGTACAGTCTATAACTCATCATACATGGGGATTTTCCTGTTGTAGGGGGGACAGGATATTTTCCATCCTCTGATAAGAGATGTTCATCTTCTGAGGAGGCGACATCTACCTCTTACGAGGGTATACAGCCTTCCACGGTTTCCACACACTTCCAAGTTTGTCCCTCCGAGGAGCTTGTCTCCGGCTGAGATACCCGTGAGGTGGAGGCTGGAGGATCTGTCTCCATTTTCTCCACCTCTTTAATTTGGTCTCTCCTTAGACCTGATACCGGTGTTGTCCCGAATCTATAATAGAGGATATATCGTCGTCAATATCACGAAGTGGCGCAACTCATTTTATAAGCTTTTATTTAACTTGCTTTGTATGTAACTATCTATGTAACTATCTATGTGTGTATGTATGTTTGTTCGGGGCAAATCTTGTAAGCTAAATTAAAACCATTTCCTTTTATTGTAGGAAATTGAAATTTGGCATGTAGGTTCAGTCCCGATGACAATACATTTTTTTGCAAGGCATGACCAAGGCATGACCCGAATTTTTGACAGCTGTCAAAATGGCTCTCCTTGCAAGAGCAGAGGTGAGCGGTTCTCGCTCTCTTTCTCTCTCTTGCCCTTTTCTTCTCTTGGTTCCTTTATCTCCCTTTCTTCAATTAGTCTTTTTGCTTTTGCTTCCTCTGGAGCAAATCCTTCGAGGAGCAGTCGGAGGTATCTCCGTATTCCTGCTCCATTGAGATCTACTCTCAGCGGGTCGTCTACCCCGCCTGGTTGACCCAGGCCGGGTAGAGGAAAAGGTAGTTTGTGTAGCCTGTTAGAGAAAAAGGTAGCTTCTGTAGACTGTCAGGTTTAGAGGAGGTGGCAGCTTCTGTGCCACTTGTGGAGGCGGGCCTCGCGCAAGTGTCAGCTACCTCTCCTGTAGTTTCCTTTAGGGTTGGCCTCCTGTACAGAGCCTGACATGTAGAAGTAAGGGGTACATATAACGAGGTGCCACCTGGTGCACCAAGGTTGAGACCAAACTTTTCTGGTCTCAATCTTTGGACACCAGGGGCACACCTCTAGATAGTCTTCTATCTAGCCTTTGCTTTGTCTTCTATCTAGCAGGACATCGTTTTGACCGGGGCCCGTCGTCGTAGGATTTAGGTTTTTGATGAGATTGTCTCCTCTTGGTCCAGGCAGTTAAACCATAAACCATCGTCGCAATTCCTTTTGCATAACATGTCATAATCCTAGAAAATGGAAACTGTCCAAAGTTTGTCCAACGAGTCAGATTAGATTTCGACAGACGGCATCCAAAAAATTGTTAGGAAATACAATATATCTCTGATTACAGACAAAACAACTTTAAATATTATAAATATTTTTTAAATAATGTGTGTCTTACTTTGTAGAATTCTTCAAGAAGCTCAAAATGTCATGGCCCTTACCCATGTCGATACCCCACTCTATGTAGAGTTAAAGTTACTCTTATTAAAAGTTTTTTGAAACATCTAAAAGCGTGCTTTATTAAAATACTAATAATAAATATCATTATTTCCCTCGTAAATTTACTAATAAGTTCAGAGATTACGCGCGTTCTATATTAATAATTAAAACAAGTAATATTTTTTTAGACAATAGCTACACCAAACACAGTAATTGCCACACCGTTTAGGTCAGCCAGAAGTGACGGCGGTATTACACCAGCCAGTTCAGGTTTTGCAACACCTCGTAGTGGAGCGTTGGTTCCGGTAGGACAAGGGAGTAGTTTTACTCCCTCAGTTAGGGACAAACTTAACATTAATGCAGAGGAGGTAAATTATTTTCTTTATAACAGAAAAAATATCAATTATTAGCCCCTTTTAACAGCGTAGAAAATAGAATAGAAATATCTTATGTTTTTTTCTTTTCTTATATTTTTCTTATCGTATATTTTTTGTCTTATATCGTTTTTTATTTTTGTGATACTATTGTGAGTTACAGATTAAAGTATTAGCTTTAATATATAAGACTTGCTAATACTAAATATCCGTCACAGAGGGATAGACATTTTTTAAAGAAAGATTATTTGTACTTAATTACAAGTGAAATAGTGTTTCGATATCACAGTAATAAATAAATTCCATTTATTGCAAACTCTTTGATGGTCAGTGTATAATGTGGGAAAAAATAACTCTAATAAAAGTAGTGCAATATAATATAACCACGGATTAATATTTATTTTTTACTAAATTATTTTAGCAGGAAAATTAAATCTATAAATTATTATTTTTAACTTATTTTGAGCAATAATTATAATTACAGAGTCTAGAGGCTGCAGAAACGCCAGTGCAACAGCGCATATATCAAACCTCTCTTAAAGAGCAACTAAAAATGGGTTTAAGTAGTTTACCCCAGCCAAAGAACGACTACGAAATAGTTGTTCCAGAGCAAGTTGATCAGGAGATGCCAGAACAAGCTCAAGGTAACCAAATATCTATTTAAATTAGATTATATAATTTTGTATAAAGTATGTTTTAACATTATTATTTAGAGCACATGATTGAAGATCAAGCAGATATTGACAAGAGATATCAAGAGGATTTGAAAGCAAAAGCAGCAAAAGAGTTAGCAATGAGATCTCAGGTAAAAGAATATTTTTATTTCTAAAAAATAAATATTTTAATTATTTTGACACTGTTTTAAATTTTTAAAAATGCCTTTAATATACATATATTGGCCTTTATATTGTTGTGATTAGGGATGTCCAGTCCTAAGATTTCTGTACCTTTATCGGATACTAAAAAATACCGGTCCTAAAACTGGGTATACCCTGGTATACCGGTACCAATAATTAGACCAGTAGGATCGAAATACCGGATTGGACCGGAATATCAATTGAACGTCACTGATAAGTCGAAATTTAAGTCAGCCATATTGAAGTACTATCGCGGTCGCCCTAATTTTGATGATATGCTGATAATTTAAATTTAGTTTTAGAACAGAATAGTAATGTTTGTAATTTTAGGTTATACAAAGAGATTTTCCCAGACCATTAGATGTAAACCTTTCCGTTTTGCGACCTCCTAATGAAAATTATTCGTTGACTGAACTGCAAAAGGCGGAAGAATTGATAAAATGCGAAATGGCCACTATGCTACATTTCGACAACTTAAAGAATCCCATACCCAATCAAAGTAAACAATCTACCAAGTCGCAAGCTCAACAGTTAGCATTTTTAGAAGAGCATCCGTATCAAAAGTAAGGGAATAGAGTGGCATGGTTTAGATATTTCTATTCTAATTATTTGTTAAATAGTTTTAGACCAGATGAACTGGAACTGTCGAAGAAAATGTTAAAAAAAGAAATGGAAATTGTCAAAATGGGAATGAATCATGGTGAATTGCCCATAGAAGCGTACACTCAAGTGTGGGAGGAGTGTTTGGGTCAAGTGTTGTTTTTACCAAATCAAAACAGATATACTAGGGCCAATTTAGCTAATAAAAAAGACAGGTTTGTATGATAATTTTTATTAAAGAAAATTGTGTGTGCACTATGTTCGCATATTTGAAGTGAAACTTCTCACTAATAGCTATTAAATTGACGGATTTGACATGCCCTTCAAATCCTTCAATTTTGAAAAAAGTGTAGTTTTAAATGATGAAAAAGGAATAAATTCAGAAATAATAAATAATTTGATTTGCTTTCACAAAACTTGTATTAATATGATCTGTCCGTCTGAGGACTCCATTCGGGTACCTCTATCCACGTGCCGAGTTTGGTTCTAATCGACCCATAATTAAGAAAAATTGATGATTTTGTCCATTTAGAGGCATCGGTTCGAAACGTCGAAGGCGGCATTCTGTAGCCGGTAATTAGTCCCCAGTTATGTTTATAACAGAGATCAATATAACAAAAATGTAGAAATAATCAATTAGTCAGAATCTTCACTTTCTGATTCATTTTCCACTAAATTAGACAAATCAAGAGGCAGGGATAAATTTGTTCCCCCGCCAGTATCAATCACATGAATAATATCATTAATAATCACAATAATCAGTATTAATTATTAGGTATCACATATTAATATTGTTACGGATTCCGTGGGTCCACTATTTAAACTCACGATAAAATACTTAACGAATTTATTTGTTTCACTCTGTACACACAACTTATACTATTTACAACACAACTTATACAACTACTTTTACTCTAACGGTATTTCGCGGTATTATCAAACTTCAGACTTCAGACCACAAAATAGAAATCAACCAGAAGGTTGACTCCCAAAATGCGCGCGAAACGGTGGCTAACCTAAAAATTCCTTTATGAGCGGGTAACACCTGTCAATGAAGCGGCGTTACCGGTTTAATCAGGGCAGGTCAGGGTTTGGTTGAATTCTAACCATCCCATAATATGAATATATCACATAAATACGAATTTTAAAAGCGGAACAAATAAAAATAAATTATTAATAAGGAGAAATAAATAGATATTAAACAAATGCATAGATTGTTTATTTTAAATACTGTATTAACCCATCTTAACACAATACTTATTACCTACCTACCTAATCATAATTTTATTATTATAATGAGCCCGATTTATCTGAGTAACATTGTGTTCAAGCGAAACTTTCCCAGCATTAAAAAAAACATTTTTATTTTGATAATGTGTACTCAAAACGCAGAACGTGCCTCTAACAAATAAATTCAGGATAGTAAACTGTTACACTTTAGAGCGTATCTATAGCAACGCAATTCGCGTAATTTCCCAGACCATAAAAACTTCTAAGAAAGGTGTAGGGATGACCACGGATTTTTGCCAACCAGTAAAACGCAGCTCAATTTTAACTAATCATCGACGTCGTATAAAGTTAAATTTTGTTTAACTTTTGTACGATATCGTGTGTTTTTTAACCTCACTTTTTTTGAAAACATTGGTTTTTAAAAACAAGTTTAGTGGGAAGTGGGCAATTTCGGGATATTTGGCGAGGAAGTTATTTTTGTAAGTGTTTCTCCAATAAAACATGACATGAATCTCTATTCAGCGCAGCAGAAAAATGTTAAAACTGTCAAATTTCGGAACGAACTTTCGGATGTATGTGACAGGCTTTTTTAATTTCACACGATAACTTCAAATTTCGGATGTCGTACCATCGGATTTCGGATGCATGAGACTCCGGCTTTACACTTTAGAGCGTATCTATAGCAACGCAATTCGCGTAATTTCCCAGACCATAAAAACTTCTAAGAAAGGTGTAGGGATGACCACGGATTTTTGCCAACCAGTAAAACGCAGCTCAAGGGTTCGAGTAGAAAGTTGACCTTTAATTAATTGGTTTAGTTTATTTTTAAAATTCACGATCTCTACCCATTTCCAAATTTTTGACTACGCATATATTATCTGCCTACCTACTACTTGCAAAAAACCGCTGCATAAAAATTACATGTGGTAGTATCTATACAATACAAACTTTACCTTTCGAAATAACGTATTACGCTCAGTCTGTAATCACATACCTATCAGATAATAAAAATACTTATTCAATATAACTCTGACAACAGCCTGCGAAAGCGTTTTAATCCGGCCCTGAGAGTTACCCGCTGCCAATATGGCGTCGCGATTCGTGAAACGTCATCAAATTCGGCAGAGTCGGCGTTCTGGTTGATTTCTATTTTGTGCTTCAGACTATCTTCAGACTTCAAACTTCAAACTTCAAAACTTGTCCAACTGTCAAAGCGCGGGCCTTATATACCCCCTGGCGGTTGTTTCTAGATTTTTCTAAAGAATTTTATAATTTTCTTTACTTTCCGGCGAATGCACCAGGTTTCTCAATGCCGCTGCGATTTTTTAGCAGTATGCAGTTATGCAACCAGTAATACACCTTGACATTGCCCTCTTCTCAAATTTGATCGTTCCGGTCAAGGTTTCCTGTCTGGTATCTTTTCAATCGATCCAGATGAACTACTTTCATCTTACTTCTAGGGCTGCGTTGAATCCGGTGCACAACATCATTTATCCTCTTGATGACTGTATAAGGACCTTCCCATGCTGGAGTTAACTTTGGGGACCTTCCTTTCTTGCGCTGTGGGTTATACAACCATACCCTATCGTCTTGTTGAAATCCCGTAGAATTAGCTCTGAGGTCGTAAAGAGCTTTCATCCGGTCACTGGCTAGCGCAATCTTACTTCTAACGGTCTGATGAATTTCCAATAACCTTTCCTTCAGTTCATCCGCGTAGTCCTCTACGTTTGTGGTGCCGTCGTCTGGTGATCCGAACACCAAGTCACAAGACAACCGTAATTCTCGACCAAACAAAATCTTCGATGGTGAAAGTCCGGTGGTGTGAACTGCACTTCTATAAGCCATTAGGAATAGCGGTATGTGCTGATCCCAATCTCTTTGATGTTCGTCCACCATTTTCGGGAGGTGTTCAATGGTCTTATTGAATCTTTCGACCATCCCATCAGACTGCGGATGTAAAGCTGTTGTCCTAGTCTTGTGAATACCAAGCAGATCACACATCTTCTGGAACAGTCTTGACTTGAAGTTCCTTCCTTGGTCAGTGTGAAGCTCTAAGGGAATTCCAAATCTACTGAAGACATTATTGACTAATACTTCAGCTACAGTCGATGCTTCTTGGTTTGGAATGGCAAAAACTTCTGGCCATTTACTGAAATAATCCATCGCCACTAAAACGTACTTGTTGCCCTTGTGCGTTTCAGGGAATGGGCCTGCAATGTCAACAGCGATTCTTTCGAATGGCAGTCCAACGTTATATTGTTTCATTTTTCCCCTAGATCGAGTGCTTGGTCCTTGGCTGGCTGCACAAATTTTCATTGTCGACACCATTTCTTGACATCTTCGCAATAATCCACCCAGTAAAAACGATCTCTCAGCTTGCTCAAGGTCTTGTTTACCCCAAGATGGGCTCCAGTTTTACCACCGTGAATTTCTTCCAATACCTGGGTAACTTTCTTCCTTGGTACCAGTAACTGAGTTGTACTGTCCTGCCATCCGCACTTTCCCACGTGCGCTTTAACAATCCATTCTCAATAACCAGTGAATTCCACTGAGCCCAGAGAGCTTTGAAAACGAGCCCTCTGTTTGCAATATCCTGCCACGGTGGTCTCTCGCCGTTACCTTCCTTGAGCCGTAGTATTGCTCCGATGTCTGGATCTTCCATTTGGTCGTTCCTCAATTGTGTCGTCGTCCACTGTTCATCGGTTCCAAGCTTAAAACTCCTTATCATGACAGTAATTTCACGTTGTTCCGTTTTACTGCAGTGCTTACAATCGATTTGACAGGGTCTTCTGGATAAACCGTCTGCGTTACCATGCATCTTTCCAGCACGATGTTGGATGGTAAAGTGATACTGCTGGAGCTTCTCGAGCCATCGTGCTATTTGACCTTCAGGTTGTTTCATCTCCATAAGCCATTTGAGAGCCGCATGATCTGTCCTAATTAAAAATTCTTGGCCATACAGGTATTTATGAAAATGATCAACTGCCTTCACAATTGCTAGCAGCTCCTTCCGGGTAACGCAGTAATTCCTTTCTGGTTTAGATAGAACTCGACTGTAATATTCTATCACTCGTTCTTCGCCATCTTGGACTTGTGATAGCACTGCTCCTATGCCGATGTTGCTGGCGTCTGTGTCCAGGATATACCTCCCTTGTTGTTGTGGGTAGGCTAAAATAGGACTTGAACATAAAGCCGCCTTAAGTCTTCCAAAGGCTACATCTCTAATTTTTCCATTTTCTGCTGAAGGCGTTCCTCAAGATCTTCTACGGCTTCTTGAAGTTGATTTTCCTGCCGTTTTTCCAGGTCTTCAAAATTCTTCTGTAGTCGAAATTCCTGATTTTCCAGAGTTTTCTTAAGACGGTCCTGATCTTCAAATTTTTCTTTCTGGCGACGCACTTCTAAATCTTCAACAATTTTCTCCAACCGTTCTTGTCTAATTTCTTGATTTTCAAGAATTTTCTGAAGCCGGTCCTGTTCTTCTTGTTTGTCGTGCTCTCGTTGAACTTTGAAATCTTCGAGAATTTTCTCAAGCCGGTCCTGTTCTTCTTGTTTGTCTTGTTGTCGTTGAATTTTCAAATCTTCGAAAATTTTTGTCTTGCCGGTCCTGTTCTTCTTGTTTTTCTTTCTTTTGACGCGCTTCTAAACTTTCTAACATTTTTTCTTGATTTTCCATAAGTATTTTCTGTAGACGGTCTTGTTCCTCTTCTTTCTCTCTTCACAACCTCTCTTGTTCTTCTGCCTTTTCTCTTCTCATATTCTCCATAAAATCGCCCAATAATTTGCTTACTTCCTCCATTTTCTTCGCCTGCTCCCTTGTACCAACCATAAAATACTCTAATTCGGTCTAAAATCTCTTCTAATCCACTTAATTTCTTCTTAAAACCTCTTGAATCGCACTTCCGACACCAATTGTTACGGATTCCGTGGGTCCACTATTTAAACTCACGATAAAATATTTAACGAATTTATTTGTTTCACTCTGTACACACAACTTATACTATTTACAACACAATTTATGCAACTACTTTTACTCTAACGGTATTTCGCGGTATTATCAAACTTCAGACTTCAAACTTCAAAACTTGTCCAACTGTCAAAGCGCGGGCCTTATATACCCCCTGGCGGTTGTTTCTAGATTTTTCTAAAGAATTCTATAATTTTCTTTACTTTCTGGCGAATGCGCCAGGTTCCTCAATGCCGCTGCGATTTTTTAGCAGTATGCAGTTATGCAACCAGTAATACACCTTGACAATATCATTTCGGCTAACATTAGGTAACATTATCCTGGTGTTCAGCCAAGTTTTATTATTTTCCACAAAACGCGAGCGAGTTGCTGTCCTTCCACTTTGCGGCCATTTTTAAACAAAAATATTTACTTGTCTGCTGAATGAGTTTGTTTAAATTCGTGTCTTAACCATTTATTCTACCCTTTAGTTTTCTATTATAATTATTATTGATTTATTATAATATTTTTTATATAATATATATTAATTATGTCTACTAATTAGGGTTAAGTTAGGAAGCTAAGCTTCAAAAATTAAAAAAAAGATTTTTTTTTAATTTCGCAATAAAGTCTTTATTATTATTATTATTATTATAGTTTAAAGATTATTATCAGCCAAAAATCCTGAGAGGGTTTTGGGGGGTATTTTGAAAAAGCCGTAATGAAATGTAAAAATATATATTGTTTTCGCATTTTAACAAGCAAAATTCTAGATACATAAATATATATGTATAGAACATAATTTTCATATGAAAATATTAAAACCATAAAGTACATACCTTGGATAATATTATCCATTATTTACACGATTATATTCACAAATTTACCTGTCACAAAACAACGTCAAAATATAGAAATGACAGAGCTGATATGGCGATCAGAATCTGATCCGAATATCACTTGTTTTTACAGCCTACTTATAACTAAAATATTCTGTTGCTGAAGTTTTACGTTTGCATTTCCTTCTGATGACTCAATAAGTTATCATAATAAATAAGAATATTATCAACACTGATACGTAATTTTTTTTATTTTTGTCCATTAGACAAAACACTGTGCGTCGTATCGAACTGTGCAGGGTGGGACCGTACCCACCAAATTTGGTTGCGATCGGACGACAAACTTTTTGACGTTTCTTACGTCAAAACTGACTGTCACAGTTACACGTGTCGTACACGGTCAAGTTGGCCTTGTTCCAATCTATTGATATACCAAATTTCATTTAAATCGGACGATTTTAATGATTTCGACGCTCTAAAGATCCATCTCAGCTTCCTCATTAACTTACCACTTTTTTTTCTCGCTAGCTCGTATATCAAGGCCGAGTCGTGTCAAGGCCGTGTCGTGTCACGGCTTTGAATTTTTACTCCCATCGCGCGTAAAGAAGTTTCACTTCAAAAATAAAGTCTCTATCAGCCCATGTACTCAAATAGTGCCGTTCACACTGTCATTTGGCCTACCGTTTAGACTAAACGGAGCAGCGCCCTGGAAAGTTTGGTTTTTATGGATATTAGAATAGAGTCGAATGTGATCGAATGACTGAGCGTCATGTAAGTCGATCAGTGTGAACGGGCTCTTAAAGTGTCATAATAAGCGTTGATATATAAATTTCCTGTTTTATTATTTTTTATATTTAGATTGGAGTCTGCGGAGAAGCGCTTGGAACAGAATCGATCGCATATGGCCAAAGAAGCCAAACGGGCTGCAAAAATGGAGAAGAAATTGAAAATTTTAACTGGAGGTTATCAGTCTAAGGCCCAGGTACTCATCAAACAGCTCCAAGATGCTTATGAGAATATTGATCAAGCTAATTTGGAACTGAATACTTTCAAGTTTTTGCAAGAACAAGAAAAGAATGCTTTGCCTAGAAGGGTTGAGGTAAGCTCTCTTACCCTATAAATGTACCGTGTAATTTTCCCTAATATGGCGTAAAAAGACATTGACGAATCTGTGAAAATCTAGAGTTTTAATTGAAATAAGTTGGTTGTTTTTACTCCAATAACTAAAAATCATTCTAATTTAGTCTTATTTAAAAAAGATACCATTTTTTGTTTGAGTTACGTGAAAGAACTAAACCTAGCTTGTGGACATAAGTTTGTTCTGTGTGCGATACTGTCCATAAATAGAATATTATTTTGCACTTTAAGTAGAGAATAAATTTCTGACTCTCGTTGTACTGGTGTCATTTTACACTGCATTGAGAAAAGTTTCATGAGAAGAACTATAACATCAGTCAAATTTAACTAAGAAAAATAACTAGGAATGATTTTTTAATTTTTTACTTATTTTCAGTCATTAACTGAAGACGTTGACCGACAAATGGAACGAGAAAAAGGATTACAAAAGCGGTATAACGATCTTCAGAACGAAATCAGGGAATTACAAGAGCAATACAAGTATGTGCAACAGGAAGTGTACGAGGAGCAAAGCCAACAAAACGTTGTGACAGATGAAACTGTTGAAAATCATATATCTGATGATCAAAATGTGGTTAGCAGTTCTACAGTGAATGGAATAGATGAGAGCCCTGAAGACGAGTCGAATATGAATTGACCAAATGAGAACGAAGCAGCGATAGGAAGTTAAGTTATATATAAGTCATTCGAAGTTGTTAGTTGTTCTTGTAAGTATAATAAATTGAATTTACGCCTTTATTTGTTGTATTTTCTGTTTTATAAATTAGAAAAACATCGCGGTATTTCGTCATTGTAACAGAAAATTAAGAAATAAAAATGGTTAATTTTAAATTCTTGATAGCTTCGTTCCAACGCACAAATTTGTGTCATTTTGGAATGGTAATTGGGGTCGCTTGGATCGGATTTGTAAGCATGTGTCCACTTGGACAGTTTTGTTATGATACCAAAATTAAATGCAGTTGTAACGGTTTGTGAACTGATTTTAGAATAAAATTCATAACCTAATTTTTAATTATTAATAGGTTGGAAATATATTCGATATAAATTACGAATTTTGGATTTTATTGGACGTAAATTGCGAAATTACCTTTGGTTCATTTCACAAAAGTTTTAAATCATCTTCAGTGATATACAGAGTCAGTATCACTATCATATATGTACGTTACTCACCATATTTAGTACAAAAATATACAAATTTTTAAAAGAAAATTTGAGGAATCGGAAATTAAAAACAGAAATAGCCAAAAATAATAAAAAAAAACATCAACTGACACAATACTTAATAGGCAGGTCAGTTCTTTTGATTCTTCCTTTTAGGCTGATATCGAAATCACCATTCCAGAACCAATTCTAACTAAAAAATTAACGATAAACTAACGATTACAACTCTGTTGTAATTGTTAGTGAATTGTTGTAAACCCCCCTCTTGTTGTAAACTTTTTGGCACACACTATATATTTGTGAAAATAATAAAGAAAATTTACAAAATAATATAGCAATTTATTTAAAAAGGAATATAATTAATAAATGGGTAAATGTAAAAAAATTGATAAAACACTTTCTAAAAAATATCAAGATGTAAATCAATAGAATTAATTAACGAAAAAGACACATAAATTACAATTGATGACTAAAAAATTTATTAATTGATAAAACACTTTCATCTAAAGAAATATCAAGATATAAATAAATAAAATTCGCTAATGAAAAAGATGACATAAAATTACAGATACCTACTTACTAAAAAAATATAGAAATTGATAAATCACTTTCATGAAAAAAAATCAATATATGTATATATCAATAAAATTAGTTGATTGAAAAAGGCGACAAAAATTACAATTATTGACTAAAAAATATCACATCAGAGAACATATTCTTCTAATTCACCCCAACTCTTTCCAACCTTAACTTTGACTGGAAAGTGTCCAAAATTGATTGTGGAATGTTCCATCCCATTTTTAACAATTTCAACTACCTTTCTGGTATATTTCTCAGGTACTTCATAAATCAGTTCGTCGTGTAAGTGAAGCGTTAATGCAGGTCTAGATTTCGATTTTTTAAATAAAAAGTCTAATTTGTCTTCGATAGTAACCATTGCGTTCTTTACTAGATCAGCGGCAGATCCTTGAACTTTTGTATTTACAGCCTGTCGTTCAGCCTGACCTGTCATGTGTAGATTAAACATTAACATACTTTTACATAAATTAAATATACCGACCTGGTCATTTTAGAAGTGTGGTCTGGATTTTAACGTGTAAGACGGAGAATAATATAAATGACCGGTTGACAGACAGAGAGACAAAATAAAAAGCGGCATACAGTGTTGCCGGTTTTTACGTTTGTAGGAAAATGTGTGTAGAAGAAAATACATTATTTTAAAAACTTTCATGTATACTACTGAAATGAAGATAATATCTCTAAGCTAAATATAATCCATTACAGCTGTAGTAAAATGAATAACTAATTGTGAAAAATAAAGTTCCAACCCTAGATGCAAAATTTTTCGGAAACGCCGACTTGTGCGGTTTGAAATTTTGATGTGAAATCCGGCAATAGCGCGTAGAAGAAATGTATCAACCCAATTTTTTCTCTTTTTAATACATTTGATTTGTCACTAAGCTGCCTACATCACTGTCTTACACGTTAAAATCCAGACCACACTTCTAAAATGACCAGGTCGGCATGTAAAGTCTTTACATCTATCGTTCAACGTTACGTCATCATTGTTTATCTAATATCCGTTTTAGGTTATGCCGAAATTAACAAACAAACGTGTTCCGATTTTATTAATTTTAAGTAGGCATGTATGGCCTTTATTCATTGTGGTTGCGTTTGAATTTATAATTTTAGACGCGTATATCAGTTTTAGTAACAGATTTAAATTTCGATTGACAGCACAATTCATTTTTAATTTTAACACTGATCGATATCCATCAATAGGACCATAATCCATAATCTCAGAAGTGACATGACAGTTACCAGAAACAATGAGCAGTAATTTACGAAATACCGTAATAATGACCACAATCTCTTTCATTCCGTTTTAACGTGAAAGAGATAGAATGATAATTAATATATTAAGGGCTAGCAAAGGTTAGTCTTGGGTCGAAATTTCCGTAATTAAGAAGAGTACAATGCGTTTATAATGTACCGAACAAAGAGAGAACAGTAAACACGTTGCCAAACGCATGAAATAAACCGAGAAACTGTGCACATTGCTAAGAGACGTGGAAGGGGATATAGCAGGTTGTGTCGCAGTCGACTGGTCGACCCAATCAGTACCTCTGTCAGTACTTAAAGTTCTAGGGAATGGTGTACATCATGCGTTCAGCTTCACGATTTAATTACAGCTCGTGATACTTTATTTGTTTATTTATTACCGAGTCGTTGTAATTTGCCCTATAGCTTGAAAATTTTTAAGTGCAAGTTAGAAACACTTGCATTTTTGGTAAAAACAAGTGGGATTGAGTTGGTGTTAGACAGTCGCGCTATTAGAACTCTGAATTGAAAAATCGATATCGCGAAATCTATTAGAAATAACTGATTGTAGTTTTCCAAAAATTTTCTTAATATTTCTGCTATATTTTCTTCGTAGACAGTATGTGAAAATCTTTATAAATCAAAAAGTTAAACGATTCCTGAAAATTGCTATACACTAATGCTATGCAAGTAAATGGATGGGTTGTTTAAAATTTTTGAATGGAGAAAAACAACCTTATCGATTTTTTCTTATTTAAGCATATTGTAAAAGATCCGATATTCAAAATAAAAAAAATATGGCGTGTTATGTGTCAAAAAGTTGAGTTTTTAAATTATCGCGATTATTGACGTTTTCTCGTTATAAAAAAATGGACACCCTAACGATATTCTTATAATTCCATTTCAGATGTTCAGAAACATCTAATGATTTTATCTAGTTATCTTTTCGAAGAAAAAGTTTTTTAAAAATAAGCGGTTTGCGATCGTGATTTTACTTTACTTGATAGGGAAAGGCGTACCGGCAACGATACCAGACACCACGCATACCGTCGCATTTCTCTTACTCCGACTTAATAAGATCCCTATGCGATTTACTTCCACACATGTAAATACCGACCCAAACGGTATAATGGAACGTTGAATGATGGTTGTATAGTGTATAGACTATATAGTCTATCCAGCGAAAGAACATACTAAAATAGTGACAGATGCCATTTTGATGCTTTAATTCCTAGAAGTTTTAGAACACATTTGTCAATTGCAATACCTGGCAGAGGCCTAGAAACATATCATAACCTTATTGCTGTTTAGTTGCACTAATTTTCCTTAAATATGTTACTTTATTACAAAAAAGATGACATTCGTAACTGAGCACAGAAAAAATAAATAACAGAAGTATAGCAGTCAAAACAAAAATATATTATTGCACCTCGCTTTAATATTGTTCTTTCTACGCATGCGCCGGTAAAATATCTTATATGGATTCTTATTACAAACTGAGGACTAGTAGCGACTTGTGACACACACTGCCTGAATAGAACCCAAATAATAAAACCATTATTTTTGAATTGTTCTGTCGAAATCAAAGTCATATTCTCTCGCTGGATATAGTTAACTTACTTTTCATAGCCGAATCCTTATGATTAATATGAGGGAGGTATCTTCTTCTGCCAATGATAGTTTCTACGTAACCATGCTTTCTACAAGAATCTATCGTTTGTTTAATAAAATGTTTAATGCCAATATAAGTGTCTTTGAAACGTTCCATAAAATGAAAGGCCTCCTCTTCAGAAATATCTAGCTGGCCGGATAAAGACTTGGCGCCCATGCCGTAAATTATGGCGTAGCATAACTGTTTTGTTTGCTGTCTCAGATTATCGGTTACCTAAAATGTTTAAAAAATGTTGAAATTACTATACTCTGTTTTTAAATGCGTTAGAACATCACATAAAAATAGATACAACATGTAGTGTTGTAAAATACTCTAAAATTAATTTGAAAGAACGTCGCGTCGCCCGAGAACGAACGAGAATAATGGAGCAAAAACGTTGAAAATGTATAATTAGCGCGAAAAAATAGGTTGGAAAATCAAGTTTAATTTATTACAAATTTTCTTGTTTTTTTCTTATTATTTTAGAGAAAACTGCGAATTTTGAGAACACTTAGAACAAAAAAAACTGAGAACAAACAGATACTAGGTATTCAGAACACGTTGACCTTTCTGGGCATATTTATATTGCAGACAATCTATATCATCGCAACATACTGTAATTTGCAAATTAAAACGACCCAAGTAGCTACTGAATTAGCTACATGATTAAAATAGGCTGTTTTACATGCACGCCGACAATCCGTCCGTTGTGTACCAAAAGCAAATTACCAGCATTGTAGAGAAGAGAAAGATGCGAAAGAACATCAAAACTGGAGGCAAGACGCATAATGATAAATGAATGACAAAAGGAGTGGAATCAAGATAGATATAGTAGATGGACATATGATGTTATACCAGACATTAATACCTGGTTAGACAGAAGTTCTGGGGAGACATATTATTTTCTCAGGCATTGACAGGGCACGGATGCTTTAACAGTAATTTGTATAAAAGGGAGATATCCAACTCAAACTTGTGCATGTATTGCGAAGAAGTTGATAGTGAGGAACACACACTATTCCTCCGGAATAAATGGAAGCAGTTTAGTCATTCCAACGGGACAGTGACAGACTAATGCCAAAAATATGATGCATAGATGCATTCGAGAAATAATACAAACCAAAGAAAATAGAATGCGGCGCCATACCGCATAGACAGCCTTCCAGCTGAAGTAATGCGCAAGCGGTTTCCAGCTGGATAGAGCGTTGGAATGCGAGGAGTGTTTTTTTAGTCGTTAGGAATCCGACACTACCCAGTGACAGGGTGTCTTATGCAAGATTTTTTCCTCCTCAAAAAAAATACCAGCAAAAGGTTTTATATTATATGTAAAAAGTACTACGTCGGGTCTTGGAAATAAATAGGAATACAGCGCTGATTGTCAGGCCGGATGATACATTTCATGTGAAACATAACTATATGTTAAATTTGACAGATGTCCGAGAGAAACTGATGTTTTATTATGCCATTTTTAATATAATTAAAAGCAAATTAAACAACACCAACATTAAATTTCACCTAAATAGACAAATTAAATGTTACCTCTTCCTCTGAAATATTATTCCACTGAGCAGCAATTGATTTAAAAATATCTCCCGGTTCGTTCATCACATTCATCAATAATTCATCTTTGGATAAATAAGTTAAAATTCTCAATTCCAACTGGCAATAATCAGCAGAAATTAAAACGCATCCTTCAGGTGCATTAAATGCCCCACGACAACTAATTATTGTTTTCTCTTGGGTTATTGGATTTTCAACAGTAAAATCTTTATTAACCATCTGAATGTTTGGTTCGTGCATAGTTATTCGACCTGTTGCCGTATGACTTATATAGTTGCCGTGAATTTTATCATCGTGACAGTAGTAGATCAGTATGTTAACCATTTTCGTAATAGTTAAATTGATTTTTCTCCATTGTAGAACTAGGTCCGCTATGGGATGTTCGCTTTGTTCCAGCACTCGTCTTTTCGTGCTCATTTTTTTCCCTCTATACAAACCTAAATGAAAGTACTGAACAGTTTACGTTGATATTTTGCAAGGAATAAAAAGACTAATGAAGGAGTCAAATTAGTATCTTTATGTTTATACATTAAATAGGAACGGATAACATGATGGTATTTTGAAACACCTGTTTTCTTTGACTTTTCTGCGTGTATCCTGAGAGAGAGAGAGAGAAAGAGAGAGAAAGAGAGAGAGAGAGAATCAAAAGCGGCAGACGCTTAATTTCTTCTTAAAATGTAAACATCCTCTTGAATCCCACTTCTGAAACCAGTTGTTAAGGATTTCGTGGGTCCTCTATTCAAAACACATGATAAAACACTTAACTAATTTATTTTCTAATTACACACAATGCTATAAAACATAACCATTATAGTACTCTATTAAAAACTGACAGACTGCCAAGCGCGGGGGGCGCTTTATATACAATAACGGATGATTCGCGAAATTTCCATTCTAGAACTCCGCGGAAGAGAGATAACATCACGTATCGGTTTTTTTACAGCGCTTTCAGATGGAGCGGAGCGTCCACGCGGATCGTCCGCGCTGTTTTTGTGCTGCTTGTTTTTTCAAGATAGCCGTCAGACGAAATCATCCGGACGGAGCATACGCGACCCATTTGAAATTGTTCATTTAATATATTCGCTCATGGAACTAGCGGTCGGTCTGCTCCATCTGAAAGCACTGTTAGTCGCAGAAAAGCTCATGAAAGAAAACGCCTTGCGTAACCATCTTCTGATGCGTGTCAAATACTCGTCAGCGAGTAATGGCAGTAAGTGAAGTAATCCTCCATTAGTCTTTTTATTCAATGATATTTAGAATATATTCTTACCAACGGCTTTCGCCACCTCAACAGACGATGTAAAACTGAATCGTCTACCGGCCAATGAGAACGCTTTATTTTCTAAATCTTTCTGCTGATTTTTTAATAAATCCGCCACGTTCTGCAAAGAGGTTTTGCTAGCTGTCATTCCGGAAAGTTCCATGTTTGCTATACATGGAACTATTCTCATTTCTAATTCTGAAATTGGAAAAGGTGGTAAATTAAATTCAGAGAAACGAAAACAGGAAAAATCCAGTGGTTCTCAAAATGTAAGCAAAGTTATATATTATTTTCAATTTTCAATTTTATTTTCGACTTATTGAAAAAACGGTAAAGAGAAAATATTTTTCTTTTGTCGAGATCTTCCAATTCTGAAAATATGCATTTTTATTCAAGACTCCCTCCAAATCTAAAAAGTTGACTCGTCATCACAAACTTTTTAGATTTGGCATCACTGTGCAAAACGGCGGTCAAAGCCGACTAAATTAAATCACGCCTTCCATCCTTAAGCCTAGTTCTAGTTCATGCACTTGCGAAATGCGTTCTGTTTGCCTTGTAATCGGTCCCTTTCAAGGTCTCCTTGAAGGCAACCAATCGGAACGAAAAGAGTGCGCATTTCGCAATTCGTAAATCGCAATTCGCAAGTGCATGAACTAGGCTTTATGCTATCTCTTCTTACACATTGGCCTTTCAGTCATTGCGGCCTGCAGAGTACGTGGAAGCTGCAACTTTTACATCCCATTAGGGTACGCACACAAAGAAAGCTGGTTAACCAGCGCTTATATCCATAGAAAACAATCGCCGAAAACCACAATATGCGCACCCAGCGCAGGCAACAAGCGACCAAGAAATAGTCTCCGTCCCCTTAGAAACAATATAATATAAATCAATCAGCCTCGCGTCAGGGTACGGACGGATATAATGAAATGATATGTAAAAAAAGACTATGATTTTGTATGGGGTAGGCAACCGTTTTCTGCCTACATTATATGCGCGACACTGCATTATACATAAAATGCGGTGATGTGGAATTTTCCAAGTTGTATTTAAGTTAAGAATTACTTTCATAATATGTTGACGTAGCAACATAGTGCGTCAAAAAAGGCTGATACCCAACTGATGTCGGTTAGGCGCGGAGCGGCGCCGGCGCGGCGTTTCTTAAAATCATTAATCATTTTTTTAACTTGGAAACTTAAAAAACTCGGATGATCGAAAAATAAACGGTTAACTTTGAAATATCGATCTATGATATTTCTAATATAATATTATTTATAAAATGACAGCGATCGTAATTTCTGGGACAACTCTGAGGGAGATACCGTTTGTTATCATATTATTCTTCACACACCTTGTATAGAATGTACTTATATATAATGTTGACTACATACCATAGGTTGAAGGAAAAGATGAATGAACTGAGGAGTTAAATGATGGTATTAGTCTAGAGAGTCTTTCCTTGGCATATTGAACTAAGTACCATGTTAATGTCGCTTCTACCGAAACTCTCGTTTTTGGTACTGCACAATCATCAGTTGGACAATATAAATTACCCAACTCACTTGGGTTATCTGTCATTTGTAAGATTTTCAGCAAGGCTCCATTATAAGAATGCACCTAAAATGATATATGCTTCTTTAACAATTTGCCTCAACATTTACTTGCCACAAACCATAGTTTCAAGACTTTTTTCCTTTCCGTCAGGGTCTAGAAGCCAGTCTGCTATTTTTGGATCTTCAATTTTACAACATAATCTTATCTTATAGCAAATATTTAATAACTTAATTTGTTCTTTGCTATTAAACATTTTTACATTAATATCTTTTTGCGAAAAAATATGTTTCAGTAATTTCTTAATTTTATGACAAGTTTCATTGTTATCCATGGCCAGATAATAAGCTTTGGTACCACCCCAATAAAATGATATACCGACAGTTTTTGTAGCATTTTTTAAAGGATTTACATGGGTAGTATTCACAGTGGATATTATATTTGCACCAATTATTATTCTCTCAGATATTTTACGGCAAATCATAGAAAGAGAGAATTCTTTTTGTAGTTGAAGATCTTTACAAAATTCAGATAACAAGTTGTCGTTATCAGTAACAGATAAAATATTAACTTTCGATACGCTAGGTACTTGCTCAATAATATCTTTAAAATTCACTAAAGAAATCTTGTTCCCAGGGGTACTTAGCTTATCTAGGATTAATGATTTCTTTGGAGGTGTAGCATCTAATAATGAGTCATCTGAATTCAAGAATGAATCATCTATATTATTATTCTCAACAGTATTTTCTTGTTTTTTAAATTTTGTTTCAGTAAAACTTTGTTTAATATGACGTTCTTCATTTTCATCAAAAACGTGAAAGAAATCATCCAGTGGTTTATTGAAAGACTCGTCAGTTAGCTGAAGAGAAAAACTGCATTCAGGACTATCAGATCTATTACCAGAAACTTGATCTGTTTTAAAAATGGAGGAGTTTGAAATATTCATTTCAAATGATGAATTAAATTCCAAAAAATCCATTTTTGCTTCACTGGATTCAATCCCCAATATCTCATTATCACTTATTTTGTGCTGGGTTAAGTTTTTCTCAATTTGTGTAAAATTAACGCCCAACAAAGTATCTGTTATGTTTTCTTGGCTAAAATTAAATGTTTTATTGTTGTTCCTTATACATTCCTCTGTTGTATTTTCTTGGGAATGGTGAGTTTCTATATCAATATTACTATTTTTTTTATCAATTTCATTAAGCGATTCATTTAAGGTACTGAAATTAAATGATGAGATATTGAAAGAATCATCAGGAATATCTGAAGTTTCCATCTTGTTCATGTGTTCAACATCGCTGATATTATGTTCATCTGCAGAACATAGAAACTTAGAATTTTCTACATTATTCATCTTTTCTTCTTCTTGGTTTTCTACATAATTCATCTTATTGTCGAAAGTAATTTTAACATTTGCTGTAGAGGATTCAACATCCATATCATTTTTTGTAGAAACACAAAGTTGCGATATTTGTTCTATGTTATTATCAGTATCATTCTGAGTTTTCCATTTAGCTTCTTTTAGCCCCATTTCCATTTGTAAGTACTCTCTAGCTCCTTGTATTAATAATTTTGCAGCCTCCATTTCAGTAAGACCTTCTTTTCCTGATATCCACACATTTCTTAATTTATTCCGTTTTTTATTGTCATAATTGGACTCTCCATCCCTTATTTTAGAACTCTCAAATGGTTCAGCTTTGAAGAAAATATTTTCAATAATCTGCTCTTCAGCATTTGCCAAATCTATAAGCGTTTGAATACCTCCATTATATAATATTCTTGCAATCTTACCATTAAGATAATGAAGCTTCATTAAGTCAAGCAAGTCGCGATTCACGCCAAACTGCATCCTATCTTGAAATTGAGAAACTAGCAATTCAATGGTGGACCATCCAAGTTTGCGACTAAATGCTGTTACCATTCCTGCAAAAGTGGCAGCTGACTGTTGTAAGGATTGTAACATACCCCTGTTACAATTATATTTACTACATACTTCATTGAGAGGTATTTCATTGACAAGATCTTGTAAAACCAACGCGACAAAAAATCGTTTGTGTACCATTAATTCGTGAAATGATTTTGAGCTTCCACTGTCTACTTTTCCTCTTGTAGCATTCACAATATAAGATTCTTTTACACCGACAAGTTCTCCAACTTTTTTCATTGCTGGAAGTAACTTATCCCATAGATCTAAATAAAACATCCAGTCTATTTTATCCCATGAATTACATGCACTGTATGGTGTCACAAGATATATTAAATGGAGTTCTGATTCAAGTACAAAGCACTGCCTAGCCTTTTCTAATTCTGTAAATAGAGCTAGTCCTTCATCTGGGGCAATTGATGAAGATAAACATGCCTTTCCTAATGATGTAGCCGTGTATTTTCCTGTCCCATCTTCAGAATTGTACATCTTAATAAATTCATTCCTTATCAAAAATTCTACTGCTTCATGTATTGGATTATCCAGGTTCTCTTTTTTTGATTCAGTAATTGAGAGAAGAGTACAATCAGTGAAAAGTTTAATATCATATGGAGAAGTTGCCACCCCACTTGATATAACTTCTAAAATTGCTCTTTTTAGTTTTCCTCCACCTTCCAAACAACTCTGCACAGCTGAAATTTTCCCAGACACTAACGTTGTTGCTACATTAAACTCGTTTTTTTGACAAATTAGGAAACTTTCACCTATAGTGTCTTTGCCCATTCTTCCAGCTCTCCCTATCATTTGTTGATAAACTAAGGAATCCATAGGCTTACCAAAGAATTTAGGACTTCTTATTAATACCCTTCTAGCAGGTAAATTTACTCCTGATGACAAAGTGGATGTAGCTATAAGAATTCTTACTGCCCCATTCCTAAATGCGCTTTCAATTATGTCTCTTTCATCTAAAGTTAGACCTGCATGGTGAAATGCAATACCAAATGAAATTGTCTGGTATAAAATTTCATCTAACCCAACAGGGCAGTATTTCAATTGTTCTAAAACTTCAAGGATAAGATCTTTATTCATTTGTGATCTCAAAATTTCTCCATAGCTATTTTCCATATTACCAATTTTATAAAATGCTAATGCTAATTGTTGTGCCAGTTTTTCACACCAGTTTTTACTAGGACAAAAGATTAATACTGAGGAATTACATTTAACAGTTTCTAAGCATAACTGGATAATATGGTCACCATCGTTTTCTAACTCTGGTAGTTGACTACATTTTCGAATTAGTTTTAGGTTTTTATCATAAATATCTCCACAGACAATAATTTGCTCATGCAAGGGTACTGGTCTGAAAGATGTAGTAAACAAATCTGCATTTAACCATTCGGCTAGATCACTTAGATTTGGAAGTGTCGCTGACATACCCACAAGTTGAATTTTAATATTCTCATTTTTTAAGCAAATATATCTTAATTTTGTAAGTAATAATTCTAGGAGATATCCCCTGCTAGGGTCTCCCAGTAGATGCATTTCATCAACTATTACTGCACCAATTTCTGAAATTGTATTTTCCTCTAAAAACTTATTTATAAGATTATTAGCCTTTTCAATTGTACAAATGGCCATATGAATTGAGTTAATACCTCCTGGTGGATTATAAGAACCCATAAATCCATCTGCTCTTAAACCACTACTTCCTAAAAGATCTTTAAAATAATACATTTTTTCACGAACAATTGAAACAAATGGTAATATAAAAATTACCTTTTTATTTCTTTCAAAAATTGTTTTTAATCCTAGTATTTCTGCCACCAGAGTTTTGCCAGCAGATGTTGGAGCTGAATAAATTAAGTTTTTCATCTCACTCATAACTTTATTATTATATAAACATTCAACCTGCCATTTAAACATTCTCTCAATACTTCTAGATTTATATTTTTCAAGAATGGCTTCAGGCAAACCCCAAAATGATAAATTGTATATATTTTCGGGAAGTTTTAATAGGGCACTTGTTGGTGAGCATTTGTTAATTGTTTTAATATTTTCTTTATCCTCATTCTTATCTGTATTTGATATTATAAAAGCAGTTTCTTTATGGACCTGCTTATGACTATTTTCAATTTGGTGAGAGCTGCTTAACTTTGATTGTAAATTATTAGACTTACATCTTAGAACTAAGCAATCTAGAATTTTATCATCCTTTTTGTAACATTTATTCGTTAGAACAGTACTTTTACTATCGCTAATTTTCTGCTTTTTGTTTCTCTGTTTATTCCCGTTTTGGGAATTACCATCCCCATTATTTGCTTTAGTTACAATTACCTTTTTATCTTCCAAGCTTAATTCACCAAATGAAACATTGTCAAATGTATCATTCATACATAGCTTTGATTCGTTCATGTTTCGTGTTTCGTTCTACTTTATAGTTTTTAGAACTGATATTTTTGTTTCTTAATTATGTATGTATTTATTTTTTTCTTTCCCATGGTTAATAATATAAGAACCATAAAGTATTTTATGAGATTTGGACTATTTTCATTTATCGTTGCTTCTTTAAAATTTGAAATTTTAAAAATAATGAGAAGTTAGCAAGATATTCTTCTTTTTTTTAGATTTTTTTATTTGTTAGCTGTTTAATGGCTACAGCTGCTAGGGTTATCCAACCATTATGAGATACAAACCATATATAAATTGTGTGTTTATATATGATCTTTCCTTTTTCCAGAATAAAGCCCTCATGTACTTGAAAATCATAAATCAAGAAAAGGGAATAACTTTTTAAATTAAATTTCGGTAATGGTGTGGATCCGGTGGCTGACCTTGAAACGAGTTTTTGCTGCATATAGTCACAGACACTACGCATGTGCACATCTTCGATGTTGCCAGATTGCAAGTTATTTTGGAATTATTTTCAGTAGAAAACAAATATGTATGTGCTTTTCAGTGTTTTTTGTCAACATATACCGTATGATCGAAAAAACGGCATCCAGTTGGCTGGGAAATGACGATTGTGGACATTTCCCATATAAAATAACAGCTATCTTCATTTCATAGTCATTGCTGAAGCTATTTTTTTTCAATCATAGTACGCGGTATATTATTAAATATAATAGTCAATAAACAACATACATAGTCAATAAAATTAAATAGAAATAAAACTCTAGATTCCCATAATTAATCTAATTGCTCTAAATTATTATGCTACGTTTAAAAAGTGTTTTATTAAAAATTCGGGAAATTAAAAGGTACGTGTCCAAGTTTTTTTTTTAATTTTACATCAAAATATTTTTTAACATTCCATCAAACTACGGAGGCCTTAAAAGGCCTTTTAGCCTCCGTAATTAAAATTGTAGAATCAGCTTCAGCAACATTAACAGTTACCTTGTTTAATTCTGCTTATACATATATTGCATTAATTTTTCTGCTACCTTAAGATTTCTCTATTCTTACCTTCTTCTTTTGTGATTTTCTTAGCATATATGATTTATAAACCATATTTTTCCTAATGGAAGGATATGGAATAGGATATGCAAAATTAAGATATTTTAACAATTATTTTCCAGATAAAAGCATAATAGTCTAAGTAGTATTAAGATTAAGACATAATAAATATTATAAGAAAGATCTTAATATAAATCACAAACTAACTAAGTCTTAATTTGGTCTTGTATAAACATAGGTATAAAACTAATAAGATCAAAACTCAACCTTCACCATATTGTCAAGACATGGCATTATAGGAAACAAGAAATTACAGTAAATTAAGAAAAGAATATCAAAGTACACGATATTAAATACTGTAATGTATTCTACGACACAAACCAACTCCCTTCTAAAGAGAAAAAGATAAAACATAAAGCTTATTCAGCTTATTTTAGTCTTATCAACACACTCTTCGATAAAATATCTGTCTAAAATTGCTATTAATCCACTAACTTGATATTTTTAAGAAATTATGAGATATTAGTAACATTATAGGTAAAATGTTACCTCTATCTCATTGGTGTGTATATTGTTCTATAAGACTCGTCATGGTAGTACTTCAATACATCAATACATATAATCAAAACTATTGTTGCCTGTAAATAACTAGAAATTAAATAACTTGAAAGAAATAAAATAATTCTAATAAGTTTAAAACCATTAAGAAAAAATCCGTAAATGATAATTTTTAATTCTAATGTAAATATATATAATAAATGTTATCATTATTACAATTTTATATATTCATAATACTTTCATTTCACAATCTTCATTATCCTTCTTACCTTAATTTTGAATATCACGATAAATCTGAAATTATAAAATTAATTATAGAATTTGTATTATTATTGATTAACACTCAAAAAAAAAATTTAACTGCAAATAATTCGAAAATAAACTGCAATTTGGCAACATCGACGATGTGCGCTTGCGTAGTATCGATGATCAAATGCAGCAAATATGGGCTTCAAGGTCAGCCACCGGATCCACACCTTTACCTAAATTTCATACTCTGATTTCATATCTTGTTCCGTAGTCTTGTTCATATCAACAGCTCTGTTATCTACTGGTTATCTTGTTATCTATCGTGGTTATCTATGATATCAATCTGTCATCTGTCTAAACGACCGTCAAAATATTTAATTTTCTATAGATCTATTTAATAGTTAAAAGCTGTGAAAGGATATTATGGCTTTATTATTAAGGTATGGAAAGGACGAATAAAATTCCACTTTTGTATTAACCGCAAAATTAATTCGGAATTGGCAAAATTATAGTTTTCGATTATATAATATATTTTAGGTTAACTGGCAACCAATTATTAAGACATCAAAGCAAAACATTATGTAAATTTGTGCGACCCGTAACTCTAAAACCTTCTCAGTATGTTCCTCCAGTGCAAATGGGTCATGACGAACGAAATATGAAACTGGGGCGACCCCAATCTCCCCATTTGACAATATATAAGCCCCAACTAACAGCGATGCTCTCAATATCTCATAGAGCAACAGGTTTACTTTATTGAAGCAATTTCATATGATAATGAGTTTTACTGGCAATTCCTTTAGGTATTGTTTTGGCTGGTTATGCTGTAATGTTCAGCTTAGCTGCAGTTTGGTTGGAGTGCCCTATAGAGTATTATATTGAACAAATTAGATGTGCCGAACTAGGACCAGCTTGCATATTTGGAATAAAATTCACTCTTGCTTTTCCATTGCTGTATCATTTCTGGAATGGCATTCGCCACTTATTGTGGGACACAGGACGATTTCTTACCATTAAGGAAGTTTATTTGACTGGATGGACTATGCTAGCCGTGACTATTGCATCTGCAATAGTCTTGTCTGGATACTAAATGTTGGTATTTTTTTTTCAAAATTATTGTTATTTATTTTACAGTTATGTAATTTAATTTTAATATTTAAAATTGTATAAATTCGAAAATCTATAATAAAAGCCATTAATTTATTATAGGTGTGTTATTTCTTACTGGCTAGGAATTATTTTGGATTTTTCTTAGATAATTTGGTTTAAAAATGGAATCAATTCATTAAATTGTTATTGATAAAAAAACAATAATTTATATCTTCTGTATTAGGGATTTAAAAAAAATTAAATGTATCGTGACAACTACGACAACGTCAAAGGCGGAAAATGCTATCAGGCAAGCTTTTAGATATTTGCAAATTTTTTTTTTTAAATGCCTATGGTTATAAAAAATTCCATTATCAAAAAAAAAGAAAAATATATTCAGAGATTCAGTGGTAACAGTTTAAAAACAAACTATTTTAGTACTAAATAAAATTTTAATATGCCTATGAATCTTTTAGGAAATACAATTTTGATATTTTTATTATCAATCGCGGCCTACTAGGTAGTAAGAAAATGATTTCTTTTAAATATTGCGGTAAATAATGAAAACACATATAGATAGAGTGTTATATATTTTTTAGAAGCATAGCAAGCCAGATCCTATGATCTATAAATATACACAATATGCAGTGTGTTCTATTTGAAAAAACATAACTTTAGTTCATATCTTCAAAAATAACATTTTCGTAGAAAATCAGACTACGCCACTGTATTCTACGTAAAATTGGTAAAATGTTCTACAAGAATCAGTTTTTACCTTCTCGATGTCTTTCACAATAACGGAGATACGGGGATATAAAATAAAATAAAAATATTAAATAAAACTGTTGTTTTTTGATACAAAATACAGGATCTTCCATTTGAAAATTTTTAGCTGGTTGAATTTTGAAAAAGATGCTATTTACACGGTACTTCCGGTTAAAAAGTATCAAAAATTTTATATTTCAGAATTTTGAGAGCTGAGAGAGCATTTTAATGGTCATTGGTATTTTAAAAACCATTCACTATATGGCACGGTATTTTTGGAAAGCAAATTTCACGAAAAATACATGGAGCTAAAAACTGTAGCATATTAATAAATATACCTACAACTTAATTTTGAAAATATGTTTGAGTCGTATTCGGATGTATATTGATAAAAATATTTAAAAAAAGATTTTTAAAAGTTTGGGGGGAACATTTCATACCACAGATAACATAGTACAACATGATCGAAAAAAAACGGCGTCAGCGATGGCTATGAATTGATCGAAGATCGCTGTAATTTTATATGTAAAATTTTATGGCGAATGTCATCGATCGTCATTTCTAAAGGCGGCTACAGACGTTCATGCATACTTGACAAGTGTACTTGTGCAAGCGTACTTGTACAAGTTTGCATTGACTCCACACAATACAAGCACACTTGAATAGTTTTAGTCTGGTTTTAGTAGGTAAAAATGGACGAAGAAAACGCGCTAGCTCTTGCGATGTTCGTTATTCTGCTTAAACAAAAAGAAAAAAACCCGTCGATTTTGGTGCAAAAACTCTGCCTTATAAAAAGGAATATTTATTCGCATACTAATATTTTAAACGAATCGAAGTTTTACCCTGCTAAATATTTGTTCTTAAACTGTTTATTTTTTTACAATCGAATCGCAGTTTGCAGTTTTATTAATTTCTTGCAATTTTGTAATTAAACTTTTATATGCAGCCCGGCCCTCTTTTGTTTTTATTATGATAGTCCTTTGATTTTACTTGCCATAAACAAAGAGATTCTCTATAAATACTAATGAACTCCACAAATACCTCGCGCATACTTTTTTCATGTTCACTAGCCATTTTTATCTATCTTCTGGTAAAAAACAAATAAGAAACAAGCAATAAACCTACTACAGTACGTCTGTCCGTTCTGTAGCTACGGGGTGTCCGGAGAGGGGAAACAATTCTCTCCATGTTTTTCGTAAAAAATTAGACGACGCGTCCCATCAATAAAAATTCGACAAATTTGCAAGTAGCCAATAAAATGAGTGGGCGGAGCGATTTGCGGTGACGTACTCGTCAAGTCGACGTATAAAATATATTGTTGTTTATTTAAATGTTTTTTGTCCGCATTCCTTTCATAGACACAGATCCAGCAGACGTACTGTAGAATCAACTTCAGGCTTGTGCAAGTTTGATACACACGTTCATGCATACTTGTGCGAGTCACTGGGGCATGAAGAAAATCGTACAAGTCTATGCCACTTGCACAAGTCGAATTATTTGTACAAGTTTGTTCCTACACACGTTCAATATTCTTATACAAGTACGTTTGCACAAGTACACTTGTCAAGTATGCATGAACGTCTGTAGCCGCCTTAAGCCGTTTTTTTTTCGATCATACGGCACTATTTTTTATTGTTAATCTAAGGGTACTATGATATCTGTGCTCACACAGAAAACCTGCATGGTAAAGCTTTTGTCAGAATGCTGGGCCACTCTGTATATAACTGTTGCGAACTCTTTTCGTCGAAATATGTAAATTACGTGCGCAAACCATAAGAGAAGTCTTCTTCGTCGCAAATAGGAAAGCATTATCAAAGGCAATATAAAGGGGATTGGGGGTAAACGCCCCTCCTAATGGTCTTTCGATGGATGGAATTGGGAGATTGCCGTCCTAATTGGGAAAGAAAAGAGAGAGCTTTAAAGTTGCTTTTGCAGATGTGAAAGAAACACAAAAAATATTTATTTCAAAATAAATCGTTAATCATTATGTATTTTATTCTATTCATATCGACTATTTGAAATAAATGTACAGGGTGGGTCAAATTCGACGCTTTTAAATGGAAACACCCATAGGAAACACCCTTTTCTATAGGAGATAGACGAAAACTAATATCGGTGTCTGGAGCTTAATTTTCATCAAAACTATGATGGTGAAAACCGCATATCGATATCTGTTACCGTTTCGGAGTTACGGGGTCTTTTTCAAAAATATGCATTTTTAACAAATCCCTGTAACTTTTTTGTTATGGAAAATTTTGTATTTTTATGAAAACATTTCCAAAGCACCTTTTTACGTAGAATTTAATGGTTTCAGTATAATTTTTTTAAAATTAATAATTTAAGAATTATCAACAGAAAATTTGATTTTTTATATGGGACACCCTGTAAATTTTTAATTTATTGAAAAGAATTTAAAATTGCCTTTCCAAAAATATAACACACTTGATATTTTGCTCGATTCCTCTTCGAGAAATAGAGTATATAAAAATTCGCTCGCTTTAAATAAGTAGGCTTTGAAGGGCACCGGCTGTAATGCAAAAAAATTCTAGCTGTGAGCATCAATTAAAACGAAATAATATTTGTTATAAGAGATGCAGAATTTTGTAACAATTTAAAATATATTTACCCAACATCAACACATTTAAACTATATCTAATAACAATAAAAATAAACAGCAAACCAAGACATGAGATTTTGCTACGGTGTTCAACATATCAACCGTCTTCTGTTATGGACAGACGGGGCAATTTTTGAACATTTCTCGCGGAATTCATTAACTCTGTGGGCGTGAAAGAAACTCTCTCATAACTGCTAAGTATTTCTAATTCTTGTCTAGATTATAGGGAAGAATAAGGAACCTTTATTATTCCGCAAATATATCCATAGGATTAGATCCATGGGTACTAAGTCAGGCGGCCTCGACGGCCAACGGCTGGGATCTTGGTTATAGTTATTCGATTATTCTTGAAATACAGGAATTTATTTTAGGGATACAGGAATTTATTTATTGCGGATACAGGAATTTATTTTAGGGGGGGCCAAATAAAAAATAATGTAGAATATGGTTTTTACGGCGCTATTTTTAACCCAAAAGCCTAATATATAACCCAATTTATGGATTTTAAGGGGGGGTGGGCCCGGGCCCCATGGGCCCCGTCTGTATCCGAATGTCTTGATTATTTTGTAAGTTATATCCATGTGTATTCCTATTGTAATAGTACTAGTAGTAAAGATAAATAATATTTATGATTTATGTAATTAAGTTGTATAATTAAGTGCTTTTTGTTGAGCTTTCAAAAGCATATGATACAGTGCCAATTCAAAAACTGTGGCAAGTGCTGGAGAACTCTCCAATTAACAATACAGTGATCAAAGCCATCAAACAGCTATACCACCAAGCATTTTCCAGAATAAAGATTGGCAGTAACATATCAGAAACCTTTTATGTGACCAAAGGCCTTCGTCAGGGACGTTGTCTATCGCCAACTCTCTTCAAAATCTACTTCAATGAAGCCTTAAAGAAATCTGAAAAATAAAGAAGATCCTGCAGTAGAATGGGAATAGAACTAAAAAATGACACCTATTTATATACTCTTCATTTTGCAGATGACCAAGTGGCAGTGGCCCAAGATAGGGAAGACCTTGAATTCATGTCGAGGAAACTTTTTAAAGAATACGCAGAGTGGGGATTAACTGTTAACTGCAGTAAAACTAAATATATGTGTATTGGTGAAAAGGGAACAGATTTGGAAGTGGACGACAGCTGCATAGTACAATATTGTTCAGTTTATACCTACCTCGGAACAAAGATTAGCCAAAGTGGACGAACTGAAGAAGAAATATTGGAGCGAATAATTAAAGGGAAAAAAGTTATAGGATGCTTAAACTCACTATTATGGTCAACAAACATCTCTATCGAAAGAAAACACCTTTTATACAATGCAATATTTAAAAGTGTTGTATTGTATAGATGTGAAACCTGGCAAATAAATAAAACTTTAGAGCGTAAACTACTGGCTCTTGAAATGGATTTTTGGCGAAGATCTGCCGGAAAGTCGAGAATAGAGCGAATAACCCACGAGAGAATTAGAGAGATTATGGGCGCAAAGAAAACTATCCTCGATGAAATCGAACAACGCCAACTAATATGGCATGGACATGTAGAGAGAATGGCTGACGAACGTCTACCCAAACAAATCCTAAAATGGACACCGGCGGAAAGAAGAAAGAAAGGAAGACCTAAAGCTACCCGGATTGAGCGTATTAACCGAGCCATGTCCGAAAGAAATTTACTTCCAGGAGATTGGGAAGATCGAAGGCAATGGAGACTGGGAACCGGAAGGCGTAGA